TGGAGTGATTGAAGAAATTATGGCATATTTAGATTATGGTATACTCTGCATTCTTTAAGCGAAAGAGTTTAAGCTACATGTATTGCCCTGAAGAGATATCTATGATTAAGTGGAGAAAAAAAGCAACCAAGCCGCTGAGTAAGGTGTAATATGTAATTGCTTTAAAAAGAAAAAGCAAAAAGAAAGAACAAAGAAAAAGTCTCTCTTGGGGTGCCTGGGTGGCTCAGTCGTTAGCATCTGCCTTCGGCTCAGGTCATGATCCCAGGGTCCTGGGATCGAGCCCCTCATCGGGCTCCCTGCTCCACGGGAAGCCTGCTTCTCCCTCTCCCACTCCCCTTGCTTGTGTTCCCTCTCTCGCTGTGTCTCTCTCTCTCTCTCAAATAAATAAATAAAATCTTTAAAAAAGAAAAGAAAAGAAAAAGCCTCTCTTCATCGAACAAGCAACTATAAAATAAGACTTTGTAAAAGAAAAACTTAAAAAACTAAAAAGAAAATAGGACTGATTAAAAGACATAAGAGAAGGGAAATATACAATCACTTGTGAATTACCTAAGTCTGAATTTCTTTATTTTTTTTAAATTTTAAAGATTTTATTTATTTGAGAGAGAAAGAGAGAGAGAGAGAAAGCATGAGGGGGGAGAGGAGCAGAGGGAGAGGGAGAAGCAGGCTCCCCGCTGAGGAGGGAACCCCACAAGGGACTCAATCCCAGGACCCTGAGATCATGACTTGAGCCAAAAGCAGACACTTAACTGACTGATCCACCCAGGTGCCCCCTAAGTCTGGATTTCTGAAAAGGGCACCAATCAGCTAAATATTTGCTCCTTAAAATGTTATTCACATTTGTACTTGGAAAAGCATGATTTTAGTTATTTAGTAGAAAATCTCTGTTTTTCTGGATTACTGTTGGGATGTTTGCCATTGCAATTTAGTGTAAAGGGATCATTTCACTAAGATTTTCAAGGTTCACCTGCAGATACATGACATATGAGGAAGGCAGAGAGAACATTGTCCTAACACCAGTGTATCAACACATTGGTTCATTCTTTGATTCAGTAATTATTTAATAAGCTCCTCCAATGTGCCATAGCATGAGACAGCCAGGTTCTAGGAATGGCGAGGCCAATAAGGTCCTTGCCCTCAAGCAACTCACCGTCGGCCAGTCTGCCACACATCGATAGGTAAACAAGCACCGGTGTAGGGGACGGTGTATGAGGTAATGCCAATAAAAATGTCTAGAGGGCAATACCAACTGCTCTCCCAGGATGAACATTCTCAGTGCAGAGAGGAACACTGCACATTGAGGAAGGAAAAGCCCACAGCCAGCCGGGTTTGGGCGGAAAATGCTTTTGATAGCCCCGTGCCAGTTTATGCATCATACTATATTTACAGCAAAACCCCTCAATGTAAAGTATGATAGAAAATCCCCTGAATAATCAGACTGGGAGCAGGGCTCTACAGTGTCCCATAAAGATGGGCTCCCTCATGGGCTGGGAGGTGGTTTGCCTCTCAGTCTCTTGGCCATTTGTGCCATGGACACAGACTGGGTGAATACTATGTGCAAGGCGGTCCGCCATGAGAACTCAAACGATGAATATTGCCAGGTTTCCAGGCGGGTGGATGAACTCTTGCTCTACTCCTGGGTTGTGTTATGTGATGCTCCATGTGCCTCACCTCGTCAAATAGAGCAGCATTAACAGTGTTCAGAAACAGTTCGTACGTGCTCAGACAGATTGTGTAATTTCCCCTCCGCCACAATTAAAAAATATTTTATTGGCCTGAAGGATATCTGATTTCCATTTACCTACTTCCCCTAATTTTACTGATTCACTCTTTCACTTGTTCCGTCACCCAGAGAGGGACAAAGAACAGACCGAGCTTGGGAGTTGGGAGTTGGGAGTAGAGGTGGGGGAGGAAAGGATGGTTCTGGGGTGGAGGCACAAAAAACTGGGGGAAGATTGGATGGTCCTAAATCGACTTCTTGGGGTCTCATCTTTTTGATCTTCTGTTGGCATTTAGCCTTCATTTGAGGGCTCTTTTTCCTCAGCTGTCATGAAGCATGATCTCGTACCTCTCCATCCACTCCTCTGCTCTTTCTCTATACGCACTGTGGCTCCCTCCCTCACCCCTGTCCAGAGCCGGAAAGGTCCTTTCTCCCCCACACCCCTGATCGCTCATTAAGCATACTTTCCTCCTTGCACCAAAGCTATGCATTTTACTATGTGAATAAGTCCTGTTCTCCAATTAAGAAATCTAAAGACTTAGAAAATAAGGCTTTATATATTTGGAAAAAATAGAAACAACATAGTATAAATTTATGAAGCAATAACATTCCGTACGATGCAATAAAAGTATAGTAATCAAGAGTCTTTATGAGTCATGATCTCAGGGTCATGAGATTGAGCCCCACATGGGCTCCACACTGAGCCTGCTTAGGATTCTCTCCCTCCCTCTTCCTCTGCCCCTCCCCCTCTTCTTAAAAAAAAAGAAAAAAAAAGGAAAACGTTCTAAACTGAAGGATTTTTACTTCTATATAATACGTACTTGCAAATCCTCAAGACTCACAGTACTAAACTGGTTATCCTTTTCACTTGGAGATAATCTCAATCGTGACAAAGAGAAATGAACTGTCTGTCAGAAATCATTCCAGCTTTGTTCAATGAAGACCCAAACTCTGTTCTGATTATTCTCCTTTGTTTTCCTGGTAAAGCTGTGTGGCATGGCTCTTGCCAGGCTGTTTGGGTTGGGTTCATTCAGCTCCTGCACTTACATTTCACTTCCCAAGATGGCCACATTTGTGTCTAGTGCTGATAGCATCTGACTTTTCCTTTGCCCACCCCAAATCCTTGTGGTGGATGTCCTATTGTCATCCCTAACTTAATGTGTCCCCCCAGATTGATGCTAAGTGACAAGTACTATTGTCAACTACAGCACCATTTTGAAGTCCAGAAATCTTACTTTCTATTGTAACTCACCACTCTACTTCAATTCCTATTTCTTTTTTTTTAAAGATTTTATTTTTTATTTATTTATTTGACAGAGACAGAGACAGCGAGAGCAGGAACACAAGCAGGGGGAGTGGGAGAGGGAGAAGCAGGCCTCCCGCCGAGCCAGGAGCCCGATGTGGGACTCGATCCCAGGACCCTGGGATCATGACCTGAGCCGAAGGCAGTCGCTTAACCAACTGAGCCACCCAGGCGCCCTCAATTCCTATTTCTAATCATGGGATTATACAATATCAGAATTCAAAGAACTTTTAATTGAGTCTAGCATCCCACATCAATTCTTTCTTGCTGTGGTTCTGTGACTTCTCTGGCTCTGTCCAGCTTGTTCTGTCTGAGAATCTGTGCTGTGGGGTCCCTTTTCTATCCATGGGAATCTTGGTGCATGTGGTATTTGGAAAACTTCTTCTGACCGATATTTATAACACTTCACGCTGGGCAAACACTTAGCCTTGCGGCAAATGTGCCCTCTTCCCATCTCCTGGTAGCAAAACAGACAAAGACATTATGGGAACAGAAAACTACAGACCAATATTCCTTATGAATATTTATGCAAACTTTTTAAAATGCAAACATTTTTTAAAAAAGATTTATTTGAGAGAGAGAGAGAGAGAGTGGGGGAAGCACGAGAGGGAGAGAATATCTAAGCAGACTGCCTCTGAGTGTGGAGCCCACCTCGGGGCTTGATCCCAGGACCCATGAGATCATGACCTGAGCTGAAACTAAGAGTCAGACGCTTAACCGGCTAAGCCACACAGGCGCCCCTAATGCAAACTTTTTTAACAGAACACCTTCATATATTGATGGCAGTTGTGTAAAATGGTGCGGCTGCTTTGGAAATAGCATTTCCTCAGAAAGTTCAGCTATGATCCAGCAATTCCACTCCTGGTAGCCACCTGAGAGAATTGAACTCACATCTGCACAAAAAATTGTGCACAAATATTCATAGCTGCTTTATTCATAATAGCCCCAAAGTGGAAACTCCTCAAATGTCTATCACTTAGTGGAAGGGCAACAATAATGTGGTCTATCCATGCAATGAAATATTACTCAATCATATGGGGCGCCTGGGTGGCTCAGTCGGTTTAGTGGCTGCCTTCGGCTCAGGTCATGATCCCAGGGTCCTGGGATCGAGCCCCGCATTGGGCTCCTTGCTCAGTGAGGAGCCTGCTTCTTCCTTCCCCTCTGCTCCTCCCCCTGTTTGTGCTCTCTCTGTCAAATAAATAAATAAATAAAATCTTAAAAAAAAAATTACTCAATCATAAAAAATGGCATACTAATACATGCTAAAATGTGGATGAAGCTCAAAAATATTATGCTGAGTGAAAGAAGTCAGACACACAAAAAAGACCACATATTGTATGATGGTATTCATATGAAATGTCCAGAATGAGAAATCCTATAAAGACAGAAAGTGGGTTACTGGTTGTCAGGGACTAGGAAAAGAAGAGAATGAGGAGTGATGGCTAATGGGGGGGTGGGGTTCTTTTTGGGTAGATAAAAAATTATGGAAATAGAGAATGTTGCATAGTCTTGTGAATATATTAAAACGCTTTAAAATAATGAATTTTATGGTTTATGAATTATATCTCAATAGAAAAAAAACTGTATAAAGAAGAAAAAACCCTTATACTACCAGAACATTGAGGACAAATAGATTCTCAAATAAACATGAGTTAATGGATGAGCATCAAATATTGCTGGAAATTTTTTTCTAAACCACAAATGCAGCCATCATTTGTTGAATAACAAGACGGGAATGAGCTTCAAGTAACTTACCCGACGTAATCTCTAAGGTGTGTCCTGGGAGTTGCTTTTGGTCAGGACTTAAATCCCTCATTTCAAACTCTTCCCCCCTTTTTTTTTTTAAAGTAGGCTCCATGCCCAGTGTGGGGCTTGAACTCATGACCCTGAGATCAAGATTGGCACGCTCCTCCCACTGAGCCAGCCAGGCGTCCCTCAAACCCCTCCTCTTAAGCATCATTTTACTTTCCCTTTCAGCATCACTATGACGACCTGCTCCACAGTGGCTGCGCTGGGAATGATGCCGCTCTGCCTGTATCTCTACACCTCGTCCTGGAATCTCGAGCAGACTCTCACCATCCCGTATCAGAACATAGGTCTGTACTGGGCTTGTGAAATGGAATAGTAATAGTAATGGTGATGGGAATGATAATAGCTGTGGTTTGTTATGTGGGTCCTCTATGTGGGTTTTTAAATACACAGATTCTCCAACACTTCTATATAGATTCTATGACCAGTTCCACTTCCTAAATTTTTAGGATGATAGAAGTTAAGTCACTTCACCAGGTTTGAGCTGCTGATCAGTGAAAAACTGGAATTCTGACTCTGGGATCTAATGGCAAAGTCCAAGCTCTTAACCTTACAAGAGTCCACGTTTGAAAATAAAGAGAAGTTACTTATTAAAAACACGCTTATACAATGCACTACCAAGCTTCAGTCTTGTTATGATCCAAAGGTTAACTGGATCACAGTGGGTCTAATGAGACTTGACTTCCCGCAGCTCCACTTTTCACATGGCCTGGGAGCCTTGACATTTTTACTGATCCAACATGAATGATTCCTTTTGATTACTAGAGCATATCCACATGCCACAACCATACCCATATTTCTTCCATATCTCCTTTCAAGATCGTCATTTCTCATTAAACTCTGCCCTTTTTCTAGAGATCTCAGTCGACTTACTAGGCTTGGAAGAAACCTTGGGGAAATGATATGGTTACTCTCCTTTGCTCAGAGTCTTTGGAGAATTGGCAGAAACTATGATTCTTAAAACTGTCAGTCTGGAGTCTCAAGTAATCACTCGGAGGGCTTTGCAACCATGGCCCATAGTTCAAAAACATGAATAGAGCCATGTTCCCATAACAGCTGGAGCCCACTGAATTTGTAAAATTTGAGTGAAATCTTAGAAATCATGATTTTATACGCAACTTTTTCTGATCAGTAAGTTGTTTGCATATTCTGTTTTGGTAATATATTCTACAAGGCACTTGTAAACAATTAAAGCCCAACATATTCATATAACTTTGCAGCCAGTTTTGCAGGCATTTGGCCAGATTTGGAAGCAAGTGGATCTCTGCTCTGCTGAGCCTGCCTTCAATGCTTTTATTCACTTGGGCTAATTAAAAGGCATTTTTTTCTCCACCCACCTTGGGGTTACCTGGCTACACTTGGAGAATATGAGAAATTGCTTTGGTATGTGTAACAGACACTGTTTTAATATCTGCAATAGGTATTCTTTACTATGTGAAACAGAGGAGCCGTTGGCTTCCAATGGGGGAAATAAGAGCTGTTGTCGTAGAGGGGTGACCCCATGCACAGCAACCAAAGAATTTTGAAGACTCCTCCTGTTTTCTAAGTTTTACATTTCTGGTTGTCTCTAAAATTCCATGTCATCGTCAGAGGGTTTTTGAGAGAGAAATGATGGGACATGAATAGTGGCATTCAGTCATAACGTATACCCTTCAAAGACCGTCTTCTAAAGATTTTTGTCTTTCTTTATATTTGGAGGTGGATGCAGAAATAAAATGCAGCCTTAAGTGAAGCCTTTATCTAATGGAAATAGAAATGGTTGAGGATCAGGCAGTCCAGGTGAGAGGGGATACTGTCTGATGGGTTTTTCTTCTCTTCAGGAATCACCCTTGTGTGCCTGACCATCCCGGTGGCCTTCGGTATCTACGTGAATTACAGGTGGCCTAAGCAATCCAAAATCATTCTCAAGGTAAGCAGCTCCCGATGGTGGTTAAGGCATCCTTAGACGCAGAGACTGGAAAGACGGTCGGGGACAATGACTGGAACGGAGGGGCCAGTTGGATACAGCCCCACCCCCAGCAGTTTTCCTTGTATGTCTTACACTTTTGGATCTAACCTCCATTTTTCCTCCGCTCTTGTCAGCCATGCTCCATCACTCCCATCAGCCCACACACTGAGGCTTAGGACACACTGGCGAGTGTGGGACTCCTGCTTTAGTGACAGGAAAGCCAAGGGGGGGGTGTGTGGCCAGAGAACCCAGAGCGCAGCCGTTCGCCGGGCTTCACACAGGTGCTCTCGAGGTGAACGCTGGTCAGGTGTGCGGGCCGCGGGGCCCCAGGGTGAAGAGTAGGGGTGGCTTCATGAAAAAGTAGGGCGGTTTTTCAGAAGCATTCCCGGAGAAGCTTCCGAGGCTGTAGTTTGTCGGAGACACGAACAAGGGCTGCTGACCACGTGAAAGCGTGCAGGCTGCCCTGAGGGGTCTGGCCGTGCGATGAAGCAGCGGGACCCTCCTACCGCCTCTTGACTTCCCGGCCTTGTCCTCTGTCTGCTGGAGGGACGAGCACATGTCCTTGTCTTAAAAAGATCTCTGAAGCAACTTTTAAAGATATCTAAAAACGACTTTTAAAAATATCAGGATAGCTTTAAAAAACGTTGAGGCACTCTCAACAGAGGTGTCAACATCCTAGGGTGTTTTCCATTTTCCCAATTATGTATCATTTCAGAAGATGTAAGATTGCGTTACGTGCTGCTTTTTGAAGATGTTTACGATGCTTTTCTTCCATTTTACGTTCATAGAGAAAGAAACGTTTGGGGCTAATTGGAGGTTCAACAAATACATCTCAGTTCATTGTAGCTTGGGGTTTATGGGTCGGTTCTCGCCGTCCGGCAGCGCGCACCGCTCACTCCAGCGCCGCACAAAGTTTGGACGCTGCGGTCTGGCTTCGGCGCGAGACGGAGCCGCTCCCACGATTCCTCCGATGACGTGAAGGGGGAGGCGCGCTTGACAAGCAGGCGGAGAGCCGGAGGGAGGCTTAAATGTTGTGCGTTTGGGCTGCATCTGGGTGGGTGACTGTGACTTCGGTAAGAGAAAATTTCCAGTGCGGCTGTGCACGCTGTCATTTTCTTTACAAAGCAAGAGGACAGAGTGTGATCGTGGGCACCTCTTACTTTTCAAACACTCTATTTCTGATAAAGTACTATCAAGTACTCGATTTTGTTAGAGCAATTTTGGTGTTTCCAGATCCTCTCTTAGTCCCTTAGTGCCAATGGAGAAATGAGATAAATTTTCTGTAGGTGACTTTTATTATCTGTAAGGAGCAGATTTAAAACCCCTTTCTTTTGTCTGTTCCATAGGATGGGTGGCAGAAAATATTTAATAATATGCATAAATATTCTGGAGCACCTTAGTAAAAAACTAGGATAATTTAATCATTGTTTTGATACATTTTCATTTTCTATTCTTGGTCCTCTTTTAATTTTAGATCTGGTACATTTTCTGAACACATTGCTCTTGGTGTATTTTTAAACTTTGAAATCTTTTCTGATAGAAAGACAAAGAGGGATTTTGACAGAGGACTTCTTTGTGTGTTCTAACATCTTCCATTTAAGCAGGGGCCCAGTCTGTCTTTGTGCTGAGCAGTAAAAATAATCCCAGAGCACATCTATGGTGCATTGGATTGTTTTTTGCTTTGTTCTGCTCCCCCGTGACGGCCTTCTTCCACACCTTGAATCATTTTAAATCCGGTTGATGCCATACTAGGTGTATACTTTGTTGTCTACATGGTATGAATGGGAGCTTGTCAAAGTCTTAATTTTCTCCAAATATTCTGGGTCTGGCTTCCTTTCTCTCTGATCTAAAACTCAAACTGTTGGAAATTCTTTTTTTGTTGTTGATTTCTTGTTTTTGTTGAACAACAAAAGGAAGAACAGTATTCATTTGGGAGAGGAAAGAGGTATCTGTCAGTACTTATGTTACACTAATGTCAGCCCAGATTGTCTAGTAAAGAATGGGTACATTTCACTTGGAGGAGAGAAGGGAGGGAACCAAGGCAGTAAGAAGCCATCGGCAGTCGAGGAGGTGGTAGGAAGAGATGGCAGATGGCCAGGCAGAGCAGACCTCGGACAAGAAGTTACCAGCGAAGGATCTAAGAAGTGCGTGTAGGGGTACTGGAGGCTTATTGTCAGTTTTCACTTGTCTCCTAATTTGTCCTATCCATGAAAAACTCCACTACCCAATCCTTCTGGCAAAATCCTCTACTTCAAGGGAAACAATACTGATCATAAAATAAGGCTTAGATTTGTCTTGAGCCTCACCAATTTCTAGCTTAACGAAGTCAGTTGACCAATTTGGAACTTAAGTTTCTTTTCTGTAAAATGAGATTGGATTTGGTGGTAAGTCCCTTCTTTGTTCCAAAACATCTAGGTTCCCAGCTTCTTAGAGCAGTGACGGACTTTTCAAAATAGACCTAAAAGACCACGATGTTTACATGTACTTATTTTATTGGTTTGCTTTAGATTGGGGCCATTGTTGGTGGGGTCCTCCTTTTGGTGGTCGCAGTTGCTGGTGTGGTGTTGGCAAAAGGATCTTGGAATTCAGACATCACTCTTCTGACCATCAGTTTCATCTTTCCTTTGATTGGCCATGTCACGGGCTTTCTGCTGGCACTTCTTACCCACCAATCTTGGCAGAGGTACAGTTAAATGATCCCTACACTTTTTTGAGGAGGATAAACACTTGGCCACTGGCAGGCTTTGCTGCCTGGCTCTGTCAGGAGACATTAAGAGTTTTGACTTACAAGGTGGATGGAACAGGACAACTCATCATAAAGAGGTTGAAAAGATCATGGTAATTCTTATGTAAATGAGAGCAAAGGCCAGATTGATGGGAAGTTGTAATCTGTGAAATTAGGATTGGGGTGTTAACACCATGTGTTGAAATCTGGACACATTTCTCTTCTTATTCTAGTAATTAGATAGGGGTGAGATGGTTTCATTAAATATAGAGATCATTCCAGGGCATGAGCAAAATTCAAGAGATTAAGCACTTATCCACAGTTTGTGCCAAATTCTGTAAAAGTGCTAATTATAAGGGGCAAGAGGAGAAAGGATAAACTGGAGAAATAATATAGGAATTTATCTGAAATAGTATCATTACAAGTTGGGGCATATAATTTATAAATGTGTGAAATATTAAAAATGATAATACTCCATGTTGTTATGTCTGTAGATGAGTATTAACATATAATGTTGGAGGGAACATAAATTGGCAAAAACTCACTGGAAGGCAATTTAGTCATATCAATAGCCTTATAAATATTTATAGCTGTTCACTCAGTGATTTTACTTCTAGAAATCTGTCCTGAAGCTAGGACTTTCAGATAAGCACACGAATATTGATGTGCAAGGATGTTAATTGCAGTGTTATTTATAAATATAAAAAATAGAAACAATTAAATATCTAACAATAGTGAGATACTTAATTCATAATGTGTCTATGTGATAGAATATGATGCATCAATTTTAATGTTTTTGGAAAATACTTAAAAGATAAATTTAAAAGAGAATAGAAAAAGGGATACATTTTGATTCCCATTTTGTGGAAGGAAGCAAAAGAATTTTATGCATGGAAAAGTACTGGAAGAAATACACCATATTCTAATATTGTTTAATTTTGAGTAGTAGGATTAGGAGTAATTTTAGTTTCTTAATTTTTTTTTGGGGGGGGTATATTTCCTGAGTTTTTCAATGAGTATGCACCACTTCTAAAATCAAAAAATAATTGAAGAAAAGTGAACTAGGTAGTTGAACTTCAAAGGTGGAGTTTGGGAAATGAAAAAGCTTAAAAGATAGATTTAAGTAAAAGAGAATAGAAAGTGGTATGCATTTTGATTTTTTTAAAGATTAAAAAAAATTTTTTTTTATTTATTTGAGACACAGAGAGAGAGAACACAAGGGGGGGTAGGGTGAAAGGGAGAAGCAGACTCCCTGATGAGCAGGGAGCCCGATGCGGGACTCGATCCCAGGACTCCAGGATCATGACCTGAGCTGAAGGCAGTCGCTCAACCAACTGAGCCACCCAGGTGCCCCATTTTGATTTTCATTTTGTAGAGGAAATCTCTTTCTAGTCTACTTGGGGAACATTTAGGATTATCCCAGGTACTGGGTAAGGCTCTGCCTATTGTATCTCATTTACTTTTTACTACAAGCCTGAGAAGTATTTACTATTTATACCCTCATTCTACAGATGAGCAAATCCTTCAAGACATTAAGTAATGTGACCAAGTTCATAGAGCCGGAATGTAGCAGAGTTAGGATTTGAACCGGGGTTTGTTTGCAAAGGCAATAATTAGGACAGACTAACAGACTGTTGAGTGGTTGAAATATAATTGGATCTGGAGAGAAAGTATTCCTATGGCAAAATGTAGTTAACAATCTTGTTTTTTTCATACCTGATGGCTTGAGAAGGATCAGGATTGAGATACTGCATTTATCTTGTGAATAAGTCCAGGTGTGAGGTCCAGCTTTGCGGCTTATTCAAATAATTGACAGGGGTCTGAAAGGAGAGTGGGCTAAAGAAAGCATAGCAAGCAAGAGAGTAAGTAGATATAAAATAAGGGATGCAGAACTTGCCCTGGACCAATATTTTCATTCCCACATTATACTTCCCCTTGTTACCTCCACGTTCCACACCAGCTTGCCTAGAGATGCTGGTTTATATTCTGAAACACCTCTTTCCTCTCTTCTTTTCCATCTATAGAAACCTGAAGTCCCCCTTTATAAACTGGTGACAGATGAGACTGCTTAACCCAGCCCCCAACATCCTGCTTATGTCTTCCTTTTAATCCCTCCTGATTTTTCTTTTTCAAGCGAGGTTTATCTCTTTCTCTTTTGTTTGCATTTAGAAAACCAGTAAAATACAGAAAAGTAGAAAGTAGAAAAATTGTGTTCCTAAACTCTTTCACGAAAGAATTTTAGACATTTGGTTTTAGATATTGGTTTTCATTTAGGGTTTTTATATTTACCTTCAAGTGTTGTGTAGTTTATAGTATTTCATATCTTGAATTCACCTTTTCATTGTCCTCTCCAACCCTCACTCCACGCAGATTGGCTCACGGCATATGCACTGCCTCCTGGTAGGCACAGCTCACACCTGTCCCTGGAACCTTAATTGCAGCCACTGTCCCACGTTAAATGCCCCTCCCAACATCACTGTTTCACGTGCCTCTGCCTCTGTGAGCCTTTTCTAACCATTTATGCCACTTTTCTGAATTTCTATAGCAGCTCCCTGACCCTCGATCATATTTTGTCTTGTGTTGTTACTGGACCTTTCCTGTGTGTATATCCTGTCTTTCTACCCAGATTCCTAGGGCAGGGTTCCTAGGGTCCTGTTCCGAAGTGCTTCTCAGCAGACCACTACAGAGCAGGCATACTCAGCAAGTAATTATTAAATGAGTAAACATTTTTAGTGGCCTAAGCTCATAGCTTACATTTATTGCTATATAGAAGAGAAAAATTTAAGAAGGTTCTTATTGCTAGTAACTCTTGAAAAATGTTTTCATTGGTAGGTGCAGGACAATTTCCTTAGAAACTGGAGCTCAGAATATTCAGATGTGCGTCACCATGCTCCAGCTGTCTTTCACCGCCAAGCAGTTGGTCCAGATGCTTAGCTTCCCACTGGCCTATGGACTCTTCCAGCTGCTGGACGGATTTCTCATTGTTGCAGGTAAGGAGAGCCCCCATCGGGCAGATTTGATTGAAAATTGTCAACCAAATTTATTAACTTCTTTTTCAATCTGACCCTGCATGCACTACTCTTTCTTTTTTTTTTTAAAGATTTTTAAAAATTTATTTATTTGACAGAGAGATCGCACAAGTAGGCAGGGCGGCAGGAAGAGGGAAAGGGAGAAGCGGGCTCTCTGCTGAGCAAGGAGCCCGATGTGGGGCTCGATCCCAGGACCCTGGGATCATGACCTGAGCCGAAGGCAGGCTCTTAACCGACTGAGCCACCCAGGCACCCCTGCATGTGCTACTCTTGTGATACATTGTTAGCCTGACATTTCTGGGGAAAATAAAGTGTACAAACAAGTTCCTTTGTTTTCATAGCAAAATATTAAAAATATGTGAAAGTAGGCTTATAATTATAAACAAACATTGCTTCACAAAAAACAGTGCACTATTAGAACTTGGATTCTAGGACTCGATAAGTCTCCATGAGCAATAATTTATCTTCAAAATGACATTTGTTATGTTTCCTCAAGAGCCACAAGGTCTTCCAAATGCCAAGTTATTTCACAATGCTTCTGTGACTAAGAATTGTGCTGAATGGTTGTGAAATATTTTACAACTATGAAATATGAAACATACACAGGTCCTGAAATACATATTTGTATACATATATATCATATATATGGGATATATACCAATCCATACAGCCAAATATACATCATTTTTAGAGTCCGTCACTAGATGGGTTCACAGAAAGTAAATTAAAAAAGTTATCAGTAGGGGCACCTGGGTGGCTCAGTGCATTAAGCGTCTGACTCTTGGTTTCGGCTCAGGTTGTGGTCTCATGGGTAGTGAGATGGAGCCCCGTGTCGGGCTCTGCACTCAGCGGGGAGTCTGCTTGAAGATTCTCTCCCTCTGCCCCAGACCCCCCCAAGTAAATACATACATCTTTTTTTAAAAAGACATCAATAGGTACACACACATATTTTAATCTTGGACCATTGCAATTTTCACTGTTATCAGGAAACAGGGTCTGAGTTATACTCAATGATACTGATATAACTGATTAGATACTGATTGCTGGTATAACAGTCAACATAAGGAATACTTGGGGTTTAATTTTACCACAAAATAAGAGAAATCTTAAAAAAAAAATAAGAGAAATCTTAGCAGGATAAAACTCCCTGGTCTTAGATTTAAGTTTTAATTTCTTCTCCTTAGTGAGATTGTGAGGCAAGGAACATGTCTGGCTTGTTCCCAGCTACCTCCCAGCACTTGGGAGAGCACCTGACTCATAGCAAGCAAGCTCTCCACAGGTGTTGTTGGCTGACTGACTGACTGAGTGGATGAGCCACCAGTGGCCTGAATGTATGAATGGGTGAGCTGTCAGTGACCTCAATCACAAATGGTCCATTCCAGATAGAAATAGCCATTTTGATACATTGAGTTATTTTGCTCCATAGTTTCCTCTTTTTTTCATTGAGGTATAATTGACATACAACATTATATTAGTTTCAGGTGTACAACAAATGATTTGTATTTATATATATTATGAAATGATCACCACAGTAAGTCCAGTTGACATCTGCCCCATATGTAGAGGTTTTTTTTTTCTTTGTGATGAGAACTTTTAAGATTTACTCTCTTAGCAACTTTCAACTATATAATACAGTATTATCAACTATAGTCACCATGCTGTACATTGCATCTCCATAACTTATGTATTTTATAACTGGAAGTTTGTACCTTTTGACTCCCTTCACTGATACCCCCTACCCCCCAGCCCCGGGCAACCACCTATCTATTCTCTATCTCCATGAGCTTGGTTTTGGTATGCTGTATTTCCATTTTTGTTTGTCTCAGGTGTTTTATTTCACTTCTGATTTCTTTGTTGACCCATTGGTTGTTCAGTAGCCTATTGTTTAGTCTGCACATATTTGTGAATTTTCCAGTTTTCTTCTTGCAGTTGATTTTTTAGTTTCATATCACTGTGGTCAGAAAAGAGGCTAGCTATGATTTTAATCTTCTCAAATTTGTTAAGACTTGTTATGTAGCCTAGCATATGATCTATCCTGGAGACTGTTCCATGAGCTCTTGAGAAGAATATGTATTCTGTTGCTTTAGGATGGAATGTTCTGTATATATTTGTTAAGCCCATGTGGTCTAATGTGTCATTCAAGGCCAATGTTTCCTTATTGATTTTCTGTCTGGATGTTCTATCCATCGATGTAAATGGGGTGTCAAAGTCCCATATTATTATTGTATTGCTGATAATTTCTCCCTTTAGGTCTGTTAATATTTGCTTTATATATTTAGGTGTTCCTATGTTGTGTGCATATATATTTATAAATGTTATATACTCTTGTTGGATTGACTCCTTTATCATTAGGTAATGTCCTTGTCTCTCTACAATTTGTTTTAAAATTTATTTTGTTTGATATGAGTATAGCTACCCCAGCTTTCTTTGGTTTCCACTTGCATGAAACATCTCTATCACTTCCCCTTCAGTCTGTTTGTGTCCTTACACCTGAAGTGAGTCTCTTGTGGGCAGTGTAGAAATGGGTCTTGTTTTTTAATCCATTCAGCTACTCTCTGTCTTTTGTTTGGAGAATTTAGTCCATTTACATTTAAAGTAATTATTGATAGGTATGCACTTACTGACATTGACATTCATTGTTTTCTGGCTCTTTTGTAGTTCCTTTCTTCTGTTCCTTTCTTCTTTTCTGTTCTCTTCCTCTGTGGTTTGATGACTGTCTTTAGTGGTATGCTTAGACTCCTTCCTCCTCTTTTGTGTATCTACTATAGATTTCTGTTTGGTGGTTACCATGATGCTTACATATAACAATTTATATTTATAACCATCTATTTTAAGCCGATAACAACCTAAGTTTGAACACATTCTAAAGCCCTACATTTTAATCCCCCCCCATGTTTTATGTTTTTGAGGTCACATGTTTTTTGAGGTCACATTTTACATCTTTTTATTTTGTATATTTCCTACCTAATTATTGTGGTTATGATTATTTTTCAACTTTTGTCTTTTAACCTTCATAACCTTCATACTAGCTCTATAAGCGATTAATTCACTACTTTTATGTATGTTTATTTTTACCAGTGAGATTTATACTTTCATATGTTTTCTCATTACTAGTTAGTACCCTTTCTTTTCAGCTTAAAGAAGTCCCTTTAACATTTCTTCTAAGTGTTGATTAACTCCTTTAGCTTTTGCTTGTCTGGAAAACTCTTTATTTCACCTCCACTTCTGAATGATGACTTTGCTGAGTAGGGTGTTTCTGGTTGGAAGTTTTTTCCTTTCAGCACTTTGAATGTATCATGCCAAGCCTTCTGGCCTGCAAAGTTTCTGCTGAAAAATCTGCAAATAGCCTTAGGGCTTCCCCTTGTATACAACAAATTGTTTTTCTCTTGCTGCTTTTTATGATTCTCTCCTTGTCTTTAACTTTTGACATTTTAATTATGATTTATCTTGGTGTGGCTCTCTTTGAGTTTGTCTTATTATGGAACTCTCTTCCTGGGCCTAGATGTCTGTCTTTTCCTGCCCCTCAGTTTAATGCTGTAAAATGAAGAAATGAGTCTCTTCTACATAAAGTTCTGGGCACTTTTCAAAGGGCTGCTCCTGGGCTGAGTCCTAAGGCAGGTGAGTTGGTTTGCAGTTCCTCCATTCAGCACAGCCCTGTGGTTCTCATGGTACCAGACCCATCGGTCTTAAAAGCCAGATGTTTTGGAGGCTTGTCTCTCAGATGCCTATATTAAAAGTTGGTGTGTCTGATCTGGGGTATGAGTCCTTTGCTTCTGAGGGAGAAGCTCTATGTTTTGAGTTCCCTCCTGATTGTGGGTGGCCTTGTCTGGGGCTTATGGTGAGATTTTATCTCAGTCTTTCCTACCTACTTCCACGTGGGTTCCTTCCCTTTTGTCTGATGTGATGAGGTTGTTCTGACAGTTTTTCGGGTTTATTTTCCAGAGGAATTTAGTGTGTCTATGGGAGGAGGTAAGTTTAGTATCTAGTTATGTTGCCTTCTTCCTCTTCTTTTTTTTTTTTTAAGATTTTATTTATTTATTTGAGAGAGGAGAGAGAGAGAGAAAGAGAGCATGCAAGCATGAGCAGAAGGGAGAGGCAGAAGCAGAGGGAGAAGTAGGCTCCCTGCTGAGCAGGGATCCTGATACGGGACTGAATCCTAGGCCCCCAGGATCATGACCTGAGCCCAAGGCAGACGCTTAACCAACTGAGCCACTCAGGCACCCTACTTATGTTGCGTTTTTGAATCAGAACCCCAGTTTCCATCTCTTTTCCTCTCTTTTTCCCCTTCATTTTTGTGTGTTTACACATATGTGACCCTAAGCAAACAGAGCTCCAAAGTACTACATTATAGTCTTTGCTAAAGTGATTTTTCAATGCTTGTATGTTTTAACACCTAGCATACAAGATGTACAAGAGGAGATTGAAGAATGAACACAGAAAAAAGGACACAGATTATGCAGAAGGCTGCCATAAAAAGAAATCTACTTCTCTCAAAGAGACTGGTGCTTTCTTGGAGGTGAATGAAGAAGTTGCCATAACTCCTGGGCCATCAGTGCCAATGGATTTCCACACAGCTTTTGAGTCAACCAGCCATGTCTCTTCTTGTACCTAGTAAGGGTTGCTGGCCTGACTGGTCTCCATCTTACTCAGTGGCCAGTAAAGACAGTGAGGAGCTGATGCATGCATCTCATTGGCAGGGCCTGTGGGAATATTTGAATAGTTATATTTTCATGTGGTTTGTGAATTGTCATAGGATCCATTTTTGAGAATGTATTTCACCTATTTCAGGGAGTTTTTTTGGGGGGGTTTGCTCAATATATTTACTGGCTGCTGTGTGTGTTCTTATCTTCTCATGCAGTGAAGAGTAACGCCCGTTGTTATGCGAAGTCGTTCTGGATTAGATGTCACCTCCTACTGCCTATGCTCTCATAAAAAAAGTGGCCATTTCTGAAATGATTGTTATTTTTTAAGGGCTTGGAAATCTTTTTGGATTCTAGATGTAATAAAGTGTAGAGGGAATTAATAACCACTTGAGGTTAAAATGTGAATGCCCTGTATTTTCACTCTCTAATCATAGGCACATGTATAGCCTTTGTTTATAGGTTATATCATTTTAAGAAACATTGAGATCATTCCATGTATACTGTTTCATAAGTCACTTAATGACATATTATGGAGAATCTTGACATGTCAGTCTTTGTTGATCTACCTCATTCTTTAGAACAGTGGCTTCATAGAAGTATTCCTTTGCATAGAAGGACTGTAATTTATTTAACCATTCCTTATTCATGGACATTTAGATAGCTTTGAACTTATTAATATTATAATGCTGCTACAAATACCCACACGGTTGTGCAAGTATTTTTGGAGAATCACTTCCTGCAACTTGAAATGCCAGGCTAACCTCACATTAAATGTTGGACAGGCTGCTGTCCGATGATGTATAGCAGTGCCTGAGTGGGGCTGGCTTCCCACACCTGCACCAGTCTAAGGAATGGTCAATTCTGATTTGTACAAATATCTCATTTAAGATTGCATTTAAAAAATTATGACTGAAGTAGAGTATTTTTCACGTTCACTTGTCTAGTCATGTCCTTTGCTTGCCTTTCTATTGTAGTCTTTCCTTTTTGATTGACACATTGTAATACATTACGAATAGTGACCCTTTGTCCTGTTTTGTCAACATTTTACCTACTTTTAATCTTTTATCTTTTGTTTTTCTATGTCTTTTGTGATGTAGAAATTTTGTATTTTTTGCATATTCAGCTTTATTAGTCTTTTAAAAAATGCTTTTTGACCTTGATATCTGTCAAATGTTAGAATATTTATATTTTTGTGTGGATTATGAATTGTGATAGTATTTTTTTTGAGAATGTATTTGCAGGAAGTTCTGTTTCGGGTTTGCACAACATATTTACTCTCTGCTGTGTGTACTGTCTGGCAGTAGGTAAAACCCATCCCCCTCTTCTTACATTATTAAAAATATTTCCCATATATTTTTCTATGACTTTTATGAACTAAGTATATAAATGTTTATTCCATTTTGAATCCACGTTTTTGTATGGTGTGTTAAGAATCTAGTTTTTTTTTTAAGATTTTATTTATTTATTTGACAGAGACAGAGATAGCGAGAGTAGGAACACAAGCAGCGGGAGTGGGAGAGGGAGAAGCAGGCTTCCCGCCGAGCAGGGAGCCCGATGCGGGACTCGATCCCAGGACCCTGGGATCATGACCTGAGCCGAAGGCGGACGCTTAACGACTGAGCCACCCAGGTGCCCCAAGAATCTAGTTCTTTACAGTTAATTAATTGTTCCAACATCATATATTGAATCATTCATCTTTCCTGATTTGAAATGCCACCTTTCTCACACAACTTCCTATATAATGTGGGACTCTAGGTAGTTCCATTTTTCTCTGTCTATTCTTATTTGTAAGTTTTGAAATGTATAAGAAAGTATTGTTTGAGATTTAGTGCTTTACAATTTTATTTTGTAAGTATTCCCAAGAACCTGTGAGTTAATATAATAATAATGATTGGGGCGCCTGGGTGGCTCAGACGGTTAAGCGTCTGCCTTCGGCTCGGGTCATGATCTCAGGGTCCTGGGATCGAGCCCCATGTTGGGCTCCCTGCTCAGTGGGGAGCGTGCTTCTCCCTCTCCCTCTGCCTGCCTCTCTGCCTACTTGTGCTCTCTCTGTCGAATAAATAAAATCTTAAAAAAAAAAGATAATGATTACTGTGGTATTTTCATGACAAGAACGCCTTTGTGGTAGTACAGAAAGAGCCCCATTAGGTGTCACAAGTATATTTCTATGGAAAAGAGCTATGCAGACTGTGACATGTTTGTTAATTTTCAACTGCTGCTTTATTACTTGAGGATTCCCATTTATCTACCTGATGAATGTTTATGTGTCAAGAAGCTAGTCTGTGCTGTATAGGCCCATAGGACATGCAGGGGTAACACGCAGGAAGGGTTCCTGCTGGCAGGGTTCAGAGTCTAGTGGGAATAGATCCCTGCGATGAGCAGTTAGTGGAGTTGGGCATTAACAGAAATTCCCAGTTCTAAAATGAGCATTAACATGAATTTTAAATAATCCATAAAAATGAATTTCTAAATTTTTCTCTAAATGGGCACCTAACACGAAGTGGTGAAATCCAATGCTCTGTTCTGAAAACACCAAGTACATGGTCATTATTTACCACAGTCAGGACAGGTCTGGGGACAAGACCACTAAAAGCCATCCTTTAAGACAGTCATGACACAAATCAATGTAAGGGTTTGAAAGTAGTCCTGTCAGAAAACTGTCATCTCCAGGAGTGGTTTGTAGACGTGTTACTGAGAACTGGACACAGTCAAGTTGCCCTGGAGGCTACACATTATCTTTAGCACGAAGAATGTAGCTGAAAAAGAAAAAAACAAAAGCCCTAACTGAATAAATTGTATTCTCACTGGTCTAAATAATCATGGGTTCATGGGGCGCCTGGATGGCTCAGTTAAGCGACTGCCTTCAGCTCAGCTCATGATCCCAGGGTCCTGGGATTGAGTCCCGGGTCGGCTCCCTGCTCAGCAGGGAGTCTACTTCTCCCTCTGCACCCCCCCCCCCCCCGCCGTGCTCTCGCTCTCTCAAATAAAAAAAAATCTTTAAACAACAAAAAAATAATCATGGGTTCATGAAAGCCAGCGCCTATGTGAAGCTCAGAAGTGGGGCCAGAGAAATAATGTTAAGAATGAGTTCAGTCCTATGTCTGGAAAAGCAGGCAGACAGTTGAGGCAGCATAGCAGTGGGAAGAACATGGGCTTTGCCAGGGCTACTCGCTGTATTCCACTTCAAGAGCTAGGACCCCTTGGGAGTTGTGGGTTGAAGTTAGGCCGACTTCGAATTGAATCCAGCTCTGTTATTTGGGCAACATGGGGCAAGTGACAGTCCCTCTGAACTTGTTTCCTCTCTTAAAAAGGGTGATAACATTCAGTCCTGAACACCCTGAGAGTAGAAAACACTTGGTACAATGTGTGGGGAGTGCTCATTAAGTGTGATCTGTTCCCTTCCTTGTGCAGCCACAATTCATCCTGGAGTACAAAGGCGAGTTCAGCCTAACCCAGTTTAGTGAATCATTTTTTAAAAAAATGATTTATTTATTTGAGAGAGAGCGAGAGAGAATGAGCACGAGTGGGGGGGGGGAGGGGGAGAGGGAGAAGCAGGCTCCCCACTGAGCAGAGAGCACGAAACCGGGCTCAATCCCAGGACCCCGGGATCATGACCTGAGCCAAAGGCAGATGCCTAACTGACTGAGCCACCCAGGCGCCCCAATGAATCATATTTTAGCCTTTAAGCAACCTTCTGACCAGCCTGTGTGCTTTGCCCACCTGGAGGAGCCCCACCTGAATGATTACTCATTCGGCTGGATAGAGCTAAGCTAAAAACTTGGCAACATAGTTTATCAGTAAGTGTCCTGAGAGTTTGCTTAGCATGACCTCTAGAGTATACTTAATTTTGGGGGAATGGATAAAATGGATAAAATATGTAGTCTTCTTCATGAAGCTGAAGACTACTTTCAAATACCTCCTGTCTGTGAATTTTCAACAGTAATAAATTCAGATATTACTGGGGTCAGGAAGATCTTTAAAAGATTGACACAGTGTTAGCCACTAAGGAATGATGGAAACTGGCAGAAATGGAAAGGTACATGCTGCTCACTGCTGCCCTCTATCTACTGTTTCTTTTGCCCTTATTAACAGAACCAAGATTTTGTTCAGGACAGCAATATGATTAGCTAAAAATAGCTTTCTTGAAGTTAGAGATGGCTATGTGACACAGTTCTTGCTAAGATAGAAGTGGGGAAGTCTGCTTGTGATTTCTGGAAAATTTTGCTTTTTTGCCCCAGGCACTGACTGACCTTTCTCCTTGTCAATCCTATTTCCTTTCTGGAATGTGGATGTAATAGCTGGAGCTGAAGCAGCCATTTTCAGTGAAGGCAAGGCCAGGATAATTATGTATCTGTTGACATTTTTTTTTTTTTTTAGGATTTTATTTATTTATTTGACAGAGAGACAGTGAGAGAGGGAACACAAGCAGGGGGAGTGGGAGAGGGAGAAGCAGGCTTCCCGCTAAGCAGGGAGCCCAATGCGGGGCTCGATCCCAGGACCCTGGGATCATGACCTGAGCCGAAGGCAGACGCTTAACGACTGAGCCACCCAGGCGTCCCTCTGTTGACATTCTTGAACTGTAGAACCAACCCCAGCAACTGCCTGCTTTTAATTTGTTTTCTTAGGGAAAGAAATGTCTGATTTGTAGAAGCCCATTTGGTTAGTTTTTGGCAACTTGCAGCCAAATACAATTCCAAATTAATATATTATAATTTGCATTGTGTTTAAAATATTATGCAGGGTAATGCATAATTTGTTACATTTATCTCCACCATAACAAAATACCTTGAATATTTCTGAATTACGTAAAATAGGAACACATTCTCTAAAATTCAAGGTACCTATCACCAGAGGATAACTTTGGCGAGCTGTTCTTTTAACTTGTTGGATCTATCAGATTGCATTTAGATAACTAGTCATTTTATTTATTTTTTTAAAGATTTTATTTATTTGACAGAGAGAGACACAGTGAGAGGGGGAACACAAGCAGGGGCAGGGGGAGAGGGAGAAGCAGGCTTCCCGCTGAGCAGGGAGCCCAATGTGGGGCTCGATCCCAGGACCCTGGGATTATGACCTGAGCCAAAGGCAGACGCTTGACGACTGAGCCACCCAGATGCCCCATAGATAGTCATTTTAAAAGCAAGAGATCTAGCAGGCTATCTGGAACCACAGATGTGAACACCTGATTTTTTTCTCAACAGCCATTTTTCTCCTTTAAACATGGTAATTCATTAATATTTTTACTAATGGCACTTACCCAAGTTTTGATTTGGGGACAAATGCTGTTTCTAATCCTGCAATGCTTAGGACTATACTTAAGATACCATTCTTTTGGGGCACCTGGGTGGCTCAGTCAGTTGGGCATCTAGCTTCGGCTTGGATCATGGTCCTGGGGTCCTGGGATCCTGGGATCGAGCCCCACCTTGAGCTCTGCTCAGCGGGGAGCTTGCTTCTCCCTCTCCCTCAGACTCTCCTCCGTGCTTCTGCTCTCCTTCTCTGTCTGTCTCAAATAAATAAAATCTTAAAAAAAAAAAAAAAAGCCATTCTTTTACAACACACCACTTCAGTTTTAGAAATAGAGTCCATCATGATTTATGCTTCCCCTTCTGTAGCACAGAGTTGTCACGGGCAAACAGCTGTTTTGGCCAACTCGTTTCCCAGCTTCCTTGCACTCAGGGGCACCGTTTGGCCAGTTCTTGCTGATGGAATGAGTGACAATGATGTGCTTTGCTTCTATGCCTGCCCAGCTCATAAAATCCCCCACAGGTGGTCCTCTATGCTCTTTCCCCTTTCTGGCTGGGGGAATAGAGACAATTCCCAGGATGACGTTGGAAATTGTGTGTTGATTATAGAACCTCCATCAGCCTGGGTTCCTGAAAATTGGAAAGAGAGCTATCTTGCCGAGCTGTTCACCTGGCCAGGACTGTTAGGTACACGAGCTTCTATTATGTTTTTAGCTGTTACATCTTCTGGTGTATATTTTATAGTACTTATAATGTGTGTTAAGAACCATGTTGTATTTATCCATTCATTTGACATTTGAGTACCTCCATGTGTCACTCTGGCTCAGTGGCCTGCCTTACCATGCAAGTGCCATGCACTTTCTAACCAGAGTGGCCCTAGCCAATGTCTCATTCCATTCCATGGTAGTGGAGCCAGGTCCCAGATGAGGGTGGTAACATGTTTGCTATAATGAAGTTTCCATTCAGGGGTCGTAAACTGAAACCACATTTTCTTGCCACAGTTTCCATTTCCTAGCTACATTCTTTCCAGAAAAAGGATCCTCCTTCAGCTTTCCCCTCTCCCATCCCTGTTGTTGACTGCAGATGAGAGCTAATCACCTCCAGCTGCACACTGGCTCCCAGCGCCCCGCTGGCCTGGTTTCCTGTGCTTATGACAGGAAAACAAGGACTCAGGATTCCAACACGCTCAGAACAGACGTTTCCAAATATCCTTTAAAGCAAAAGAGACCTTTTTTCAAATGAAATGTTCAGCTACAATGCAATCTATAAAAACGGTTCTGATTGAAGTAGGAGCGGTGGTGGTGATGCTTCTCTTGCCAGATTTGAAGCTACTTTGGACCAGGTGGGGAGTCAAATGTACGGTTGTGGGGCTCTGTGCATTTACTGACGTCCCTCTCAAACAGCGCCTGATACTCAGGATTGGGGTCCCGCAAGTCGTTGCACTCGGGTAAGATCAGAGATTCAAATGTACCAGTTCCGAGTGGTTAGTCCCCTGAGGACGAATGAAGCAGCCTTCCGGGTTTTGCCGTGGCATCACTCGTGGCGGAGTGGGAAACCGCTGGCGGAATTAGGACTGAGGCGGAGACTCAGATGCGGGCTCTTTGAGGCAGATCTCTTTCCCTTCAGGCAGAACCAAATATAAGCTGCCAGGAAATGTGGTGGTGTTTTCTTTCGATTACCTCTTGTCAGTTAGATATTCTGAGCTTTACTACAATTAGAACTTGAAAGTATTCTGATTTATGTATCAGGCACAGTACTCACACGGAGGCAGAAGGCAGGGAGACTGAATGTCTTAGCTACTGTTGGTCAGTACAGGACCCTCATGTCAGACCCTGAAGGTTTACCAGGGTTTCTTTCTTTCTTCTTTTTTTTTTTAAAGATTTTATTTATTTATTTGACAGAGAGAGAGAGAGCGAGAGAGAGAACACAAGCAGGGGGAGTGGGAGAGGGAGAAGCAGGCCTCCCGCTGAGCAGGGAGCCCGATGGGGGGCTCGATCCCAGAACCCTGGGATCATGACCTGAGCTGAAGGCAGACACTTAACTACTGAGCCACCCAGGCGCCCGGTTTACCAGGGTTTCTAACAACACTCTTGGGCCCTGTGGCTGGCACGACTAGGACCAAGTGGGGAGATGGGAAGTCGGGGTCCAAAAGTTCTTGCTTCCCCAGGGGCCTGGGTGTTGTTAAGAAGTAACACACTGAGGGGCGGTGGGGGTGGGGTAACTGGGTGACGGGCATTAAGGAGGGCACTTGATGGAATGAGCACTGGGTGTTATATGCAACTGATGAATCACTAAGTTCTACCCCTGAAACTAATAATACAGCATATGTTAACTAAATTGAATTTAAATAAAAAATAAAATAAAAAAAACACACTGAAGGGGCATCTGGGTGGCTGAGTCAGTTAAGCGTCCGACTCTTGGGCTCAGCTCAGGTATTGATCTCAGGGTTGTGAGTTCAAGCCCTGAGTTGGGCTCCACACTGGGGGTGGAGCCTACTTAAAAAAAATAGAAAGAACACACAGCTGAAAATGTTTAATTTGCACACACTTTGGCTTGTTCGTATTTTTAAGATGTATTTTTATTTACAAAGTGAGATGATGCATAACAAACATAATGCAGTTACAAATGTATCTGATAACTCCATTTTCATGAAAAAGTATATAAATATATTACAGGAAATTCTATATAGTAAACATTAGAAACTGATACAGTAAACATTTACTACTTCTTTTCTATGCTGTCATTTAAAGCTTAAATACTGGTTTCAAGTATCCCCTATAAAATAACTCTATTAAAATACTGGGAAAGAATTTTGCTATAAACAAGATTGGTACATTAAAAATAGACTCGGCATGTCATTGTAACATCAACTATAATCAAAGGCTGCCTTAATCATCCCTAAGATCTGCACTGTTCAGTTAGTGTTAAAAATTTTTAAATTATTATCACAGGTTAAAGTAGCTGTAAAAATACAGCATTTCAACATTATTTATTGTTGTGAAGAATGCCCCTCTAAGGTAGAGGAGAATAAGCATAATAATATTGTATGGACTTGCTGCCCTGTGATCTTTATTTTAAGCAGAGAACAGGAACACCTGCTGGAGGCTGGGAGCAAGATGAAAAAGCATCCAGGAGGCCGTTCTTTTCATGTTATTTCAGAAGCTGTGGCTGTTCTTTTTGCTCTTCCTCAGCCTGAAGACGTGTCAGCACATAAAGGATGACTTTATAGCAGAAAATATATTGATCCTATGGCAAAAAAAAAAAAAAAAAGAGAGAGAGAGAGAGAAAGAGAGAGAGAGAGAGAAGACTCTAGATGTATAATATGAAATATATATATATAAAATGTTTGAGTAATTTTGAAAATATGGAAAAATTTTGTGATAATGTTTAATATAAGAAGCAGGATATAGAATTGTGCAGTGTCATAAAAATGATAAGAAACTGAAACCAGACTGACAAAATGAGGAGGGGCAAAGCCTTGGGGGTGAGTGAGTGGGCAGGTGGAAATATCCCAGAGTCCTAACTGAAATTGTCTGTGGTAGGACACTTTTATTTCTGTGCTTTGGTAATATGATTAGCTTTTATAATGGAAAAATAAACTTCCTACAAAATTTCCTCTAGATTTATTGAACTCATCTTGATGTTTTGAAATGTCAAGAAATACCCAAGAAGCTACACAAAAATAACACTCTTTAAATATTTGGAACAAAAGAATATGGAAATCAAAGTTTTTAGAAAATTAACTCTTTTTTTTGGTGAAATTACTCTGTTAAGTTGATGGTGCAGAGATCTGAGTTTTCTTGTTACACTTTGCAAGGAATTAATGAGTCTGAAGGTAGACAGAAAAAATTCACAACATACTAAATGGAAAGTAATAAAACACTAACTACAGTTGAATCTCATTTAAAATAGTCAGGTGTATGTGAGCGTTCATGCCTGTACACATGTGCTTGGCCTAAAGAATGTAAGGTTGCTTAAAACATGAACAATTCTGGAGTAGGAATATAAGTAACCCTTTTATTTCCTTTGTGCTCATCTGTATTTTAACTTTCCCACATTTGCACATGATTGTCCTTGACTTTCTCTCATGCCACAATCCATTAGCAAACCTACTTCCCATAATGTCCTCTTCTCCCTATATCCCTACCACCCCAGGCTGGGCCCACTGCCTGCCACCAAACTAACCTCCCTGCTTCTAACCCTGCATCCTCCTCCCCAAGTCGGGTCTTGTTTTAACACAGTAGCCAGAGGACCTTTAACATGTGAGTCAGATCATGTCAGTCCCCACCGATAATTCTGTGATGTCTCCATTTCACTCAGAGGAAAGCCCAGACCTGGCCCTGTCACCTCCCCTTCTCACCTCAGCCACACCAGCCATGGCCATTCTTAAACACACCAGGCCTGCTCCTACCTTGGAGCAGGTGGTTCTGCCTGCTTTAAATGCTCTTACTGCTAGCTAGCTCATGCCCCGCACTGTACTTCCTTCAAGTCTTTGCTTCAGTGTTACTTTCTCAGTGCTGCTACCCTATTTAAACTACTTCCCCCAGCCTGCCTCAGCTCAACTCTTTGCCCCGCTCTATTTTACAGCTTTCAAAGATCCTATATAACTTACTTAGTTAACCTGCTTAATGGCTGCCTTCCTCATCACTACCCCATGAGAAGATCTTTTTTCATTCACTGATGTACTCCAAGCACCTACCAAGAGTGCCTGGTCCATAAGAGGCATTCAAATAGATATCTGTTGAATGAGTGAATTTCCTGGGTTTAAGGAACTGCTTATACAGATCAGTATGCCTTCTTAACCTAAAAAATGTGTAAATCAGCTTAATGTTTAGGAGATTTAACTTGAATTAAAAATGTATCTGAAGGAAAGGAGGCAAATTTTAATTTTAAAGATAGTAAACTTCTATATTCTTCAAGAGGTAGAGAAATGTGAATTTATAGAAATATGAAAATAGTTTCCATATCTCTCCTCACAATACAAACAATGAGGATAGGGGAACCACTGAGAGCAGACAGATACTCTACATAATGTAACTCCTGTGAAAGACACGTCTGTAGGTCAGCGGGTGATATAACCATGGTTTGATGTCAGGTAAGAGAAATGAAAACATGACCAAAACAGAGGATACAAAGACCCAGCCATTCACTCTCCCCCAAGAGTGCCTTCTCCAAGCTAAGCAACTCCAGCCTGCCCTCTGGACTTCTCGTCAATGCTGCTGAATCCATTCCCTCTTAGGGAATTTCTGTGGCAAGAATGTTACCTTCTATATCTTTTTAAAGTTGGAAATGGGGAAAGAATGCCACAATTATATGCTATTTTGTACCAACCCCAATTGCCCCATCAACATGCCACCCCATTCTCTGTATATTGTTCAGTGCAGATACTGCATTTCCTGCATTTAAATTAAAGGCAAAATTTAAATGAGATATCTGTGAAATATTTTAATATTTTTCTGAATTAGTCCTAATGCTTACCACCATAAATCTTTGGTTTTATGTAATAACGTGGAGACCCTTTAAGAAGAGAAATGGTTTAACCAGAATTTTGAAAACATCAGCATCTTCATGAAAATCCTCATTAGAAGACACCAACCAAGACTCACCTCTGTCTGAACCATTCCATGTCTTTGTAGTCTCATGCAGCGTACTAAGTCAGAGATGTCAAACTGCCAAAGAAAACAAGATATCTGTTGAATGAGTGAATTTCCTGGGTCTTTTCACTCATTCAACAGATATCTAACTATACGTTAGATAAAAAGGGTTACTGAATTTGAACCCCAAAGATTCTGTATCTCATTCTCCTCCTTTTAGCAGTCTTGGGAAACTGTTCTGGACAAAATAAGTCAGTGGACTGACCCTGCCATCATTTGATAACTTTATTTACAATCTTTGTAAGAATTAGGGGAGGTTATTCTATTTGAAAATCCCCAACAAAAAACACAAACAAATACCCAAAAGAAATGCTCTCCCCTCTGGAATTTGACTAATTTCTAATATCAACATTAAAAAAAAAAAAAGACAAATTATTTTTCCTACAGTTTGCTTTTCAGAATGAAATTCCTGATCATTTTATTTTCACTGATAGTACCAGTTTGAAACAAGGGAGAAACAGACTTTGTTCTGTTCTACTTAAATTATTATGGTAGCTATAATAGTGTGTGAAGAGCAAGATAGAACTACTTTTAACGAAAATTCTTTAAGAGACAATGATTTTAATTGCTTATGTACAGTAAGATATTCTAACATTTTAAGTAAGGTTTATACTACTTTAGATTTTAAGTAAGATTATACTCATTAATTTTGTTTACTTAGTAATATTTTCTAAAGTGGGAGTAATTTTTTACAGACTAGCATCAATTTGTATAACAAAGTATACATTTCCCACTTATAGGTAAACAATAACAAAAAAAGAATATGACTTTTTATCTCATAAATATACTTTTTTTGTGTTTCTATATATATATATTTCTAAAGATTTTTATTCATGTGAGAGTGAGTGCAAGAGCACACAAGTGGGGGGAGGGGCAGAGGGACAAGTAGACTCTCTGCTGAGCAAGGAGTGCACCTTGGGACCAGATTCCAGGACCCTGAGATCATGACCTGAGCCACAGTCAGAGACTTAACTGACTGAACCACCCAGGTGCCCCTATATATATATATATATATATATATTTTTTTTTTTTTTTTAAGTAAGCTCTACACCTAATGTGAGGCTTGCACTCAGGACCCCAAGGTCAAGAATTGCATGCTCTGCTGACTGAGCTGGCCAGGTGCCCCAGTCCTTCAATATTTCTATCCCTAAATGTGACAGTGACACTGACTTTACCTTATACAAGCCTACAGACTGTAAAGAGTAAAATGCAATACTGCATGAGAGATATTGAGCACATGGTCAGAACCAGTAAAACAAATATAAAATTGAAGTATTATTTCTTCTTGATTATGATCTGGGTAGTTTTGAACATTTACTAAAATACAATTAAAAAAAATATTTTATTTGGGGCACCTGGGTGGCTCAGTTGTTAAGCGTCTGCCTTCAGCTCAGGTCATGATCCCAGGGTCCTGGGATCGAGCCCCGCATCGGGCTCCCTGCTCAGCAGGAAGCCTGCTTCTCCCTCTCCCACTCCCCCTGCTTGTGTTCCTTCTCTCGCTTTCTCTGTCAAATAATTAAATAAAAATCTTAAAAAAAAAAAAAAAGATTTTATTTGAGAGACAGAGAGAGAGAGAGAGAGCACGAGTGGCGGGGAGGGGCAGAGGGAAAGGAAGAAGCAGACTCCCCACTGAGCAGGGAGCCCGATGTCGGACTTGATCCCAGGACCCGGGAATCATGACCTGAGCCAAACGCAAACACTGAACTGACTGAGCCACCCAGGTGCCCCTAAGATACAATCTGATATAGTAAGAAAATTAAGGCATTCATAAAAGCTACTAAATAGGGGTGTCTGGCTGTCTCAGTTGGTGGAGTATGTGACTCTTTTTTTTTTTTTTTTTTTTAATTCATGAAAGTCAGAGAGAGAGAGAGGCAGAAGGAGAGAAGCAGGCTCCCCGCCTAGCAGGGAGCCCGATGCGGGACTCGATCCCAGGACCCTGGGATCATGACCTGAGCCGAAGGCAGATGCTTAACCATCTGAGCCACCCAGGCGCCCCCTAGTATGTGACTCTTGATCTTGGGTTTATGAGTTCGAGTCCCACATTGGGTACAGAGATTACTTAAAAAAATTTTAAGTACCCCCCCCAACAAAACCCCTGCTAAATAAAAAAATTCCAAGATCATCAGACACTATTAAAAGTTAGATTCCACTGTTAATTCTGATCAAATGCTAGTTCAGCCTATATCTTGTACTCACTTCAAGATCTTGACTGATTAATCCTAAGACCACATCTATACATATCAGGGTCCCTGAACGTCCAATGCCAGCGCTGCAGTGGGTGATGATTGGGCCGGATCTATGAATGTGTCTCATGTAAGAGATAAAAGTGAGCAAGTCGTCTGGCTGAGAAGGTGTATCGTGGTCTGGCCAGGCAGTGAAATTCAGATGAGAAATATGTCGTATCTCTCCTGTCTGAAATTGTACAATAGAGGAAATAGATAAATACTATATTTTCACACATATGTTTTAGTTTTTAATAATACACTGTCCTTTCAAACTTTGACTTGCCCATTGGATCAAATCAAAGGACAGGTGCAAGAGACAAAAAGACTCCATCAAAGAACACATGGAGGGTCTTTATCAAGGAGGTTGCTAAATCTACATTTTAAACACTGGTAAAAACTACTTTTTGAAACCCTAAAAGCAGATTACATTGATATGAATAACAACCTTTTCTAAATGACTCCACTTCAGACTCACTCTAGATAAAAGCCGAAGTCACTGCAATGCCTTACAAGCCCTGCATAATTTGACCCAGCTACTTCTCAGACTTGACCTCCTCCTCGTGGCCGCTTTGCTCCAGCCACAGGGACCTCTCTGTGGTTCTTTAAAAACATGAGGCACAGTTCAAGCCAGGGCCTTTGCACTTGCTCTTTCTGACTGAAATCCCTTCCGGCCCCCTCATCCCTGTGGCTCAATCAACTCCTTTAGGGTTTTTTCCACAGCACCATCAGTACTGGTATTTCCTCATTAACAACTAAACTCCATGAGGTCAGGGATTTCTTTTTGTCTGTCTTGCTAACTGCTGAATCCCTAGATTCCATAACAGGGCCCGAGCTCTACAAACAAACCATGTATTAATTAAACGAATCATTTAAGGAATATTGAACAACTGTGTTAGCGTAAGTAATAGGTAGGCTGGTGTGAATGAATAAGGTATAATCTTTAATTCTTTATAAAATCACATCAAAAACTATGAAGGAAATCTTTGGCTGCATTTACATTCGACCAATAGAATCAAGTCAAAGTCCAACAGGAAACCCATTACAGTTGACCGTCGAACAACATGGGTTTGAACTGTACAGGTCCACTTATACACGGATTTTTTTTATAGTACAGTAGTATAAATATTTTCTCTTCCTTATGATTTTCTTAATTAACATGTTCTTTTCTCTAGCTTACTTTCTTGTAAGAATCAGTCTATAATACATATAATATATAAAATATGTGTTAATTATTTATGATATCGGTAAGACTTCTGGTCAACAGTAGGCTATTAACTAGTTAAGTTTTTGGAGAATCAAAAGTTATATGTGGATTTTGGACTGCATGGGAGTCAGTGCCCCTAACCCCTGTATTGTTTAAGGGTCAACCATACTTATACTTGAGCAGGTGGGGGTGGGGGAGGAGGGTGGAACTGAGGGGGTGTGAAGGTGAGGAAAAGGAGCAGTTTTACTTAAGGTATATCCACTTATCTAATTCAAGCTAAACTGATTCAGTGGTTAGGTGGCTGCAGAAGGAATTACCCAAACAACAAACATTTATGCTACAAGTGCCCATGTATTACCAAATACGTTGTGTTTATGGGGGAATATTTGCTACTTAGAGATTTTTAAAAAATTGTTTTATTCACTCTTCTTAGAGGTTTGACCTTAGAAAAAGAAGTACATTTCTAGCACATACCTTCTGAGCCATTCTGTTCTATCACTGAGCAAAGGATGATGAATGGTCACCTTAAAGGCCTGTATTCTCATTTTCATCCTAATACAGTACATACTAGAGGAAACTGGCAGTTTAGAAGGTCACATTTAAGTTTCTCTTAGATAAAAAGTAATGGGTGACCTCAGTTCCACTGAAATGGGAAGCCCGAAGTTGCTGGCTTTCCTTTAGAAATACACGGATGCTACCGTGGAAAGTGCCCAGGCTTGCATTCCAACTAGGAGATAGTTGGAAAGATTTAACTCACTTACCTGAATCTCTTCTAGGGCCATTGCCCTTACTACAAAGCCCTTTAGCTGCTGCATTCTCACGAGAGCCAGCCGAAGCCTGTCACTGACCATTGTTGTTTGGCCTAGGACATTAGGCCAATAGCGCTGGCATTTGATTTTTTCCCCTTCCACTTCTTGGGTCATCATGGCTATCACTGTGGATTTTTGTTCCCAAATCATCTGCCAGAAATCTCCAACAGTTGTAGGGAGAGGTCCTTGGCAGGCAATGTAAATGAACTCTTCTTTTCCCACAGGTATCTTAATGAAGCTGGCGTTGATATAGCCACCTTGATCTCCAAGAGGCACTCTTGTAGCATCATCTGTGAATTTCCCACCACAAAACAGAGCCATCTATATGATGCATTTTTAAACAAGAGCCTTATAAACAGGGGGAGTCAAAGATTATGAGAAGTTGCTCAGAACCATAAAAGAAATCACAAATACTTAATAAAGGCATATTTTCAAATTACAGTCAAATCATTTTATATTTACTCATTTTGCTCTTGTTACAAGTATATCTAAGATGTCAACTCAGTGAGTTTCTGACAATTTGACATTATTTATGCAGATTTGGTTGAAAAATTAAAATTAATAAATCAATCAATACTTTTAGAACTTCTTAATAAGTTACTAGAGAAACAAACATAACTTTGCTACTCTTATCCATCCTTATTTTAATGATGACAGTAATGATGAATTTAATGAATGACAATGCTGATAGATTATTTCATAAAATAAAAATTAGTGTTATAATGAAACTGTTAAAGTACTTATTACAAATATAGTAGGCACAATTACCTCTTGCTCATCTAATTAAATTATATTCTTATAAATCAGCAGCCAAAATAATGAACACAATAAATAAAAAGGTAGCTTGCTTTATTCTCCAGGCATATAGGCCCCTGTCTCTGTCTGATTGTAATTTCATAGTCAAAATAAAATTTTCAAACCAGTGAAAAGTATATGTAAACCATCTTATCTGAGAGAATTAATTTGTAAGTAGTTATACATCAAAAGTCATTTCTATTTATTTATTTTTATTTTTAAAAAAGCACTTTATTTATTTATTTATTTATTTATTTATTTATTTAGATTTTATTTATTTATTTGACAGAGAGAGACACAGCGAGAGAGGGAACACAAGCAGGGGGAGTGGGAGAGGGAGAAGCAGGCTTCCCGCTGAGCAGGGAGCCCGATGCGGGGCTTGATCCCAGGACCCTGGGATCATGACCTGAGCCAAAGGCAGACGCTTAATGACTGAGCCACCCGGGCTCCCCAAAAAGTCATTTCTATTTAAAACATTTATGAATTTAACTGGTAATTTCTATGATTATCAAATTATGAATTCAGTAATAGGTTTCAAAATCCTCCATCAATTGCCCTTCAATTACTTGACTTCTATCTCTTAGTCCATGGAAACAAATCCACTCAGGAGTTCTGAATTTATGGCTTATCCCATTTGACTTTGAGATACTAGTCTGGCCATTTTCGGGGGGAGGGGGAGCTGAAATAATTCCTACCTACTTTACGCTGAACCATTATCAATTTCATTTTTAAAATGCTAAGATTCACTTTTCACAGGAAGTTTTCCAAAATAAATTTTGTGTCTTCCAACTTGGTTGAAAAAATTCAGTCATACTGTTATTTATTGCATCATTTGTCACTATTGGTTCTATTATAGATCTCTGAATTTATGACTTCTGGCAAAGATAGGATCATTGTATCATACACAGTGGAATCCAATGTGCTAATATATATAAATATGGCTGATGATTACTATAAGAAGTTGCTAAAAAAAAAAAAAAGAAGTTGCTAGACATTAATATTTTGGCTATATCTATATATATGAAAAAAAAGTCACATGTTGGTGAAATTAGTAAAGTGTGGGTAAAAAGAATTCCCTTTTTTCCTCCTAGTAGCTGAAACAATTCAAACTATAATGCAACCTGGTAGTACCACTGTTGATTACCACCGCAGCCACATGCACGTATAATGTATCATAGATTTCTCTAAAGTTAAAATGAGTGGAATAAATAGATGTTGGTGTGACACATGAACTAAGAAACTGCTCATCCAGAAGCGAATTCATACTTTTATTTATTTAATTTTATTTTTTTTAAAGTAGGCTCCACACCCAATGTAGGGCTTGAACTCATGACCCTGAGATCAAGAGTCACATGGTCTACCAACTGGTCTAGCCAACCAGGCACCCTCTCCCGTAGAAGCTGATTCATATTTTTAAGAAGACCTTAAAATTACTGATTTGGAACGCCTGGGTGGCTCAGTTGGTTAAGCACTGGACTCTTGATTTTGGCTCAGGTCATGATCTCAGGGTCGTGAGCTGGAGCTCGGGCTCCGCACTCTCCCTCTCCCTCTGTCCCTTCCCTCCCCTCATGCATGTGCATGCTCTCTTTCTCTCTCAAATAAATAAACAAATCTTTAAAAAGAATAAAACTACTGATTTGGCATCACTGATTAATTTCTAATACTATGCTGCAAAAATTCATGAATGTCTGAATAAATAGTTAAGATTCTTCTGATTGATTTGCAGAATACATAGATAATTTAAAAAGGAATTCACATTGTATATCTAGATTTGTTACTGATGTAAATCTCTAAATATGTGTTTGTGTATGTGTGTGTGTGTACACTTGTGTGAGAGATAGGGTAAACTAGCATAAAAGTTTTAAATCAGTTCAAATTTTTTAGACATATATTTGATTTGAAGTCAGATTAAACTTACAGGGAAGTATATTTTTATATCGGTTCTTTCTTCTGTTTTCCTTAGTTTGTCCAATTAGACACTGATCCAAAGGTTTTAATTCTTGAAGATTCTGCAAGAAAAAATGGAAATAAAGTTAAATTTGTTGAGATAAGCAGTAATTCAGCAATAACTGCAAATGCTTTAAATACGCAGGGTGTAAAATTGGTTACTGATTAGGGCAGACTTTGAGTGTTAAGAAATAGGTATGTCCTGTCAAGATAAGCAAGTCTAAAATCCCAGTACTAATCTGATATACCAGTTGATGAAATATATTGCTGCAAATACCTTTAACACGTAGTCAACTAAATTTGCGAGGCTGTACTTTGTACCTTAATTTTAAATTTCAGTTTAAAGAGGTCTATAATCATATTTTAGGGAAAAAAACAACATATAAAAGCAACTTTGGCTTAAAGTAATGAGCTGGAGCAGAATTCCTTGAAAATATTATCTGTGGGGTCATAGAATAACCCATGTGGTAGAGTTGTGGTTAGATAGTCCTAGGTTTTAAAGTCCACTCTCACTTTTCATTCACTCATTAATCCACACATTTATCTCTTTATTCATCCATCCATGCAAATGTATATTGAAAATGCCTACTAGATGCAGGACACTGTAATAAGTGCTGGGAATACAATGTTGAGGAAGAAGATATGATTCTGATTCTCCTCGAGATTACAGACTATTGGGAGAAAGAGGCAGTAAAGACGCAAACAAATACTGTGATATATGCTTTGAAGAAATTAACAAGCTGTTATGTTAGAGAATAATAAAGATCTACTTTTTTATTTTAAAGATTTTGTTTATTTATTTGAGAGAGAGACACAGCGAGAGAGGGAACACAAGCAGGGGGAGTGGGAGAGGGAGAAGCAGGCTTCCCGTGGAGCAGGGAGTCCTATGCGGGGCTCGATCCCAGGACCCTGGGATCATGACCTGAGCTGAAGGCAGATGCCCAACGACTGAGCCACCCAGGCACCCCAAAGATCTACTTTATAAAGGGTTGTTATGGCAGGTCTTTGAATGGTGACATTTAAACTTAAGCCTTAAAGAAGAAATCATTGCTGTAAAATGGAGAGGAAGAGTATACCTCAACTATTGTGAACTTGTTTCCAAACTATTAATGTGATTTACATTATTTTGAGTATTAAATACAAAAAAGCATCTAGCACATTTCAGAAGCTCTCAAGAGAAGTTAGCTCCTTTCACTTCAGTGGCTATGAAAAGCTCAGGAAGTGGGCAAAGTAAGCATATGGTTTGAGGGAGATGAACAAGGTAAACCCCAAAACCACAATGGTACTACATTCCTCTTTTGCCTAGTGGTAAATATGGACGTTGCCAGCAAGACCACATGAGCAAGGGCTCTGAACCACTGCTGCATTGAACCAAGGGGCATATTTCTGGAGCTGTATTAAATTAGAAACTGTTGCTAATGAACCACATCTACAGTGTATTGATTATAAAGTTCAGTGGATAGTTAGAATTAACACTTGACTTAAAAAAAAAAAAAAAGCCTCTCTATCTCTACTGTGAGGCAGGGAAGGTAATCTTTGGGGAGATTTGTCAAGCTCCAAAGTGGCTAAAGAGATCTCTTTAAATCAATACTACTAGGATCCTAATTGGAAAAATTAATTTCTTGCTGGCTAGGACAAGGTGGTATTTTTAGCTGGAAGTAAAGTTATAAAGTAATGGACATTTTCAAAATTTCTCCTAGCTTTGCATAAAACTTTGTCTGGGAAGGAATCATTGGCAGAAGCCACTTACCTCCAGCTCCTTAGAAGGAATTCCTTGATCTAATAAACCTCGCAATGTTCGAATGACTGATTTCAACTTGGTGCCAGTGTATTTACCAGAGGGAAGCACTTTGATGATGGGGAGTGCAGCAAGCTCCTCATTTGTCAGAAAGGGATGATCTAACAAGAAGACAGAAGTTGATTTTTTTAAAAAAAGATTTTATTTATTTATTTATTTAGAGAGAAAACACAAGGGTAGGGTAGGGGGAGGGGTAGGGGAGGGGCAGAGGGATAGCGAGAAGCGGGCTCCCTGCGCAGGGAGCCTGATGTGGGGCTCAATCCCAGGACGCTGAGATCATGACCTGAACTGGAGGCAGACACTTAACCTACTGAGCCACCCAGGCGCACTGACAGCAGTTGATTTTTTTAAAAAAATTTCCCCCAAAACTGACTTAGCCAATAAGGGAACTGATTTGAGCCTATTCTCATCTCATTTTTTTTTTTTTTTTTACAAAAGCAAGAGTCTTTAGAATTAATACGGCAGGAGAACAGGTAGGCAGATACCTACAATCAACATAAAATCTTGGCCACAGCAAGGCCCTTGTACCCAACTTTTAAGGAAACACCTCACTGACTGTTAGAAATTCTTAAGGCTCTTGGCTCTCATGTATTTACAATTTCTAGAAGTTTAATTTTTTTTTTTTTTGCTTCTCTTAACTCAAATGACATTATTTTCATGATGAAAATGTGTGTACTCCCATTAATGTTTTGCACTTAAATTAGCTTCCAAGCACATTGGGGAAAAGATGAAGGGAGATGCTTCAGAAATTCCTTACAATGGGACACTGCACTAGAAACACCAATGCCTCCTTTCTCTACCCCCGCTCAATAATCAGTGCCAGTATCTTGGGCATTTGAAAGTTTTCTCAATACAAATGAAAACTTGGGGTCTCTAGGAGCTTATCAAACAAGTGATATCAGTGTCTTAGAAGAGATATGTATCTAATTTAGTACTTGCTCTATGGAAACTGCTTATACCAGAAGGCAACTATTATCCTGGAAAAAAGTAGGAGAGAGCTCTTGCTATAGTCTTGTGTAGCTGCAAAGCTGTAAATTAGTTGATTAAAGCTTTCTGATGATGCAGCTACTATGTAGGCAACAATAATGCTAGGCTCTGTGGGGTATACAAAGCTGTACAACATACTTCGAGAAGCTGAACATCCGGTGGGGTGAAGGCTATTTGTAAATACAGAATTAAACTTTTACAGACCTTAGTGTAAAGGCAACAGGATCTCAAAGGCTGGAGATGAGCATGGGCTACAGGATTTGACAAGAGCTCTATCACTGACACCAACAATTTACCAAAATCAAAAAAGTCTTAATTCAACTTCTTTAATTTCCTTTAACAACTAATAAGACTTCAGATTACAAAACCATGTCTTTCATTGCATTAGTAGAACACTGCCTTTATAAAAAAAAAAGAGAGAAATGATACACTGGATGGAGCCTCATTTCTCCACTGGCTCAGTTATAAAATGAAAGAAGTAGTTAATAGGACAGAGCAATTAACTCCTGTTTTTAAAAAATGAGGCTGAGATGCAAGGGTAATAATTTCCTATCTTTGAGCTATTCTACCTATTTTATTATAAATAAAATGCATTCCTCGACTCTTTCCAGTTTGACAAAATTGTGACTTTGTGGGTTTTTTTTTTTTTTTTTTTTTAGATTTTATCTATTTATTTGACAGAGATCCAGAGAGAGAGGGAACACAAGCAGGGGGAGTGGGAGAGGGAGAAGCAGGCTTCCCGCCGAGCAGGGAGCCCGATGCGGGGCTCCATCCCAGTCCCTGGGATCATGACCTGAACCAAAGGCAGATGCTTAACCATCTGAGCCACCCAGGAGCCCCTGATTTTGTGTTTCTAATTAAAGTATTTACACATTTATTTGTGTGTTTTACTTTAAGCCACTGAGAATTTTAGCCTACACCTGTGCAAATATCTAGTTATATAACTGCTGTTTGTCTTGTGATTTTACCTTATGTATGGAACCAAATAATGTACACATACAGTGAAATAACACATCCATATAGTCTGAAAACTAATTTTCAAACGCTTATTTTTTTAATCTATTATTTTTGACAAAAGAATTGCTCATAAAATTCTTGCCTTTATCAGAATCTTCATGGTTTGTTGTTTCTATTGGCAATTCATCACTTCCCCATGTTATCTCATCATCATCATCAGGCTTCCTTTCTTGTGACTTTTGAATCAAGCTATGACAACAAAACACAGTGGTAATATTTTCTTCAGTTTTGTCCCTGAAATAAATTTAAATATTATGTCCTTGAACCCTTGTTTCCTCTACAGTTATCATGATATTTAAAAATAGAACATCTGATTAAAAAAGTCCAGGTCCACAAGTCCTAAAACTCATTGGTAGATGGAAATTAAACTGAAGCACAGAATTGTTTAGTACAGTCTAAAATTTATCCTCAAACAAATCCTGTCTTTGAACCTTAGATTGAAGGAGTCCCCTTGGGGATAGAGAAAGTGGTGGTTTGTTTCTGCCCTTCAACATGGATAACCCATTATAATTGTGTGAGTATAACTCTTGGTTTTTTTTTTTTTTTTTTAAGTAGGCTCAATGCCCAGCGTGGGGCTTAAACTTATGACCCTAAGATCAAGCCCTGTGCTGAGATTAAGAGTTGGATGCTTAACTGACTGAGCTACCCAGGTGACCCTCTCTTGTCTTTTTAATAGCTACCTACTATTGTACTATATGGATGTATCTTAATTATTTATAGAAGCCTCTATTGATGGACATCTATTTTTTGCTACAGCTGGGGGCTAGAAAGACACTTCTGTATCAGGGCACTCACTTAATGTAATAAAGCACAGTACAAGTTCTCATTATTCTAGGGTACACAGTAGATGCCATCTCCCTGGTAAGGTGGATGGCTAGGGAAGAGAATCTAGGCGGAGAAATGTTTAGTAATGAGGTGAAAAAGGATAATGTAAAAGGCTGAACACATTTTTTCATTTTCTGATATTCAGAAACATCAATAACAGGGCAGCAATTATGCTGCTTTTATGGTGGATGTTTTCCTCTACTCCAGCTAATTGTGGGTTACAATTAATATTTAATTTGCAAGCTCTGCACCTATGAGGTTGCTTTTGTCATCTAGTAAGTATATTCTGTCTGCAAGGATATAGTTTGGAGATCCTTCCATCAGGCATTCCCTTCCTTCTCATTCTTTTGATTAGCTGCATTAGTATTTCATGGGTGCTTGTGTGAGTATACCCTAATTTATTCTGTGTATATTATGTTTTTTTAGAAATATAAATGATGTTGCAATTAAATTTTTGTGGAAATGTCTTTGCACACGTGGTAGTGGGAGCAATTCTTAGAAATAAAATTACTAGATTGAAGGTTATGTGCTACAGTTCTTTGAATCTATGATACCCATCATTGTAAGATACACTATTGTTTTGTTCACATTAAGAAAGAAATAGTATCGATGATTGTATATGGTTTCAGAGATCTTAAAATTAAAAAGCGTATCGTAACATGCAGATAAAATTTATATGTTAATAGTGTTTCTAACTGCCACCCAAATAAATTACATATACTAATCTACCCTTCCTCCTTCCTCCCCTTCCCCTGCCTAACAGAGTAGAGCCTGTATCTTTACAATTCATGGCAGCTGGCCCAGATATCTGCTAATCTTTTAAATTTAAATTGTATGCATTTCTACATTAATAATATGTACCCCCTTGTCTAATTTTATTTAGTGCAAAATTCACTGTCAGTTTGCTTTTCTAGGAAAATGCAAGTAGCTCCCTTTGATTGTTAGGTTATCATCTGATATGGAGCAAAATTTATTTATGTACAATCACTTTGTTGGCCAACTTATATATATATAACTTTTTAAAACATTAAACAATGTATCAGGAAAAATCCTATTTTGTATTAGAAACTGTTTTCAAAAAGAAACAAAACTGTGGGGTTTTAAAATGTTTCTTATCTTCTTCGGTTTTATTTTAACCCTACTAGGAGATAATCACTATAATCATTGTTGGCACATTCCCTTTTAGACCTTTCTTTCATTTTTCCCATGGTCAAGGATATACTTCATTTAACAAACACATTGTCACACGTCACTAAAACCTCCCTTAATATTCAACCATAGGTCCATAATTTAGTCAAATATTCTCCTTTTATTGGAAAAGAATAAATTAATTTCAAAAGCAACATCTAAATGAAAATCTTCAGAGCACTTCTAAAAAGGAATGGAACTGTTATACTTTAAAAGATTATCTTCTTACCTTTCACTTTTTACTTTTTCTTCACAATATTCTTCACAGCCATTCATTTTGACAGACTAAAATAAAGAGAAATAAAAATCACATTAGCCCATTGTTAAAAAAAAATCAATCTTGGAATGTTCCATTTTTTTCCTGTTAATTATTTCCTATATTTACTGTTATGTCCATCCTCCTGTAACAAAGACACATATGACATTCAATTAATGTCAAACTGTGGCTAAGGCATCTTCAGTGACCCAAGAGGTTTTGCTGGTTCCACTTCTTCACCTTCACACTCATTTTGGATTTCCTTTCTTATGTAAGGGATATTAATAGTATAGAGGTAAGGAAAAAGCAAGATGAAAAGTTAAACTATGATTATTTAGATATGCATATTTGGTTTATGCTTTTACACTACTTCAATATTTTATTTATTTATTTGAGAGAGAGAGAATGAACGGTGGTGAGGGGAAGAGGGAGGAGAGAGAGAGAGAGAGAAAGAAAGAGAGAGTCAGACTCCCTGATAAGCAGGGAGCCCAATGCAGATTTCGATCCCAGGACCTGGAGATCATGACCCAGGCACCCTACAATACTTCAACTTTAAAATCTGAAAATGGGCTCTCCAGAAATATCCTAGTAATTTTCAATGTGTTAAATTATCTTTCCCTTTTATTATTATTATTATTATTTTTAAATATTTTATTTTTTCGACAGAGAAACACAGCGAGAGAGAGAGCACAAGCAGGGGGAGTGGGAGAGAGAGAAGCAGGCTCCCCGCAGAGCAGGGAGCCCGATGCGGGACTCGATCCCAGGACCCCGGGATCATGACCTGAGCTGAAGGCAGACGCTTAACGACTGAGCCACCCAGGCGCCCCTCCCTTTTATTATTAAAATGAGGAGTCTCTCCACGGAGAACATAGACCAATCAGCTCATACTGTAATGGGAGATGGTGTCTCAGAGACCCAAATACTGCAGGAGCAGTTTGCTACAATTAGAAGATGCCAAGTTTCATTCTAACATGGTTAATAAATCTTACATTTCAATCTTTTTTTTTTTTATTTATTTGAGAGAGAGAGAATGAGAGACAGAGAGCATGAGAGGGAGGAGGGTCAGAGGGAGAAGCAGACTCCCCGCCGAGCAGGGAGCCCGATGCGGGACTCGATCCGGGACTCCAGGATCATGACCTGAGCCGAAGGCAGTCGCTTAACCAACTGAGCCACCCAGGCGCCCCCATTTCAATCTTTATTAGGACAAATTATCTTAACCAATGGGAAATTCCTGTCAAGACCCCGAATTACCTGGCTTCTGTCTACCTCTATGATCCATCTGGTTTTATTCTCTACTTACCTGTGGGCTTCAAATCCCCGGTCTTTCTTTTAGCTCTTCAAAATCGCTCACCCCTTCTCACCACAAAGCTCTTCCTGTGGAAGGTACTTTTCCTTTATTCAGTGTGTCCTTTCCTTCTAAGGATGTGCCCTGACCGCACAGTCTGAAGTAGGTCTCCTTGGTTATTCTCTTTTGCAGCACTTTTTTTCTTTTTAAACTTCATAGGCCTTATCACAACTTGTAATTGCTTGTTTATTTGGGTGTGTACTTGATCACTCTCTTGTCCTCCCCATTACACTGTACGATACCAATGACCGTGATAACAATTTCCCACTATTTTTGCAAAGTTCACCTGTGCAGGGGGGAGGATTGGGTTAAGGAGACGGGCTTTCAGTGTCTCTTCTCATTCTGGATTGTAGGCTCTTTGGAACACGAGGTAGCTCTCGTACTGCCTCAGTGAAAAGATTTAGGGCTTTTATCATGGCCAGCCCATGTGAAGGTTAGTTTGTTATCCTACTGCTCAAAGAATCCAGATCCAGCAACTTGAAAAATAGAAATATCTCCTGGATCCAAGACCAACTCTGTCATTTGTAGTGCCCAGTGTCAACTGAAAATATGGGATTTCTTGTTAAAAAATTACTAAGAATTTCAAGATGGTGATGACACAGCATTATTTTACAAATAAGAGAGGACCTCTTATAAGCTCAGGGCTGTGTGACTACATTGGTTGAGCTCCCATAAAGCCAGGATCCCAGAGTCAAGCATGATTATCTTATAGGTGATGGAAAGCCACTGAAAGTTTTGTACTGTTTAACTACAAATTTAAAAACTTTTTAAGAATAACCAGAATGAGAAATAACATAGGAATCACACAGATGTATTTCAGCAAAATGATGCCATGTCTTTGCAGGACACGCCTTTCTTCTTTTCATCCTAGCTCTTCTGACCTCATGTGTTTCTACCTCTCCCAGCAAAGTTGCCTGCCCTGAGATGTAGAAAGATCAAACCTCTTGGCACAGCATCTAAGTCGCTTGCTGAACTTACCCCTGCCTATCTCTTCAGCCTAGCTTTCAAGACACCACGTGACACCCTACCTGCAATGATTTACTGACATGAAAGTCCCAGGCTGATCCAAACCTTCATATCTTTGCTAAGCAACTCCTCAGTATGGAATGCTCTTTCCCATAGCCTCTCACCTATCAAACACCTTTAAAAGGCTAATTCTCTAGGAAGCTTTAATAACATATACATCCACTCCTGTATGGTCCCTATTATTTCCTAGTTCTTTAAGACACTCTCTGAATTCCATACAAACATTTACCAAGACATGTTTTTACTATAATTTTAAAAATTACACTTACTTATTTATATGTGTAAAACTCCCAAATTGACTACTAGACTATATAAGCAAATTTAGGACAAAAACCCTGACATACCTTCTTAGTCTGTTATCCCCAGCTTAATTAGAGTCAAACAAGTTCAGTAATAGCTAATGAACAGAGTTGAAAGATTAGATGATGATTTACATTATGTATATGACTGGCATTCATAAGTAAGACTCAGACACTGGCCTTAAGTATTTCATTAAGAGGTAGTCAAGTGTAGAGTGACAAATTACAGTAGAGTGACAAATGACTATGCAGTATACTACACTCTTTATAATACCATGATTAGTAGCTTAACTTTCGGCCCATAGGGTTAAAACCCTGAGACTTTCAGGATTGTACATATAATCCAGTAATCCACTACTGGGTATTTACATAAAGAAAATGAAAACATGAATCTGAAAAAGAAGTACCCCTATGTTTATTGCAGCATTTTTTTTTTTTTTAAGTAATCTTTATACCCAACACAGGGCTTGAACTCACAACCCTGAGATCAAGCGTCACATGCTCTACCATCTGAGCCAGCCAGTGCCCCTATTGCAGCATATTTTCAATAGCCAAGATATGGAAGTAACCCAAGGGTCCATCAACAGATGAATAAAAAAGATGGAGTATATATACACAATGGAATATTACTCAGTCATAAAAAAGAATGAGTTCTTGCCATCTGTGACAACATGGATAGACCAACAGAATATCATGCTAAATGAAATAAGACAAAGACAAATACCATATGACGTCACTGAGATGTGGAATCTAAAAAATAAATGAACAAACAACAGAAACAGACTCATAGATACAGAGAATAAACTGGTGGTTGCCAGAGGGGATGGGGTGGAGGGGGAGTATGGGCAAAATAGGTAAAGGGGATTAAGAGGTACAAACTTTCAGTTATAAAATAAATCACTATGTTGTATAATTGAAACTAATATAACATTGTATTTCAACCATATTTCAATAATAAAAGTTAAAAAAAAAATCCACAAAACTTCCAGGGTTGTAGAATACAATGTTAAGAACCAATTCAGTAAATAATCTACAATTCATTTATAGTGAACCCAGAGATGCACCTATGAAAAACTGAGTATTTTAGGAAGTTGTAAGAAACTTAAAATTACTCAAATATAGGCAATATTCTAGAAATATAGGATGAAACAGAAAACTTTTCCAGAATATTGGCTTAATCTTCATTTTAGCTATGGAGATTAGTCATATTTGTCTTTTTTGAATTTGTCTGCTTATGAATATAATTTCCATAGTGATTTTAACACATTTAGAGTTTGATACAAATGAAACTTCATGTTTTTATCTCAGTACTTTGTTTCCTCCTTTCCTGAATTGTTTTTTTACTTTCTTTGTTTTGTTTACTCTTAGTTAACATCTATTCTGAAGCAGAAGTCCCATATATTCAAGTGTCAATTTATTAATTTTAAGGATGGACTGCCCCAAAATGTTTGGTCTTAAACATCTTGAATTCTCAAGGTGCAAGTTTGTGGGATCTATCTGTACTTTGGTGGTAGAACAACTTATATGATATGAACTTTAATTAATTAGTTAATTAATTAATTAAAGACCTTTTATTTGAGAGAGAGCATGAGTGGGGGTGGTGGGGAGGAGGAGAGGGAGAGAGAGAAGCAGATTCCCCACTGAGCAGGGAGCCCGACATGAGGCTCAATCCCAGGACCCCAGGATTATGACCTGAGCCAAAGGCTGATGCTTAACTGCTTGAGCCACCCAGGCACCGCTGAACCTTAATTTTTAGATTTGTACTGGACAGTTTTACATCCTAATTTCTTCCAAGTGAAATTTGAAATCATTTTGGCAAACCACTCTGCTTCTCATTTAAAAAAAAAAAAAAAAGTCGAAATATTTTATGGGACCATATTTAACTTAAGGGTAAATCTAGGGAGAATTTAAATTTTAGGTTTTTCTATCAAAGAATAGAAATATTTAATATTTCTTTTGCTTCTTTGTAGAGCTTTAAAGTTTCCATAATATAGGTCTTACACATTTGGGGTTGAATTTATGCCTATAGCTTTTATTTGTTTTTAACTATTGTGAATGAAATTTTACTTAATTATATTTTATAACTGGTTAAAGCAAAGACTATGTTATGGACTGAATTGTGATCCCCCAATTCACAGGTTGAAGCCCTAACCCCCAATGTGATAATGTTTGGAGACTAGGATCTTTATCGAGGTAATTAAAGCTAAATGAGGTCATAAGGATGGGACCCTAATCCAACAGGACTGGTGTCCTTATAAGAAAAGGAAGAGACACCAGGAGTGCATGAACACAGAGGAATGGCCATGTGAGGACACAGTGAAAAGGTGGCCATCTGCAAGCCAAGGAGAGCGTTTCATCAGAAACCAACTCTGCTGGCATAGTGATCTTGGACTTTCAGCCTCCAGAATTGTGAGAAAATGAATTTCTGTATTTTAAGCCACCTAGTTGGTGGTATTTTGCGATGGCAGTCCAAGCACACTAGGACAGGTTACAAACGCAAATGCCTATGGGAACCAGAGAAATACATATAAACCTGTGAATGCCAGGGTCAGGGCAGGGGGTGAGCAGTGCTGGGAAATCAGAAATGGTGGAGGCAGGGGAGGCAGAGGTTAAAGCCTTAGTAGAGAAAGCAAGCTTAAGGAGATACATAATTCTAACAATATACAGCATCCTAGAGTGTTTATCTAGGTATTATCCTTACCTCTGTAAAATCTTCAGGTAATGGTGAACCATCACAGTCTTTATCTTCTGCTCTCCCTTCAGATAACTGCCCATTGGTTTTCAATGAACCTGGGAGAGAAATAAATGGGCCAAAAGGAGTTAAAATGCTCCCCAGGGGCCTTCTTGTACTCTTGAGTATACTGGCTTATTCACTCTGGTTCATCTACCTGAAATACAGGCATCTCCTGCTGCATTATTTTGGTTTAAAAGATTCTGGGCTTCCTCATCCACAACATCCAGCAGAGACTGAATAACTTCAGCTTCTTGAGGATCATCATAGATATCATCTTCTTGTACATTAGATTCTTGAAAAACAGGAATTTACGTGAGATTTTACTTTAAAAATATTGATATAAGAAAGAGACACCGTGTCAAATCAAAGATAGCAGGTCTTTCAAATTTTAAGCATCTCCTTTGAAAAGCAGCCAGAACTGGAAAAGCAATTTATACTTGTGGAACCTAGACATTTCTAGTCCCAACATGACTCTGGCTGCCATGACAAAAGACCATACAAATACAAGTTAAATAAACCAAAATCTATGTCTGTGAATCAATAACTTAATGATTATTTTCCTAAATCAATCCCAAATTATTAATTCATGAAAGAAATTCAACTAAAGAAGTTATGTTACAAAAATTAAGGGTATACTGGGGTGCCTGGTTGGCTTAGTTGGTTAAGGGTCCAATTCTTGGTTTTTGGCTCACGTCAGGGTATCAGGGTCATGTGAGCGAGCCCCCACATCGCACGGTGCATTGGGTGTGGAGCCTGCTTAAGATTCTCTCTCTCTCCCTCTGCCCAACGCCCCCCCACCATGTGTGCTCTTGTGCGCACATGCTCTCTTAAAAAAAAATGAAATAAAATTTACAAAGATTAAGGATATAATAGGGCAGCCCAAACATCCTCAAGAAATATTTTCTAACTTATTAGAATTGTTGCTTCAAAGAATATAAGCAACACTATCAAACAAAAACAGCCATCTTGGGGTGCCTGGGTGGCTCAGTCATTAAGCATCTGCCTTCGGCTCAGGTCATTGATCCTGGGGTCCTGGGATTGAGCCCCACATCGGCTCCCTGCTGTGCTCGGCGGGAGGCCTGCTTCTCCCTCTCCCACTCCCCCTGCTTGTGTTCCCTCTCTCGCTGTGTCTCTGTCAAATAAATAAATAAAATCTTAAAAAAAAAACAAAACCAGCCATCTTTTCTATCATTTAAAAATATTCTTAACATTAGAGATGAGAATGAATACAGTACATTTATACAGTAATGCAGCTAACAATAAATTTTACATTGTTCTTTTATTTCTTTGAACAACAATCCTTCCATTTTACACTATGGAAACATGTAAACCCAATACCTAATATTTCTTTGTTACCTGAATTATTAGGGCATTTAGAGTAATTGGATGATTGATTTGGAAAACTACCTTTGGAGAGAATCAAATTTGCTGATCCCTTCATCTGATAAGTAGAACATTTTCCTTCAGGGTACAAAACTTCAATTATTTCTTCCCCATTAACCTAAAGTATGAAACCAGAGCAAATCATTAGTTTACTATATTACTAACTTCCAAGATTAGGGAGGGACTGTAGATTTCCCTACCATGTCCTTCTCTCCCTCTTTCTTAGTACAAAATCCATTTTATATCTGCCCATAATAGATCAGTGTTTCTAGGAAACATCAGTACAATGGAATGTACAAAGAGGATGGGACTTTCCATCACTGAAAATCTCTGGAAACAGATTACGTAACATCAAATCATTATTTTTATTCCAAGAATTCTCACAATGTTTACTATTATGAATTTTGAGTTGCCAAAGAAAACTCTATTATGTAGTATTTCTTAAATCTGTTTGACTGCAGAAATTTCTTTTTTGAGGCATATCTTATGGGACTTAGCTTTCATAAAACTTTTTAGGAAAGTTTTATAGGATCATTAAACTCAGAAGTTGAGGGAAAGGGAAAAAAATCATCTTTTAAAAGTATCTGTGAAGCTGTGACTTGGACACACACTCTAGTTTAGTTTATCATTCTAGTCAACTGCTGGGTATAAAGATTTTCAAATCTAGGCTAAATCTCACCTCAATTTAAGAAAAGTAACAATGGGTGCCTAACTATAAATTAATTATTGAATAGAATGTAACTTTCTAATTCAATGGTAAATTGTGACCACTTCATGGTGCATGGCCTATTGAAAGAAAACTGATTTGAGCAAAAATGCAAAATTAAATGATTAGAATAAATTAAAATAATTATATACAAATAAAAGGTGGTTTGCTCTGAAGATCTTATTCTTTTTATCAAGACAAAAAGTAAAAATGGTAGATGTGACAGAATTATTTCTTCATAACTAGTGGTTACATAATGTCAAGTTTTACTGGATTGTGAAACTCCAATCTTTACGTGAAATTCATAGTACAGACGTTAGCATCAAGGACAGAATATTGTTTGAGAGACTTCCTGAAAGAGTTGAACTCCAACAAAAAAATGTTTGAAATCGTGAGTAACAGAGATCCTAGTTTCTAAGAGTTTCATATTAATTTAAACAGAAATCCTCCCCTTCTCCCTTTCAACATGCTGATATTTAAAAAGAAAATGAACACCATACAGCATGACTAACACTAGATATACATGAAAATTCCGGTGTTCCAGCTCTGTGTAATTGTAGACTTTATGAATAAACAGGGAGTAGTGGGTGTTGTTGTACCTCAATTATTTACGTGTCCCAATCATTTCTGCCTAATAATTCTTCTACTGCAATATCTTTTCAGGATTTGCTGTACCAGTGAGCTGAAAGACATAGAATTTTGACCTTCTGGTCACCAAGTTTTCTTTCTATGCTAAATCCAGCTCTTATCCAGAAATCTTGTTGAGATGATAGGGTTTTCAGATTCCTAGGAGACCAATGCCTCAGCTCTGGATCTTACATGGAAAGACTTTCAAATAGTGGGGTTCTGAATAGACTGTATGGGATGTGTGTGGGATTAAACAATTCCACAAAATGAAGATCCAGCTGGGATCATTTTAGAATGTACATTACATGCCAGAAGAAAATCATAAAAAGAAATGCTAACCAAACGAATGGGAATACATAAGGCCTTAAAGAGAAAGCTCAAAGTGGAATTTGGTTATGTATTAAAGTAGTTTCGTTAAATCACCTCCAGATTTTTCTGTGCTAATCTTAAATGACTTAGGTTCTTGCATTTGATTATGTGGTGAAGCATTTTCCATATCTTTTAAAAAGCAAATAAGCCTCTCTCTTTTGTCAGTACCATCTGTACCAGCAGAACTGTCATTTGAGAGTCACTGCTGCTCAACACTGACCCAAAGGACCAATTCTACTCTTAATGATGTATGTTCTCTTCTGGGTATGTAAGACACAACCAAAAGAACTGTGCACATTAATAAAAAGATCGCACTAAAGCTATCTATACAAGTAATTAGTTATATAAGAGCTAAATATGTGCTAAATGATGGAGGGTTGCTTGTGTGGGGGCTGTTCACTGTGTGCTTTACTTAGCAAGGCTATGAGTTCACTAAAACAGATTCCTACTATCACTACATGTATCTAAAAAAGGCAAATATTCAAATGTGAAATCAGTTTGGTTCAAGACAAACAAGCTGGTTATTCAGCTAAGGAAGCATGACACGAAGAAGGTGGCCTTTTCCTTACCTTGGAGAATGAATTACTAGGAGTGAGGGCAGGCTTGTGGCAAGGCTCCACAGGGTGATGACCTGAAAGGGACAACATAGGAAGTCAGGGAAGAGCCAGCTGGAACCACAGTAGGGACATCAAAATAGTGAAGGAAAACCCACATTTCTGGGCATGTGTCTTATTTTTATTAGTACACTGGAAGAGGTCGTATTACAAAGAGATTTAAAACCAACTAGATGGAATCAAATATTATGAAAGGGTTTATTCCAAGGAAAAAGCTAATTTCTTGAAAGAAAATACTGTAGTTCGTGTGAGAGCTCAGTTTGAGCTGAATGGTTTTAGTGTGAGACACTGAATATAAATTATCCTGACTGAATGGGAGAGGTATCACACGTGCTGACCTATACTCACTTTACTATTTAAGGGAAGGTAGCAAACCATGTATATCATTTCATAAAAGCTATCAATTTAACACAGTAAAATAAGTTATGGATACAACTAAATAGAACTTTTAATATATGTCTAAACCAAATGTTAATTTTAACTCTTAGCCATCAGTATGAAGATTCAATACATATACTAAAATGAAATTATGTCTCTTACAGTTAAAAAGTCATATTTAAAAATAATTTGCTTCATTAAAATTATATTTTTATGAGATTTTGAAAGATACAGTAGAGTTTGGAAAAGTTAAAAAGGAAAAAAATAGCAAAAAAATACAGAATGACCTAAAAATAATTCCACCCAGAGGGGCACCTGGGTGGCTCAGTGGGTTAAGCAGCCGACTGGTGATTTTAGCTCAGCTCATGATCTCATGGGTGGTGAGGCTGAGCTCAGTGTGGGGGTCTGCACTCAGCAGGGACTCTGCTTGAGAATCTCTCCCTCTGTCCCTCCCCCAACTTGTGTGTGCACACAAGCTCTCAAATAAATAAATAAATCTTTTTTTTTTTTTTTAAAGATTTTATTAATTTATTTGTCAGAGAGAGAGAGAGGCAGGCAGAGGAAGAAGCAGGCTCCCCGCTGAGCAAGGAGCCCCATGCGGGACTCTATCCCAGGACCCTGGGATCATGACCTGAGCTGAAGGCAGACGCTTAACCGACTGAGCCACTCAGGCGTACCTAAATAAATAATTCTTTAAAAAGTTTCCATCTAGAAAGATGAAGGTTGACATGAAATTTGTAGGGATGAATTTCTATACTTATGTGGATGATGTTACAAAGAGCCAAGAATGCCTTTTAATATCATTTCCAGGAGATATAATACATTATTTAACTTCCAGGAAAAATACTGAAAAAAGCATACTAATAATAAACTACTGGTTCAAAAAATCATCCTGGAATAGTAGAAAACATAATAGTTTATTATTTGTTATCTCTCCCTCCTGTTCCCCTAACTGCCCCTCACCTTCTCTGTCTCTAAGCAACAACTAATCTGCTTTCTGTCACTATAATTTTCATTTTCTATAATTTTGAATAAATGGAATAATACAGTATAAACTCTCTTCTGTCTGGCTTCTTTCACTCCGAGGTTTTATTTTGAGGTTATTTTGATTATGTTGCTATATGTCTCAACAGACCATTTTCATTACTAAGTAGTAGTCTGCTGTTCGGATATATTGGTTTATTCATTCGTTTTTGGACATTTGAGTGGTTTGTGATTTTGACTTTTACAAAGGAAGCTGTATGGATATATGCTTTTTGTGTATGGATATATGCTTTCTTTTCTCTTGAGTAAACAGAGGAGTGGAATGGCTGGATCATATGGGAGGCCCATGTTTAAATTTTTAAGAAATTGTCTGTTTTATAAAATGGCTATGGCATTTTATAATCCCATCACTATAAGAGAGTTCCTAATATTGATAACTATATGATTTTCAGAACTCATAAAGAAATCAGTTCTGTGGGAGTCAAGTCAGAGAACCCCATTAAGACAGATCACTAGGCAGTTTCTACAAGGGGGTCAGGGCACAGTTCTCTTTAGCTCTGAAAGTTACAGACGACCCAGAGGTTACTAGAAAAATGCTCTCCTGACTATTCTGTGAGACAGTCCGACTCTAATGTGAACTGGAACTATTAGAGAGCAGCCAGGATCCCTAAGGCATTCAAGATAACAGAGGAGGAGGGGAAGAGCTCTGCTTCAGTATTTAGTAGATAAATCACAACTGCAGTAGTGAGATTCCTTTGGTGTTTAGATACTACTGCCTGATAACCTAAAAGTTTAGTTATGTATGAAGTACTGAATTCACATTTCAAATACATTAATTTCAACCACATTCCCCTGTGTCTATCATTCTTATTATATTCACACTAGCATTTATTTATTTATTTTTTTTGGTAATTTTTTTTGTATTAGTCGCCATACAGTACATCATTAGTTTCTGATGTAACACTAGCATATAAAAGCTATGTTTATGGAGCCCAATTATGTAAATGAGAGCATGGAATCAGACACCCCAGGTTTAAATTCTGGCTCTACCATTTATTAACTCTGTGAGCTTGGGCGAGTTGTCAAACTTCTCTGTGTCAGTTTCCCCTTCTAAATGGAGGATTATAGTTAACACTGTTCTTACAGGGTTGTTGTGAGGACTAAAGCAATTAAAAGAATGCTTAGTCCAGGATAAGCATTAAATTTATGTTAGCGACTGCCACAGTTACTAACACTACAATTTCTATTATTATGCTAAAATGTAAGGCAGATACTTGTATATTCATTGCCATACTTACAACGACCAGACCAATGCCTGGTACAATGAAGAGATTCAGTAACTGTCTGAATAAATTATTATGTGACAATCATTATGATAAGCTTTTCAGATATTATTATTGTATTTATGCTTCATTATAAACTTAAAAGATAGATACCACTGATATTCTTAGTTTACTGATAGGAAATAGAGGAAAAATATTTATCTCTGCATAACTACCTGTATCATAAAATGAATGTATCCTTACCATTGGCTTTGGTTGACTGTGGAGTTGAGACAGCAGACCTCTTAGAACTTGGGACCACTGGATGGCCATCTCTGTGTCGTAAAAAAAAAAAAAAAAGAAGAAAGAAAAGGAAATTCCAAATTAAGATGTTTGTTTAAATACCCTTTGAACCATTTGCTAACTATTGAGCCTCAGGAATTTTATTTTAGATGGGCTTCAGGGGGGACTAGGCACCCCTGAAGCTGTAGACAAAATTTGTATCAATTTTCATCTACGTATTTTCTGGAGGGAGATATTCTTGACTGAAAAAAAGTGATTAAGAATCACTTCTTTACATGATTTTTCTCTGGGTTTCAGTTTAACACACTACCACATTTCCCCTCTCATTTAAAACACTTGTAATATTCACGATCTAATTACTTAGTTCACTGTCACACTCAGGTGATAATTCAAAGATAACTTAGGAATTATAGATCACTACATTTTGTATATTTGAAGCCCTTGATACAAATTTTTTTAAAAATTATTTAAAGTGAAAACCTAGACAAAATATATTTGTTTAAAGGATTATAAGAAGGATAGTATCACCCAATGTGAAAAACTGTCAAAAAGACAGCACCTTGGAAGCAGAGGACTAGTATGCAATCTTATCATTGCTAGTACTTGAGAGAAAAGGGAGTCTGCCTAAAGTATACAGTGCTGGGAGAAGCAATTTGCCATGGGCCCTGTATATTCTTCCTGGGTACCCCAGAAGTGCAAGGCACTGACTGCTTTTTATCTGGGCCAATTCTCAAGGCTATGTTTGTGGTGAGAAAGCTTGAGGAATGAGGTAACCTCTCTCTCCAAATAAAAAGCAGGTTTTCTTACAGGATGCCATAAAGGGGAGGGTTCCTCTTCTCCTCATGGTATTCCCCTCCTGTAATACAACCCATTGCATGTTCAGGAATCCCCTAGGCCCACATACGTCATCTTCAGGAGACTTAGAAGATGTGTGGAACTGACACCAATACCATGCCCATGCTGCTTGCAGTTACTCAAAAAATATTTTGTCTCTGATCCAAGAGTTTCATACCTTCTTCCAGCACCCAAGAAACAGTAATTGGCTGGCTTATTAGCTTGCAAGTCCAGTAAGACCACAGACTCTGTACAGTTCTTGACATACAGATAATTACCACAGATCTCTACCCCTCTGTATGGCTACCCTTTGGACTTTAAAGAGGACAAATATATACAGTAGTGGAGAAAGCTTGAGGAAGAATGAAGGGGAAAGTAATTGTGACTAGCACCACTATATCTGTAGTGACTACACTAAAGATAAAAGCAGAAAGGCAAAAGAAAGTGATTTCAGGGCTCGGGGAAAGGGTACTCCATGGATTTTGAGGCAAAAAAATTCAGTTAGATCTATGGTTAGCAGAGATATTAATTTTCACAAAAATATTGTCCAGGCTGTTTGAACACTTTCCTCCTCCACTAATTAACATTCAGCTACATCTATGAAAATAAATGTATGCCAATCAAATTTTTAGAAGTATAAGAGGGAAACAGAGCAGGGATTACATTCAAAGGAAAAAAGTACGTAATCTAATTTAAAGGTTTAGAAGGAACAAATGTTTATGATCAAATGATTTAATTATAGTTCCTATATTTTCAAAGACATACTATGTAAAACTCATCACGTATCACAGATAAAAATGTAACATAAACCTGTAATCTAGAAAGCCTGGCTGTATGTACACTGTAGTAGGCAGAATAATGGCCCCACAAAGGTGTCTACATTCTAATCCTCTAAACCTGTGAATATGTTACCTTACATGGTAAAAGGGATTTTGCAGATGTAAGCTGAGGATCTAAAGATGGGGAGGTTATTTTGTACTATCTAGGTAGGCCCAATGTAATCACAGGGGTCCTTATAAGTGAAAGAAGGCAGGAAAGGCAGAGTCCAGAGAAAGAGATGTGACAACAGAAGTAGAGTGTTGTCACTGCTGGCTTTGAAGATGGAAGGGGGCCACGAGCCAAGGAATATGGGGAATCTCTAGAAGGTAGAAAAGGCAAGGAAATGGATTTTCTTCTCGAGCCTACAGAAGGAATGCAGCCCTGATAGCATCTTGATTTTAGCCCAGTGAAACCCATTTTGTATTTCTGACTTCCAGAACTATTAGGGTAATAAACTTGTATCATTTAAGCCACTGTATTTGTAGTAATTTGAAACTAATACATACATTTTTTTCCCAATTTATTTATATTATTAAGTGAAAGAAAAGTGCCCATTAGCACTTCTTATAATGTGAAACTGTTATACGGTGTCCTGAAAGTGGTAATTCTATGCCTCATTGGTCGTAGACATGAGGTTTGGGTAGGACTGACTTTGCCCCAGCTCTGGGAATGGGCCAGGACTGGCCTAGGCCAATCAGTATATTCTTATCCCTTTGCCTCAACTCAGGGACTGGCCTTAATTTAGGTCTAAGGCAATCAGCAGACAGTCCTTGGTTTACCATGGTCATTGGGAGGATTGTCAGAAGACTGTTCTGGATAGTGCATCACCATTTTACCTGATGACCACGTCATCTTTGGACTTTTAAAATCATATAAACCCTTTATTGTTTAAACCAAGTTGAGTTGTATTTTTCTGTTACTTACAACTGAAAACATGCTGACAAACGTCGTAACTACCTTATTGACAGCTGCAAACATGTATCCAAACACTAATCCACTTAACGTGCTCTTGGAATCTCCTATCAATAATTCTATTCTGGGGGTGCCTGGCTGGTTCAGTTGGAAGAGCATGTGACTCTTGATCTTGGGGTTGTGAGTTCGAGCCCCATGTTGGGTGTAGAGAGTACTTAAATAAATAAAAAATGTAAAAAAAAAAAAGAAGTCTGTTCTAACTTTATTAATTCTTGCCAGTTTAGTCTATGAGTTACTAATTTAGGAATATCTTTTTAAGATAGCATAAGTGTAATCAACAGCCTGAAACTTGTGCAAACACACAAAACCCATAAGTAATTGCAGAGTACCTTGTTGCTTTCAGCACCACCGAAGGAAGTGACATGTCTAATGCTCTCTTAGCTTCTTCCAAGGTCATTCCTTGTGTGCTGACTCCGTTCACATAGTGGATGATGTCTAATAGCTGGAGATTACCCTCAATGGCTGCATCTGACCTCGGATTGATATCACTAATATATAGCACTTGATGAAGGCTGTCATGACCTCCAGATAAGGAAAAACCTTCAGGGAATAGAAAATATTGGTTTCCTTAGTCTTAAGAGTACTTACTTTTAACCTAGCCAAGAAAATCACACTGCACAAAGCTTGAATGTACATTACCCAACTCCTCCTTGTGGCATGTTAATGTAATGTCAGGTAGCAAATGAGGCAGCACTGGCATCCTGGGTAATTCTAGAATTCGTCCTAGAACTAATCTGACTGTCTTGGGTGCAGCTCGGAGCAGATTCACTGCATCTGTGTGAGTCATGTTTGTAACATCTGTATCATTAACCTACAAAAATGAGAAAGAGGCAAAACAGGATTAGAAGTTGCCATGAAAATACAGTAATCTCCCTAGCTGTATATTAGCCAGTAAGAGAGTGGTCTCTAATTTTTTGCTAATTCCCTTTACTGTGGAAATCATAAGTACAATGATTAAGTAATTACATACGAAATAATAATGTAAAATATAAATGCATCATTATTTTGTTAATATTGGAAATTTATCCTCATACAAATTTAAGAAACTTTCTGTCCTTGATACCCAGGATAGCTTAAAGCTTATGCTTTAAGTGAGATTGGAGGCACTTCCTAATTAAAAAGGGAACTGTAAGCATTCCCTAAACTGTTAACTATATAAAGGCCTTATCTTTAAGAGGTTGGGATAGAAAATATAAACCAAACAAATAAATGGAGTGTTATATTAACTCAACCTTCTTGTTCTCCTCCAGCTCTGGCTTAGTTTTTGGCTACATTTGCACAAATCCATTTTGGTAATGTCTTACCTTTATGAGCCGGTCCCCAGGTCTTAGCCTTCCATCACTTTTGGCTGGATCCTGAATGACATCATGAACATAACAACCAATACTCTGACTGCCTTTGGTTACTGTAAAACCCAGGCTTCCTTTTTCTGATTTAATTAGGGTAATGAGGAGTTCTACTTCCTAAGGGAAGAAAACAGTGACTCTTTAGGTTGTCTATTTTTGCCCATCAATGAACAGAGAGGACGTTATTTCTACTGAATAAAAGAGGAGGAAATCAAACCTTAAAAGGTTACTGATCTTAACCAAGTGAAGAAGCTAGGTCTATCCAATTCTAGATAGAATGTACTCCCATGTAAAAGTTGGGTTTAGATACAACACTATGTATTTGTCTAGACAGCTGAGACAAAACTTACTCATGCTTCAGCTTTTGTATTTTCAGGATAAACAAGGACACATTGGTGGTTATACGTTGATGATTAAGGAATATATTTTCAGCGCAAGTTTCAGAAAAATTCTTTATATATTTCTAAACAGTCAAGATAGATGCCAAGAGCCATAAAAGAAAAGGTTTTCTTGTACAAACACGAAGCCTTTGGTGACTAAATATTACAACATCATTTAATTATATAAAAAAACTTTTTTAAAAAAGATTTTGAATGAGATATGAAGGTTGCTTATAGCTTATAGGGTGATGACACACTTCTAAAGGAAATCATTCAAAGATTTTCTTCTTTCTGAGAAAAGATTATTTTCTACTGCTGAGAACGAAACTGAAGATGTAGATGTTACACACACACACACGCTTCTAGGCAAACCAGGTATCTGGAGAGATTAATTCCAAAATGATTTTTACGATTTTTATGTGGTGAGATTATCAATGGCTTTAATCTTTTTTCTTTGTTTTTAAATTTTCCTACAATAAATATTTATTACTTGGATGATAAAAACAATATTGAAAAAGGCTGATTTCAATCAAGGTAAAGGATATTATTCTTGAACATTCGGCTTCCATACTGAATGTAAAGGTTTAGAAGTCCTAGGGCTATTAGTACAATGTAAAGGATTCCATTTGGGCACACACAAAAAAGTGTGGAGGAGAAAAAAATTACATGCAAACTTGATTAAAAATTAAAAAGGTAACTCATCAGAATTTGGGAAATAGCAGATACTGTCTTAGGTGCTCTACGTATATTTCATTTAATCCTTACCACAATACTATGAGGTTACTAGCCCCATTTTATAGCCAGAACTACTAAGGCTCAGAAGAATTAAGTAATTCTACAGGCATCTGCCCAATTACCGCAAGTAAGTGGTAGGGTCAGGATTTATTACCCGGGTCTTTTTGCCTTTCCCTTGGATTCACAGCACAGAAACACACCAGACATGTTATCTACTAGCCATGGATATGAAGCTACTTTAAAAGACTGCCTTTTCCCTAAAGGGAAATTGTGTGTGACTACATCTTACTTGAGAAAATACGGAATTTTCTTAATACAGAGGAAACAACTCACCAGCTCAAAGTCTTCAAGGTGGTTTTCCAAGTCATTTTTCAAAGATGTCAAGCTTTCTTGTCTAGTTGGTTCAGAAATGTGATATGTATGATATTTATCCATTGAATTAGTGGAAGCAGATTCTCCAAGAGTCATATCCGGTGGTAGAGGGGAAGGAGGATTGCTACACAGACAAAAAAGCAAGACTATTTTCAAATACCTTTCAATCCAATATAGTAAGTTTGTGCCACAAACCGAAAATGCTTAACAAATATTCATGTCTGCATTTGATTGCAATCCTAGCTATTTTTTGCCTGACTCTGGACTACGAATTCATTTCATATCTGTTATATGCTAACATTACCAATTTTTATTCTCTGTCCAGGTTTTATTTTGAAGCTCTTTAAGCTGCATAAATTAGTAAGACAGGTTAAAAAATATACTTTTGATTCCTAGTTGTTAATTCAAGGCTGAAGCTACTGTTATCAGAAGCCTAATGTGTGTTTCAACCAAATAAGAAAAAAAAAATAAGAAAAGAATACAAATCTGTTGGCATTTTGTTCTTTCATTCATCTATTCTCCTCTGGACAAAATGACAAGACAGAAAAACTCACCTCAAAAAAAAAGAACAAGAGGCAGTACTGATTGCCAGGGACCTAATCAATACGGACATTCGTAAGATGTCAGAACTAGAGTTCAGAATGACAATTATAAAGATACTAGCTGGGCTTGAAAAAAGCATGGAAGATACTAGAGAAACCCTTTCTGGAGAAATAAAAGAACTAAAATCTAACCAAGTCGAAATCAAAAAGGCTATTAATGATGTGCAATCAAAAATGGAGGCTCTAGCCACTATGATAAATGAGGCAGAAGAGAGAATTAGTGATACAGAAGACCAAATGATGGAGAATAAAGAAGCTGAGAAAAAGAGAGATAAACAACTACTGGATCACGAGGGCAGAATTCGAGAGATAAGTGATACCATAAGACAAAACAATATTAGAATAATTGGGATCTCAGAGGAAGAAGAAAGAGAGAGAGGGGCAGAAGGTATAATGGAGCAAATTATAGCAGAGAACTTCCCTAATTTGGGGAAGGAAACAGGCATCAAAATCCAGGAGGCACAGAGAACCCACCTCGAAATCAATAAACATAGGTCAACACCCCAACATCTAATAGTAAAACTTACGAGTCTCAGAGACAAAAAGAAAATCCTGAAAGCAGCTTGGGACAAGAGATCTATAACCTACAATGGTAGAAACATTAGTTTGGCAGCAGACCTATCCACAGAGACCTGGCAGGCCAGAAAGGACTGGCATGTTATATTCAGAGCACTAAACGAGAAAAATATGCAGCCAAGAATACTTTATCCAGCTAGGCTGTCACTGAAAATAGAAGGAGAGATAAAAAGCTTCCAGGACAAACAAAAACTAAAAGAATTTGCAAACACAAAACCAACGCTACAGGAAATGTTGAAAGGGGTCCTCTAAGCAAGGAGAGAGCCTAAAAGTAACATAGACCAGAAAGGAACAAAGACAATATACAATAACAGTCACTTTACAGCCAATACAATGGCACTAAATTCATATCATTCAATAGTTACCCTGAATGTAAATGGGGCTAAATGCCCCAATCAAAAGACATAGGCTATCAGATTGGATAAAAAAAACAAGACCCATCGATATGCTGTCTGCAAGAGACGCATTTTAGACCCAAAGACACCCCCAGATTGAAAGTGAAGGGTGGAAAACCATTTACCATGCTAATGGGCAGGAAAAGAAAGCTGGGGTTGTAATCCTTATATCAGACAAATTAGATTTTAAACCAAAGACTGTATTAAGAGATGAAGAAGGACACTATATCATACTTAAAGGGTCTATCCAACAAGAAGATCTAACAATTGTAAATATCTATGCCCCTAACATGGGAGCAGCCAATTATATAAGGCAGTTAATAACAAAAGCAAAGAAACACATTGACAACAATACAATAATAGTGGGGGACTTTAACACCCCCCTCACTGAAATGGACAGATCATCTAAGCAAAAGATCAACAAGGAAATAAAAACTTTAAATGACACACTGGACCAAATGGACTTCAGAGATACATTCGGAACATTCCATCCCAAAGCAAGAGAATACACATTCTTCTCTAGTGCCCATGGAACATTCTCCAGAATAGATCACATCCTAGGTCACAAATCAGGTCTCAACAAGTACCAAAAGACTGGGATCATTCCCTGCATATTTTCAGACCACAATGCTTTGAAACTAGAACTCATTCACAAGAGGAAAGTCGGAAAGAACTCAAATACATGGAGGCTAAACAGCATCCTACTAAAGAGTGAATGGGTCAACCAGGAAATTAAAGAAGAATTTAAAAAATTCATGAAACCAAAGAAAATGAAAACACAACTGTTCAAAATCTTTGGGATGCAGCAAAGGCAGTCCTAAGAGGAAAGTATATAGCAATAAAAGTCTTTCTACAAAACCTAACACTACACCTAAAAGAGTTGTAGAAAGAACAGCAAATAAAGCCTAAATCCAGCAGGAGAAGAGAAATAATAAAGATTAGAGCAGAAATCAATGAAATAGAAACCAAAAGAACAGTAGAACAGATCAACAAAACTAGGAGCTGGTTCTTTGAAAGAATTAATAAGATTGATAAACCCCTGGCCAGACTTATCAAAAAGAAAAGAGAAAGGACCCAAATAAATAAAATCATGAATGAAAGAGGAGAGATCAAAACCAACACCAGAGAAATACAAACAATTATAAGAACATATTATGACCAACTATATGCCAGCAAATTAGATAATCTGGAGGAAATGGATACATTCCTAGAGATGTATAAACTACCAAAACTGAACCAGGATGAAATAAAAAACCTGAGCAGACCTATGACCACTAAGGAAATTGAAGCAGTAATCAAAAATCTCCCCAAAAACAAGAGCCCAGGGCCAGATGGCTTCCCAGGGGAATTCTACCAAACATTTAAAGAAGAATTAACACCTATTCTTTCTGAAACCGTTCCAAAAAATAGAAATGGAAGGAAAACTTCCAAACTCATTTTATGAGGCCAGCATTACCTTGATCCCAAAATCAGACAAAGATCCCATCAAAAAGGAGAATTACAGACCAATATCCCTGATGAACATGGATGCAAAAATTCTCACCAAAATACTAGCCAATAGGATCCAACAGTACATTAAAAGGATTATTCACCACGACCAAGTGGGATTTACTCCTGGGCTGCAAGGTTGGTTCAACATCTGCAAATCAATGTGATACACAACATTAATAAAAGAAAGAACAAGAACCATATGATCCTCTCAATAGATGCAGAAAAAGCATTTGACAAAGTACAGCATCCTTTCTTGATTAAAACTCTTCAGAGTTTAGGGATAGATGGTACATACCTCAATATCATAAAAGCCATCTATGAAAAACCCACAGCGAATATCATTCTCAATGGGAAAAAACTGAGCGCTTTCCCCCTAAGGTCAGGAACGCGGCAGGGATGTCCACTATCACCACTGTTATTCAACACAGTACTAGAAGTCCTAGCCACAGGAATCAGACAACAAAAAGAAATAAAAGGCATCCGAATCGGCAAAGAAGAAGTCAAACTCTCACTCTCTGCAGATGATATGATACTTTATGTGGAAAACCCAAAAGACTCCACCCCAAAACTGCTAGAATTCATAACAGGGATTCAGTAAAGTGGCAGGATATAAAATCAATGCACAGAAATCAGTTGCATTTCTATACACCAACAAGAAGACAGAAGAAAGAGAAAGTAAGGAGTCGATCCCATTTACAGTTGCACCCAAAACCATAAGATACCTAGGAATAAATCTAACCAAAGAGGCAAAGAATCTGTACTCAGAAAACTATAAAATCCTCATGAAAGAAATTGAGGAAGACACAAAGAAATGGAAAAACGTTCCCTGCTCATGGATTGGAAGAACAAATATTGTGAAGATGTCAATGCTACCTAGAGTAATCTACACATTTAATGCAATCCCTATCAAAATACCATCCACTTTTTTCAAAGAAATGGAACAAATTAATCCTAAAATTTGTATGGAACCAGAAAAGACCCCTAATAGCCAGAGGAATGTTGAAAAAGAAAAGCAAAGCTGGTGGCATCACAATTCCAGACTTCAAGCTCTATTACAAAGCTGTAATCACCAAGACAGTATGGTACTGGCACAAAGACAGACACATAGATCAATGGAACAGAATAGAGAGCCCAGAAATGGACCCTCAACTGTATGGTCAACTAATCTTCAACAAAGCAGGAAAGAATGTCCAGTGGAAAAAAGACAGTCTCTTCAACAAATGGTGTTGGGAAAACAAACCATGAGAGACTATGGACTCTGAGAAACAAACTGAGGGTTCTAGAGGGGAGGGGGGTGGGGGGGATGGGTTAGCCTGGTGATGGGTATTTAAGAGGGCAAGTATTGAATGGCGCACTGGGTGTTATACGCAAACAACCATGGAAAAGTACATTAAAACCTAATGATGTAATGTATGGTGATTAATACAACATAATAAAATAAAATTTAAAAAAAATTGTAAAAAAAAAAAAAAGAATACAAGTCTTATTTCTGTGGTTATTTTGGATGATAAAATGGGGAAAAAACCCCAAACACCCAAGACCTTGAACAAATATGGTTGCACCTGGATATACATAAAGATGTAACCAAATAATAAAATGTATGAATAACTGTTAGAGGTATAAATGTAGTCTTTCTTTTTTTTTTTTTTGCCTTTATGCTTTCAATCATCTTTCCCCATCTTCTGCAGTTTTATATCTTATCTTTTTAAACTCTCTGTCTCTTCCTTCCCAATGACTTCCCTTTATGTTTGTACTCCCTACTCTTTTGCCCATCACTATCTAAACAGGTCTCTTCTCTCTCTTTTAAGTAATATGAATGATGATGAAATGCAAACAACTTTCCCAATTTCAACTAAATATGCTCAGGAGATCAGCAAATCTCAGGTCAAAAGGCTAGAGCGCTTACTGGTTTGCTAACTAACACTGTCAGTCACAATAACTAGGTATCTAATACAGTCATCATCTCCCTGATCACTGTGAAGTTCATTTACACATAGACATATTTCATCCTTAGAGAAATGTAGGTTGCTACTCCCATTACTCACAATAACCAGTTGCTTTGAGTGCTACATATAATATTGACAATACCTGTCCTCAAGTTCTGCTTTACTGGGTATTTTCTGAGGATAGTAAAACATGGTACAAATGGCATCTTCTTTACTCTTAGATGTTTCATGTTGACTTTGTGCCTGTGATCCCATATTGTTTAGAGTCTGATGCAAAGATGAACTCCAGCTCCTCTTTGGTATCTTTGCTGGAGCTTTCACCAAGTCTTCTCCACTCCCACTACTGTCACTGTAACTGTCTCTCCTGGATGGGGATGTGCATTGTTTCTTGCTTTTGTCATACATTTCATTTTCATCTGAGCTGGTGCCTTGCTCCACACATGCTGGTTGAGAGGAGTCTTTGGTGTTGTTTGGAAGTACTTGTGCTGGAGAGTGCAGTGGGGTCTGTAATGCACACATTGAAAGAGATCAGAGTGTGACAACTTATATTAACTTAGAACACTTAATTGAGTGGCCCCTGGGTGGCTCAGTCGGTTAAGTGTCTGGTGTCGGCTCAGGTTGTGATCCTGGGTTCCTGGGATCAAGCTCTGAGTTGGGCTCCCAGCTCAGCGGGGAGTCTGCTTCTGCCCCTCCCTCTGCTTGTGTGCTCTCTCTCTCACCCAAATAAACAAATAAAATCTTTAAAAAAACCCACTTAATTGAAAAGGAACATGCTGAACAGCACTTTTTATTAAAATATGCAATTATATTTTGACAATAAAGGTAATTTATGCTCATTAGAGAGAAAAACCATATATAAATATAACTGTTAATATTACATGACTTATACTATATATTGTACTTTGTATCCTACTTTTTTTTGAAGATTTTATTTTTAAGTACTCTCTACACCCAATGTGGGGCTCAAACTCCCGACCTAGAGATCAAGAGTCACATGCTCCACCGATTGAGCCAGCCAGGCACCCCTGTAACTTACTTTCAAATTTAGGTTTCTATCATTAATATTTTCTGAAGTCCTTAAATATGCTTTGAAAAAAAACTGCATAAAACTGTGTAATGATCCCACAGATGGCTATACCTTTCATTTATTTCAGAATTCTTTTATTTTACAGAGAACTGTATCTAACTTTTACTGTTAATAGAAATCCAGAGATTTTTTTTTTTTTTTAAGATCTTATTTATTTATTTGACAGAGAGAGACACAGCGAGAGAGGGAACACAAGCAGAGGGAGTATGAGAGGGAGAAACAGGCCTCCTGCTGAGCAGGGAGCCTGATGCGGTGCTTGATCCCAGGACCCTGGGATCATGACCTGAGCCGAAGGCAGATGCTTAACGACTGAGCCACCCAGGTGCCCCAGAGATTCTTTGTATGGACATTTTCACCTCAGTTTCTCATTATTTCCTTGTAATTTTCTATTTTTTAAAAGATTTTATTAATTTATTTGAGAGAGAGAGACAGAGACAGAGACAGAGATAGCGACAGAGAGCACAAATGGGAAGAAGAGGGAGAATTAGGCTTCCCGCCAAGCAGGGAGTCTGATGCGGGGCTTGATCCCAGGACACTGGAATCATGACCTGAGCTGAAGGTAGCCAGCCGGCTCAACTGACTGAGCCACCCAGGTGCTCCTCCTTGTAATTTTCTATTTAATAATCAGCCCATAGGATGTTCTTAAAGGCCTTGTTAAATATTTCCAGATTGCTTTCCAGAAAGATTGTATCAATTTACATACTCATTAAGAGAGTTCCATTCAGTTCTTCCTACCTGGTGCCCAAAATCAATGTATTCTCATAAAATGCTGTTTATAATACACCTTCAGAAACGATGCTTTCCTATTAATGTCCTAACACTACCCCCCTCCCTGATATAAAAGCCAAAGTTTCTGGGGCTAGACACTCCTGCCTTTCATACCCAGGGGTCATGTTTATTTTTAATGGAATACCCTTTTAAGTAGACAGGACAAAAGTTGTCTTTCTTCAATTATATTATTGTTCATCTACGTATGGATGTAATTTATAAATAACCATTAGAATAGATTTTGGATCCTTTAGCTGTTTCTCTGACATAAGAAAGGGAAATGGACAAGCATATTGCTTACTCTGTAATTTCCGCTATTAAAAATAAGGGCAAAAATTCTTAAATAATTTTCATTTTTATCTAAACTAGCTCAGAATGAGAATTATGCTTCCCAGTTTGGCTCAATGAAGAAATGGACAAAAGGGTTTTGTAACCATTATTTTGTATCTTTCCCTTTCTAATTCTGCTTAGAAAACAAACTCCTAAAATACTAGAATTCTAGAAGTGGAAAGGAGAGATAAGAAAGTGAATTGAATTACTTTATATTACAAATGTAGAATATACTCAGAGGCTACATGACCCACACAAAATTCCTAGCTAAAGAATAAAGTAGGATGAAACCCAGAAGATCAATCAATGATGAAACCACTACAGCTGAATTAATCACTCAATTGCTATTCTATAAAAATATAGACTTCTCACAGGTCTCACCAAAAGAGCAGGGTCAATTTCCGGTAGCATACCAGGTGAAGGTCTACAGAGCAGCAAGGATACTTCTGGAGATGTTCCCCTGAGAGCAGATATGACTTCCTAGGGGTACCATGAATGATAAATGAAGACACAGTTAAGTCAGTATTATGAAATCATTACGAAAGGCCAATCCATCTCATTATTAAAAGTGCTACATTTAACACCTAGGGGCTCACCTGCTGAGATAGTCCTTTCAAGGAGGCTCCATTCACTTTCAAGATAACATCTCCCACATCAATTTTTCCACTTTCTGCTGCTGGCTGTCCAGGAAAGAGCTTTTTAACCCTTACGATGCTGGCATTCATTTGTTCAGGAATCAGACTGTCGTCTCGAGAAAAACTGAATCCTAGACCTGAGCTATTTTTAAACAATTTTACCTCAAACGTATTCTCTGGAGAGGAAAAAAAAAAGATATAAAAAAATTAAATATTCTTAACATGCTATGTTAAGATGAACATATGAACATACAAACATATATACTTTTAGACACATCTTCAAAAGCCCATTTTCTCAGAAAATGTACAGCTTTATAGGCACTTACTGTACTTTTATTCTGTATTCAAATCCAACCTCACACTCTCTGTCATTAAGAAAACAATAAACTAAGCTGCATGAACTAAGCTACTTGAACAGGAGAGGGTTTTGATATCAAGGTTCTGAAAATAAAATTATGCTTTAATCCCATGTATTTTAAAAGACCGCAGAATAACATAAAAAAAGAGAAAAATCTGGGAAAGGAGAATGAAGGAAATAGGGAGAGATGGTAAGAAGAGCAGAACAAATATTAGAGAAGGGTAGAGGAAAGTAAGTTGACATTCTAATGTTTTAGTGAGGCATACTTTACTCCAGTAAACTTCAATGGCATTATAACGAAATTCTCATCAACAAAAGAAACTGAAAGACTAATAACCAGAAAAGAAGGAAAAAAAACATTTAAAGGAGTGATAGAAAAAATAAAGAATATCAGGCAGTGAGATAAAGTGAGTACGCTAATTTTATTTTCATAATCAGATAAAATAATACAGGCTTGGCTATTTTTTCTCCTTATTTTTTTTGACTAATTCAGAGGTACTAACATTTGGCAATCAAATAAGGATTTAAAATAAAAGACAAAACAATGACTATATACCACCACCATCATTTATAAAGTAAAGGACATTTATGTCCCTAAAAATGAGATAAATGGAATCTCAGAATAAAGGGTACTTTTGTATTAGGAACACTTTAGCCTTTTGAAAAACTCAGTACTACATCATTCTTAATTTTCTTATTTTACAACCAAGTAGTGGTATGTCTAAGGGCTTGCAAAATTTTTAAGAAAGACCACTATTTGGGAACTATGAGGTGAATTTCTGCCTAAGGTTAGCCTGACAAATCCATAAAATTAAACCAAAATAAGGAAAATGTTAAGAGTCAAGGTTTCACGTGGATTTAAAGTCATTCTCAGCAATTATTTATATTTATTTCTTCCCTTGAAAATTTCATTTGAATTTTGCACTATTAGGTGGCCATAATTTGCTTTATGCATGACTTCATTATCCAAGGTCTTTCAAACTCTAAGAGGTACAAATATGTGTCTTAAAAAAAAATTGGTATAGTGCTCCATCAGATTATTTACAGTTGACAAGAGTAATGAGACTCAGGTGTGAATTATGATCCAATATATAAAAATTAAATTTTGAGTAAGTCAGTAAGAAGTTAAAGTGAGATGACAGTCTCTCAAGGCCTGACCTTCAGTGACAAAGCTGTAGTCTTTGACATGAGTCATTTTCTTCATTTTTTCTGGGGCTTGACCTTGGGCATCTGGATCTGGAAGGGTGCACTGTGGGGTCATGGGGACATGTTCTTTGGATGCTGGAGACTGCCCCTTTTCTAGTAACAGATGAACCACCTGGACAAATGGAATAGCACTTCATTAAGAAGAATTATAAGAAAGTAGATAAGTTTTTAGGACTTTGTAGAGTTGATGGTATAAAATCATTTACAGTAATTACTTGGTCCACCAAAATATAGGTAGAGGAAGAAAAAAATAAAATAACAAAGCAAGGGATTGAAAATTTCAAAATGAAGGGTTTTTTTTTTGGTCTCTCCCTCTGCCCCTCCCTTGCTTTCTCTCTCTTAAAAAAAAATTTCTCTTCTAGAATATAAACATATTATAGGAAATTTGGGCACTAGAATAAAATCACCACTATAATACAGACCATTATAAATAAATTGGTAAACTTCAGAAAATAATTTAGCCTTTGAGCTGAAAAATGACTAGAAGTGAAAATCACTAGATATTTGTAGATATTTACAAAAAATTTTAAAAATTCAATCTCCATCCTTTCTCCTGTCAGATCTGGTAATATTAGGGCTAAATGTGATATAGAAAGCCAAGTTTCCTCAGTGAAAAACCTGTCATAATCCTTGCTTGCCAATTTGAAGGAAAAGAAAATACCAGAACATTTACGTCAGTCAGGCTTGGTTTCTTGACTAACAAATTTGGAGACCTCAGTGAGACAGATATTATTCACACATTATTATGTTCTTCTAACATATCTTAAAAGGTTGGTATAATGAGCTGTTATTACCTGTCCTGTATTTCTCAGTGTTTCCACAGCTTGCTTATGGGTAGCTCCTTCCAGACTAACTCCGTTGACAGCAAGGACACGATCACCTATAAAATTAAGCAGTAATTTTGGAAAAAAGCAAATGATAAGATAAAGATTCTATATGCTTTTTAATATCTTGTGGTATTGTTCTATATTATTTTTTTTTTAAAGATTTTATTTATTTATTTGAGACAGAGAGAATGAGAGACAGAGAGCATGAGAGGGAGGAGGGTCAGAGGGAGAAGCAGACTCCCTGCTCAGCAGGGAGCCTGATGCGGAACTCGATCCCAGGACTCCAGGATCATGACCTGAGCCGAAGGCAGTCGCTTAACCAACTGAGCCACCCAGGCGCCCTGTTTTATATTAATTTATTTGAGGACAGATTCAGACAAATTCTGGACAAACTCATGTATCTACTTTCTTTTCAAATTCTATGATCAATCTTAAATAAAATTTTGAACAAGATATTGTATGTATTATAGAATCTATGTAAATCATGGAAAAAGATAAACTGACTACAAATGTAGAGAGATTGGAGAGAATTAACCTAGTTAGTTTTTATTAAAAATGTAGATGTCAGTGTTTTTACAAGGGCACTATTCCTTTCCCATTTTCTGGCAATTTGCTTCTTAGAAAGTACAAAACGCGAAATAAAACACTGTCAAGATATTTTCTGATACTAGAGAATAGGCTGCAAAGAAGTCTCTGGAATGACATCAGGGAGTTTTTTAATGCTTTAGTCTTAAAATAATGCTTTAGTCTTTAAAAAAAATATGTTCTGGGTGCCTGGGTGGCTCAGATGGTTAAGCATCTGCCTTTGGCTCAGGTCATGATCCCAGGGTCCTGGGATTGAGCCCCGCATCGGGCTCCCTGCTCGGCGGGGAGCCTGCTTCTCCCTCTGCCCACCCCCCCGTCTCTTATGAGTAAGTAAACAAAATCTTTAAAAAAAAAAATGTTCTTGGGCGCCTGGGTGGCTCAGTTGGTTAAGTGACTGCCTTCGGCTCAGGTCATGATCCTGGAGTCCCGGGATCGAGTCCCACATCGGGCTCCCTGCTCAGCGGGGGGTCTGCTTCCCCCTCTGCCCTCTTCCCTCTCGTGCTCTCTGTCTCTCATTCTCTCTCTCAAATAAATAAAGAAAATCTTAAAAAAAAAAAAAAAAAATGTTCTTATTTTATATTATGAATATTTGAAGGTCTCTATCAACTTTGTAATTTCTTATTTATTTGTTGAAGTAATAATCCTATGTATAATTCCTGTACACACACAAACACTCTACCTTTGTGAATTCTACCATCGGACTCAGCTGCTCCCTTGGGAATAACGGCTTTCACATAAATGCCACCATGTCGGACACTGGTATTCACACCTCCCTAAGTGGAAAAAGGCAAATAAAATAACATTTTGTCATATGGAAAATTTCACACTCCATCTTTCAAATCTGAGACCTAGAAAGCAGGAAGTTCATCAGCCAAAGCTGCAACACATCAGCACATGCAATTAATTCAAAACCCAAGAATATTTCTAGCCAAGTTTTCCAAATGTAAAACAGTTACTCTAGAAAAACTCTTTACTCAGAAAACAACATGCCAGACCTTGACTATATGAATCGCTCTCCCTTTCTAAGTCTACACCATGCATTATGAGCAAGCAGAAAACAAAATCCATCTATGCGAAATTAGTATGAGAACATGACTGTCAGGAAAAAACAGCATATAGAATAATTTACTTCAGATCATATTTGCTAAACTGCAACTTGCAAATCTATGAGTCAAGGAACTTTTTTTTTCATTTTAAAAGGCTTTGGTAGGTTAGTTTTGTTACACTGTAAATGAGATCTAATTGAGTAGATTCTCTATCTCTTGTGGATGCACAGCTTTTATTTCCCTTCACAAAATGAAGATAATAAAATTCTAACGAAGTCAAGGGCAAGAGGTAAAGAGTTACAATATTTTTAAAAGTGCTTGAAAATTAGGTTTTCTTTTTGACCTCTATGTTAATAGTGCTATTTCTACCATGTTTTAAAATGGCTTTTCCTAACTAACAATATCCTTCAAATGTCATAAATGATAATGTTACAATTTAGAATTAATAGAATAGAATTCTAAAGTATTTTCATCAAGTAGCCTATGCTCGTATTTTAAGACTGTAAAAGTATGTATGTTCCTTGGGAACCTCTAAGTTTAATATAGTAGTCATGTTTACAATTAAGATATATTATGGAGAGAAAGGGCATGTAAATATACATTAGAATTTATTTATGATATAGGTTAAAATATATTATTCGATGCTCACGCAGAAATGTCAAATGTATGCAAAACATACTTATTAATTTTGTATTTTTTTAGTCTTGTATTCAGATTAAGCACTATGAAATCTATGGGGTTTAAATAAGAAGCATTTGTCTAATTTCTTTTAAACCACAGGAAAAATCATTAGCACACGTTTTTTAAAAAAGTTTTAAGATGTAATTTAATTTTTAATTTGGGAAATATTTGACAGGTTTCCCTTTTGAAGCAAAATAATTAAATTAATAAATTGGCATATAATAGGCTGCTGGAAATGGAGAAGAGAAAACATTTGAAAACCTTGTCAAACAGTACCGTGACACTTATCCCCAAGCTGTTATCATTTTTAGCCAGTTCAACCTCAAAGATATCTCCAGGTTTAGGAGGTGATGAAGGAAAAGTTTTAAAATTCATTTTGTTGGATGTATTCATTGAGGAGGAAGATTCCTTAACAAAGAAAAACAAACAAAAGGATTTCTTGTTAGAGTCAAAATGAATTACTACTGGAAGATCAGTATGTGTTTTTTGGAAAAATTAAGGAAAAGCAAGATATTAAGGGATAGAGTAAATTCAAAGATCATGAGGGCTGGAAGCCATCTCAGAGATCACCTAATCCAATGCCTTTATAGTTGATGGTTGAGGAAATTGAGGTCTAGAGATTAAAGGGCTTGCTTCAGGTCAAACAGCTAGATAAGGCAGAGGGAAGCCCAGAGCCCAGTTCAAATCTGGCTTTTACATAATCCTTGTCCAATGTTTTTTATGCTCCCACATTTAGAAAGTATTTCTATTTCCTTTAAAAATCAATATATATCAAGTAGCAGCTTTCAACTGGGACCTCTAAGATGATTAGGCCTCATGTTTACTTTGCTTATATTTACAAATCCAATATAAACACAGGCACAACAGCTTAGCCCCATTTGTAAGGGCACAACCCTCTTATGAGGAATGTTGGTTCCTCGGGGAATAAATAGCTTAAGGTTCTTTTCTGAATCCACTTGTGAGTATGAGTTTACATTTATATCATTTCTAGGAAATGAGCAATTTTGTATGTTGTTGTTCTTATTATTTTCATATGTTCAGAACTTCACAAGAATTTGGGCTATCAACAGTAAAGTCACCTGCCCATTATACGAACTATTTAGGAACAACTTTTTCAGATATTAAATTCTCTTATTAATATAAACATTAAGTATGCAAGACATAACTTGTAGAAAATAATCATAACCTGATTATTCATTCCTTTCTGTAACCAGGTTGCAAATTTCCAGAATGATAGCCATTTTAGAGTTAGTATTCAAAGCTGCTAATTTGTCTGAAAGTTAGCATCAAATGCAGTAGCAGTTAGTAACCCAGTACATAAAGTATTCCTCCTTTCCAGAATAACATAAGCAGTTTATAGTAGATTATTCTGCTCTGTAATATATTTGCTGTTGTTTGCTTTATTAAATGAAAAGAAAAAAAACCCAGAGATTCAAATTAAACTATGCCTTTTTTGGTGTATGATGATCCTGACTGCTGGAATAAGTAGCTTCATCCATGTCTGAATCTCCACGGTCAGAGTAATCTGTTGCATCAGAAGTGCCTGTTTTTTTAGTTTTGCTTCGATTACTGTCAGTAGAAGTCCTCTTCTTCTCAGTGGTCTTGGATATCACGGAAGGGGAAGGGCTGCTGTGCTGTGATTCCCGCCAGGTTCGGTCACCTACAGGGCTGGCAAAGAAACCATTGACCTGGCTCTGGGACAAGCTGGCGCTTTCAGTCCTGGAATCCTGAGAACTCAGGCTTCCTTCCCGCAGGCCCCCAGACAGCCCAAAGGAGCTCTCTGAGATGTGCCTTGCGGTACCATGTGGCCAGCAGTGATCTACAGAAGAATCTATAGCACTGTCTTGAAGGAAGGAAGCTTTCTTCATGTAGTTTTTCATGCCATTGGCAATGTGCACAGGAGTAGAAGGCCCTAGAAGTCAAAATCCATCAAGGAGAATAACAGGTTAGTGACACACATGCTGTGCTTACATACTTGCAGAGTCTTTCGTAATGACTGTGGGAAGATTTTACACAGGGTAACATATTCACAACACCTGATCCAGGGCCTGGAGCCAAAATGAGGACCCGACAAATGCGGCAGGTGCTTTCTGTTTCCTTTGCCCCCTCTTTTGGTCATTCCTGTTGCATCTTCTATAAAAATGCATACCCCCCTGCCTTAACTCCCCATTTCCATTCTCCAATACCTATTTCAAATGAGTCTCCTCTGTGAAGACTTTCTCGATTCCCTCACTAGAAATAATTTGAGTCACCAAAACTCCTTGATCCTTATTTAATGGTTATTTATTTACTTATTTTATATTATCCTTCCAGAATGCATTTTTTGGACTCCAAATAATTATGAAGGCAATTCCAAATTCCTTATAAATACAGTTCTTATCAAGAGCCATTTAAAGCTTTCCTAAGAAAGACACAAATCATAAATTTCAGTAAAAAAATTACAGATGCAAATTTATAAGAAGAAAAGTTTTATGTTAGCAAGTGAAACCAAGGAAAACTTAAAAGAGGAACGAGCAACTGGAGAGAAAATATTTGCAAAAATAACAAAAAATAATCAAAGAGTTAACATCCCTAATAAAGAGTTTTTCTTTTTTTTTTTTTTTAAATATTTTATTTATTTATTTATTTGACAGAGAGAGAGAGTGAGAGCACAAGCCAGGAGACAGAGGGAGAAGCAGGTTCCTCGCTGAGCGGGGAGCCCGACATGGGACTCGATCCCAGGACCCTGGGATCATGACCCGAGCCGAAGGCAGCCGCTCAACCAACTGAGCCACTCAGGCGCCCCCTAATAAAGAGTTTCTAAAAGCTAGTAAGAAAGAGATTTAAAACTCCTGTGCAACAATTTCCAGTAGACTGGAAATTCAGAGTGAAATACAGTTAATAAATATATGAAAAGACATTCTCATGTTGCTCAGGGATGTGCAGTTTAATGTAGTTTTCTACCTCTGTGGCTGACAAAAATGAGAATGACTGTTAATTTTTCACACCACTGCTGGTGTGAGGAGAACACTGTCACATCTACGTGGCTGACTACACTTTAGTAAAACTTGGGCAAATAGATAGCACTTGTCGAAAATTTAAATATGCATATGCAACCTACTTCTAGGTAGCGAACCTCTAGGAATATGTACATTTTCCAATGGTATACATATAAGAGTATTTGTTGGAGCTACATTTGTAAAAGAAGTATAGCTAAACTGGATATACAATAAAAGAAAAACATTAAATTTTGATACACCCATGACATGAAATACAATGCCACATGCAAAAGGTATATATTCATGGATGTTCAGAATATAGAGTATGCAACTTGCAAACTGGTATTTAGATTATAAAAAAATAACTGCATTTTTAGTTTAAAAAAAGTGTATGTGTGTGTGTGTGTGTGTGTACACATACAGGCAGTATTTATTTTTCCAAAAATTTCTCTCTAATATACATAAAGTGACATAGACACCAAAGAGTTTCCCTAGAAAATGGGGTAAGAGGCCTTTTACTTTTTACCTCATTGATTTCTGTATAAATTAGATTTATTTTAACAAACTAGTATGTATTCTATAACTTTAAAAACATTAGTAAACATAAAGAAAAATAAAAGCCTTCCTCTTCAGTGGCTGATACTTGAGAGGGATAAGCCTAACGTACCTACTGGTAATGTTCTAGGTTCTCTGAGTTTTATTTCAAGTTACATTACAGTATAGCTACACATATGGTAAGATTAATCTAGCTTTCTGAAGAAAAAGTGTCACAGAACTATACTTTAACATCATACTTTTAACTTTTATTGAGAATGAATAGTAAAAAAATAAAATAACCACATGAAATTCTGCTGAAAAGAAAAGCTTTATTGGTCCCTACACTAGGTAAAGTTTCTCTGCTAAATGCTCTCGGTACCTTGGACTTCTTAACATTTATCATAATTACAATGAAACATTTGTTTAGTTAGTTGTTCTAACTAATATTTGTCTCCCCTGACAAAGTGTAAGTCCCATGAGGGTAGAGTTTCTGTGTCCTGCACATCAAAGACATTCAGTAACTATTTGTTGAACAAATGAATGCATTTTCTATAAAATATCTATTGAAAAGAAAATCAAGATGGGAGTCCCTTAGAGGTTTATTTAGAGGGAAAATGAGTTTCTTCTGAATTCATATGCTTCTTTTGCTAAAAAAGGGTGAATAAAATAACCCTTCTTTGGTTTTGTTTGGTTCTTGGCTGCTTGAATAGTTCTGAGTATGCTACATTTTCAAATGTAATCAGCTTCCTTTGCCTAAGATGATTGGACTACAATTAGATTATAAGGCTCTTTTTGGGCAGTGATGGTATTTTCTATTTGCCCTGTTTGTTCAAGTAACAAGTACTGAAAATATTATTTATATATGTACATATTCTTTATACACACACACATACATATTTAGTGAATAAAAGAAACCATAGTCAAAATAACTCCTCTGTATACAATGTAAGAAAGTTTTCTGTCACAACATACTGTATGAAATGTTTGTTTTTTGTTTCTATTGTATCATAATTGTCTGAAATTATACCAAAAATTCACTATCTAAACTTGTTTTTCAGGTAATATTGAACTATTCTTTTACATATTTCTCTGTATCTTTGGGATGAAGGTAACTTGCACATAATTAGCACTAGAATGTTTTTGAAAAATGCTGTTAATAATGACAGCTAAAACTCACATTTAAGTGCTTAATAGGTACCAGGCAATGTGCTAATTCTTTACATGTATTATCTCATTTAATTTTCAAAACCTGTAAGATAAGCACTTCTGTATTCACCATCTGATATATGAGTATATTGAGGCTTAGCAAGTTCAAGGATTTCCTCAGGGTGTACAGTGTTAAGCAATGGAGACAGAATCTGACCTTAGACTTGGAGCCCTTCCCACTGCATGTGCTGCGTGTGCTTCTCTCACAAACACTGCCTCACCACCTGAGCCCCTGAACAACTCCGTGCAAGACAGACAAGGCAGAGCCAACACAACTGTCTCCTCCTTAATGAAAAACAACCATGGCTCAAACTCAAGTCATCTCATCTTGGTCAAGTGCCTTTTCTCCCACAACATGCTAATGGCAGGAATTATGAGACAAAATGATATGGTCTTGTTTTAAAATTTCTTATGTTTTTATCCTTTTACTTTTTACAATCTTGTTCAGGATAGGACTTCATAGATAACTATTACATAATTATATTAATTAGACCAGGGTAAAGAATTTTATTTCTGATTTGGCCTATGAAGTGATGGAATGCACCAAGTACTCAAAATTCACTTAAGTGACATCAATTTGGCACAATAAATCCATTTTTATGCATAGAGTACTAAAGATGAATGAGATAGAAAATCTTGGAAGTGATGAATGAAAAGTTACACTAATGTATATTAAACAGAGCTACATATATTACATTTTCAGAAAGGAAATAAGGAGCTTAAATCCAATCCATGATATTGAAGTTCTTGTGAGAAGTGAAACAATACACAGCTAAGAAACATCCACAACATTACCTTTGGGTATCTTCTCTTTTGGCTGAGAGATAACAAGTGTCACGTCTTCAGGTGCATTTTGCAAAATTTCAATTGCAGCATGGTGGCTGACCCCCTCGAGACTAACACTATTCACAGATATCAAACGGTCTCCTGTAAAAATAGACAATCCAGTATTTTCAAAAACAAAGAGAAATTCATACTAAGTCTTAGATATGTCACTGCCCGACATTGTTTTTCATTATTTTTGTTTTGCTCGAGTTCTACTTTTGCCATCTATGCAAATTCATGCCTGTCAGTTAAGTACTTAGGAAATTATCTAGATGTAAAGTACCTGGCTTTAAGCATCCATCCAAGTCAGCTGGTCCCCCAGGGGTGATTGAACTAATAAATACACCTAGATCCAGTCTTCCCATCTTCTCCCCACCAATAATTTGAAATCCTGTGAAACAACACATTTAAGAAAGATCTTCATGACACTGGTGCTTTCAGTGATTAATGAGCAGTCTGTCCGATGCATGTAAGTGTAGAGATTCTTATATCAGATATGATAAATAGGTAACACATGTGAAATGGGACTGTTAAATTCAGTGGAAGTTTTGCTTGTAAGTATTTCATCTTTCACATTTCCTGACTGGGTGGGTGGGGTGAAGGGCCTGTGGGTGGGCAACCGGTATCTTGATCCGTAGTGGGCTGGTGCCTCAATGCCAATATTATACTATACACTTTTTCTCTTTGAATTCTTACATCCCTTTAAGAATCTCAGTGACTAGGGCGCCTGGGTGCTTCAGTCGTTAAGCAGCTGCCTTTGGCTCAGGTCATGATCCCAGGGTCATGGGATCGAGCCCCGCATCGGGCTCCCTGCTCGGCAGGAGGCCTGCTTCTCCCTCTCCCACTCCCCCTGCTTGTGTTCCCTCTCTCGCTATGTCTCTGTCAAATAAAATCTTAAAAAAAAAAAAAAAAAAAAGAATCTCAGTGACTTACCTAAGCCATACTTTGCATCTTTTTTCAGGTTCACCAAGGTGATCTCCCTTTCTGGTGAAGATACTATGCTCCATCTTTTGTGTAGCACATCTATTGGAAAAGTATAATGTTAAGATAAAATAAACATAACACGCTCAGGCATTAAGACTGTCTGCTTGTCCCAATTTAAACGTTAACAAAATTCATTAATAGATTACTTGGTCACTTTCAAATTCTATTTCAAATAATATTATGTCATCATCTTATATGTTGATGGTGATTTATAGTTCACAAAAGTACTGATTATCATCACATGGTTCAATACGTGATTATCATGCCACTGATATTATCATGTTAATTCCTCATAAATGATTCCCTGTGAAATAAGTATATTTCAGTTACAAATGAGTAAATAACTCTCAAGAATTTAAATGATTTGAGCAGGTTTACTCAGCTAGTACAGGCAAGACCCGAACTAAGTTTTCTGACACTGTTTTTCTGTTACATCATGGCTGACTTCCTGAATTTGACAATGCTCACTATGTTAAGAATTTCCCACTCATAAGTGGTTCACATTTTTATTAGTAATGAATAAAATATTCATGGTAAGTTGTATGGTAAAGCAGCAACAAGAGGAAAATGGATTTACTTTTTTAAAATCATGTTAATAATGACTTGGCTAGCACATTTATGTTCTCAAAGCACTTTCATCTACTTCTTATTTGTGGAGCAATCTTATGAGTCAGGTCAAGAGATTTTAAGTCATAGCTTTGCAGATGAGGAACAATAGTTCATGACTTGTTCAACGTTACAGCTAGTATCACTCCCAGCAAAACGCCTTTAGTCAGTACTTGATAAAGGCTAGTTAAATAAATTGAGGGACTGTTAGCATCAGAACTAGAATTTACTGTTTATTTCCACTGAGGGCTTTTTTTTTTTAGTAGATTGATCATTCACAAATATCTCTTAAAATAAACCAATAAATACGCTACTTAAGTGTCATGTTGATAAAATTACTTCATTTACTTAGCAATCTGAGCATGTGTACGTGCACGTACACACACACACACTTTCTTTCATCTCTTCCCGTTATGGGATGAATTGTGTCCCTTTACCCCCACCCTCAAATTTATATGTTGAACTCCTAACTCCCAGTCCCTCAGAACTTAACTGTATTTGGAGACAGATTAAGAAATAATGAACGTGAGTTCTTTAGGGCAAATCCTAATCCAGTAGGACTGGTGCCCTTATAAGGGGGAATTTGAATACAGACACGTGCATGCATGTGTGCACACAGAGGGAAGACTATGTGAAGACAGAGGGAGAAGACTGCCATCCACAAGCTAAGGAGAGAGGTGGCAGAAGAAATCAATGCTGCCAACATCTTGATCTCAGACTTCTACCTCCAGAACTGTGAGAAAATAAATTTCTGTTTAAGTCACCCAGGACCGTGGGACCTTGTTTCAGCAGCTCTAGCAAATTAACATACTTACTAATATCAGTTATAATTTGATAGTTTAAACTGGTTTGTGTGTGATGTGTTGTAGTGATGGTAGATGAATGCAACACACTTGGAAAGATAATTTTTATAAATGAAACTTTGAAATTAATCTCTGTATAATTCTTAAGCATATTGAAGCTTTTAGAAAATTACAGATTATTTGCCAACATATGACTACCCGTGGATTTAAAATTGTATGAATGTTATAAAAGTAGTAATTTTGTTACATAATATGTATTAATGCTTAAATGATGCAAATGTGATACTTCATGTTCTAGAAATAAATCACTTTAATATCAGAAAAAATTACAGCAATCATTTGCTCTCTGGAGTAAATTAACTTTATCCCTTAAACACTAAGCATTAATGCAAGTTGGCTAGCTCTCTGTAGCATACATGTCCCTATTTGTTTCTTTTTGACTAAAACTTATAGTTATAATCAATAAGAGTAGTAGTAATTCAGTATTTCTAATGAATTTATAAGATTCCAAAAAGAAAAAAATCACTGGACAATGGTGTGAAGAACCTTATATATTGGGTATGTATATATATGTATACACGTACATACACATACATATAAGCATAAAGTCCATGAATTAGTTAATGCCTAGCTTAAAATTACCATCTAAGCATCCAAAATACTTTTATCCTAAAATAGACAAGTATCTCTAATTTTCAGCTAGAACCAACAAAATACAACAGGACAAACCCATAAAATAATGTGAAACAAGTAAGAGGATAAGGTTAGGTTAAGTATTAAATGTATACTTTTACCACCATTGGGAAGACAAAGTCCATTTGCTTTATGCAAAGTGTTTTCGCCCTCAATTATAAAACTGATCAATATTCTTAATGTGCCTAAGGAGTATCTGTTAGAAGTCAAAGGTATTGATTCAAAGAATAAAAATGCCATTTTTTCCCCAATGTATGTACTAACAAGATTGGTTATTTATATTACTTATTTGGCTAATAAGTGTGTGTGTGCATATAAAAAGAAATTTCCTAGGAAAATATTATTAGAATATGTATATAAAACACACACACACACACAGAATAAATGTGCAATATTTTAATGTATTTATGTCTAGAAGCAACAGATTCAGCTCTCTATATTCAAAGATTCATCAGTAGGATTTGAGTAATCATTCATTTGATTACTCTTTCATCCTTCAAATGTTGACTGAACAACTTTCCTGTCAAAGTCCCTCACTAGGCAATTTGGGAAAATAAAATGAGATAATATATATGAAAGCTGGTGCATAGTAAATGTGAGCTGAGTCAATCAGGCTACAAGAGCAAAGACCTAGCCTGACTAATAGAAATGTTAACACAGTCAATGAAATAGCTGCATTATGAAGGCCTGAGTCAGGCCTATAAAAGAGAGGCTTCTTCCTGCCAGAAATAAAGACTTCAAGGAAATGGGGTAAGATTTTAATAAGTGGATTATGGAGATGGTTATACAGCAATACACGGCATTAGCAAAAGTTGAGATGGAAAGAAGGCAGAGAGGGTCCTGGAGAAATGTTACAGATCAGCTTGGCTACAGTACAAGACTTGAGTAGGGCAGAGATAAATATTCTTTTGGAAGGGAAGTTTTGAACCCACTCTTTTTAACAGGGATGTCCTCCACCGCACCGCCACTGATATGCAGTGAAGTTACTAATGTGAGCACAGAAAGGCGGCAGAATGGCGTGCAGCTATATGTTACTCCACAGTACTGTGCACATGCCCAGTTTTTTTTTCTTTTTTTAAAGATTTTATTTATTTATTTGAGAGAGAGAGAACGAGATAGAGAGAGAGCACATGAGAAGGGGGAGGGTCAGAGGGAGAAGCAGACTCCCTGCTGAGCAGGGAGCCCGATGCGGGACTCGATCCCGGGACTCCAGGATCATGACCAGAGCTGAAGTCAGGTGCTTAACCAACTGAGCCACCCAGGTGCCCTCCAGTTTCTATTTGTATTCTATATGTATTCTATTCATGTAGATGTTCACAATACATTTCCTTTGGGTAAAAAAAAAAAAAAATGACAGAGAAGGAAGTATCTGAGGTAAATAGTAGAGGACAATTCAAGTAAACTGAAAGATATGAATAGAATTTATGAATCTCAAAGGAAGACAGCCAGATATTTCAAGAACCAAGAGATTTCTGAGGTATTTGTATGATTATATAAAAACAAACTTTAATATTGAAGGAGTACATATTTTTAAATCCTAAAAGGATTTTCTTTTCCCATCAGTATACTCCAGGAACACAGCAAATTCTATGACTATTTTAAAGTGAAAAAGAGCTTCAACTTGAAATTTCCACTTCTTTAAGTAACACATGCTGGTGTCATTCCCAATAATGTTTACCTGGGAAATATCTTTAGAATAATTGTTAAATGTAAAATTTAGAAAATAAAATTGTATACCCTCTCTGTATTAGACACATTTGTTTCCGTGTTGCCTTTTTCATCTCTCTTAACGTTCATGTGGACATATATAATCCCTGACTAAAGTAACTGTACATACTAATGATAGATAAATCTACAATTAAACTAAATTTCCTAATAAGAACATATTTCTGATAAGGCCAAAGTCATGTAATCAACCCGAGTATGAGTCAACAATTTTTTTTTGCAAGAAAAACTGATTCTGTTGGTTATAGATATAGATCCTTTTCAAGTATCAGGAAGCTCCATGCCACCCAATCTACGAGGAAATGGACTGTAGGTGGAGGAGACTCTAGATAAAACCATCAGTCACTCTACGGAAAAAGACCCATTTCAAATCTTGGAGATGATGGGTCAGCAGCACCATACTGATATAAAAACAAAGATAGGTATTTTTCATTACTATACTACCTAAATATACTAACTGCTCCAATGGTAGGGTTGGGGGATAATAATGGAAACTTTGGTGTTTTATTTCCGTGCCAGCACTAATTAGCTGAATAAATTGGGGCCACGTAACATCTCTGGGACTTATTTAACTCACCCATAGAATGTAAAGGCTAGTTTGAATATACTTTAAAGTTCCTTTCAGTCTCAATTTAGTTGACTCTATTTTTTGCTTCTGGTTAGTTCCTGTATCTGTTGAATCCTTTTGTGAGCACTTCGGACTTCAATTTTTATTATAATTTTTAACTTTATATGTATTCTAATTAAGACTTACATGGAAAAATCTAGCATTAACATTATATTTGTCCTTGACATTTGACTAAGCAAAGTGCTTTAAAATCTCTTTACGTAACATTTTGTTACTTGGAATTGAGATTGTTCACAAGGACAATAATCAGTCTTTTTTTTTTTTTTTTTAAAGATTTTATTTATTTGTCAGAGAGAGAGGGAGGGAGAGTACAAGCAGGGGGAGTGGCAGGCAGAGGGAGAAGGGACTCAATCGCAGGACCCTGAGATCATGACCTGAGCCTAAGGCAGACGCTTAACCATCTGAGCCACCCAGGCGCCCCAATAATCAGTCTTAATTTTGGGGAAAAAAAGCTTATTTCAGTGTCTGTACTAGGTTCCTCTGCCCTTGAATAACCTACTTTACATGAGTTTTTTGCATCTCATTTTTTTTTTTTTTAGAATGACCACAGGACCCCATTATACACTTTTCCAAAAAGACAGATGGCCAACACACAGGAAAAGATAACTGATCAACATCACTAATTTTCAGAGAAATGTAGACCTGAAAAATAGAAAAAAAATTTTTTTGAAGATTAGAATACACTGAATATCTTTGCATACAAATATAAGGAGAGACCTTCCTTACGGGCTGAAAGTCCAATGCATGAAATATTCTAATCTGCAAAATGATTTAGGGATTCATAAAGTAAGTGTATGCACTTACTAAAGAACAGTGCATCTCATTTTTAAGAGTCCAGTGTTTGACCCCATTTTTGTGGTTTGGATAGGAAGGAAGGTGACAAATTTAGCTAAGAGTTACTTTTCAATTATATAATAATCCTGATTTATAGTAAAATAAGAAACACTGAAAACCAATTTTACATAATTGTTGCATCAGTTCTACATTTTCTTTATTTTGGTTTTTACTCTCTTGGGAAGAAATACTGTGTGGCTTTTTTTTTTTTTTTTTTAAGATTTTATTTATTTATTTGAGACAGAGAATGAGAGAGACAGAGAGCACATGAGAGGGGGGAGGGTCAGAGGGAGAAGCAGGCTCCCTGCCGAGCAGGGGGCCCGATGCGGGACTCGATCCCGGGACTCCAGGATCATGACCTGAGCCGAAGGCAGTCGCTTAACCAACTGAGCCACCCAGGCGCCCCTGTGTGGCTTTTTTTTTAAAGATTAAGGAACTTTTTTTTTTTTGAAATCACAATCAGAGGTTTGTAAACCTTCCCATATCTCTGTTTTATTAGAAGATTCATGCCTTTTTTTCTTTTATCTTCTTTGTCAAGTTTCACATTCCTTAAGGGTCTCTGAAAGTCACAAAAGGTTAAGATTGAATTCTACTTGTTGGTTCTTGTATTAAATGATGAATAATTCAGCATTAACTGATGGTAAGTTCTAACTGTCTTCTCATAATCCTGACCAGCAAGGAAGAACACTAAAATTAGAATAAGAAGTCCTATATTTGATTCACAGACAAGTAATTTATTTTTTTTATTTTTTATTTTTTTAAAGATTTATTTATTTGACAGAGAGAGACACAGAGAGAGGGGGAACACAAGCAGGGGGAGTGGGAGAGGGAGAAGCAGGCTTCCCGCGAAGCAGAGAGCCCGACGCGGGGCTCGATCCCAGGACCCTGGGATCATGACCTGAGCCGAAGGCAGATGCTTAACCGACTGAGCCACCCAGGCGCCCCACGGACAAGTAATTTAATTTTTGGATGCTCAGTTACCTTCTTTGGAAAGATGTGTTTTCCATGTTCTATTGTGTGAATCTTAGACTTGATTCTCAACAGAGCACTAAATCAGGACTACGTGGGCAGATTCCAAGAGAATTTCGAAGAAAACAGACTTGTCTGCAAGCCAACTGGGGGACATCTCCACAGGCAGGTGAGTTGGTCACCTTCCTCAGCAGGGGGCACTAACCTCCAAAGATGAGGTTTCTGAAGGTTTAAACAGAGCAACTACCCTGCACATGTTGCTCATTTGGTGTCCACTGTAAATTCATACTCTTTTCCATCAGAACCTAGGTTTAAACACACTTCAGGTTTTCATCTTTTAATAGATTATTAGCCAGCTTCTTTCAAAAGTTTAGCTTGGAGAAACAATACCTACAAATGATTAGGCATTATTATGCTGGCACACAGTCTAAAGAGTAGATTAGAATACAGGCTCTGGAAACAGAGATCATGTGTTCAAATCATGGCTCCAGCACTTGCCAGTTCCATGACCTTCTGCACAACTCAACCTCTCTATGCTTTGGTTTCTCATTTGTGAAAAGGAAATAAAATTAGCACCTGCCTCATAGGATTGTTGTGGGAATTAAATGAGGTGTTAAACATAAAGTGCTTAGAACAGTGCCTGGCACATGTAAGCACTCAATAACCATTAGTCAAAATTTTTACCATTATGGACTTGTTAAAATTGAGCTATTTTAGGCACAGAGGTATTCTAAATTCAGTCCATGCAAGACATTTGGTCATCATAAAGCTATATATCATGGTCTTAGTAACTTTTTTTTTTTAAGATTTTATTTATTTGACACAGAAAGAGAGAGAGAGAGCACAAGTAGGCAGAGCGGCAGGCAGAAGGAGAGGAAGAAGTAGGTTTCCCGCGGAGCAGGGAGCCCGATGCGGGGCTTGATCCCAGGACCCTGGGATCATGACCTGAGCTAAAGGCAGACGCTTAACTGACTGAGCCACCCAGCTGCCCCGGTCTTAGTAACTTAAGCCCAAATTTAAGCTCACTGATTTATTCTTCAATTGTATGCCCTCAGATTTTTTGAGGATACATTAAAAAAAATTGGATAAAAAAATCCTTCATTTGCTAAGGATTTAAGATATTTTGTATATTTTTACTTTTTGACTCAATTCTACTTCCAAGAAAAATTTTCCTCTCTTGAAGAATTGCTGTGGATATTTCTATTAGAAAATTAAAGTTATACAAAATAGCACTTGGTGTCTGACAGTTTGAACCTACAAAAACTGCAGTTTCATAGGGTTCAACCCACTCTCATACCTTCATTCTTGCCTTAGCTCTCAGGAAATTAGAACTAAACTTAAGGGTAAGACTGAAACATTTTTGGAGGAAAGCTGTATATACACACTATTAAAATGTTCTTTCTACCCATGAATGTTGTTAGAAAGATCAGATAAGATAAATGTAGATGAGAGTATTTTATAATCTAAACGAAAAAATTTGAATCTACCGACTCAAGTCACTACACAAAATTTCTTCCTATACTTTTGTTACTTCTTAGACTCCTTTTAAACTGTAAATACTTAAAGTCTTCAATTATTTTTTTTAAATTATTTTATTTATTTGAGAGAGAGAGACAACACATGAGCAGGGCGAGGGGCAGAAGGAGAGGGAGAAGCAGACTCTCTGCTGAGTGGGGAGCCCCATGTAGGGCTCCATCCCAGGAGCCTGGGATCATGACTTGAGCCAAAGGCAGATGCTTAACTGACTGAGCCATGCAAGCACCCCCAAATTCTTTTTTAAAAAAAGATTTGAGAGAGAGAGCACCCATGCGTGAGTGGGGGAAGGAGCAAAGGTAGTGGGAGAGAATCTCAAGAAGACTCCCCACTGAGCATGGAGCCCCATGTGGGCTTGATCCTATGAAACCAAGAGTTGGATGCTCAACCGACTGAGCTGAAACCAAGAGTTGGATGCTCAACCGACTGAGCCATCCAGGCACCCCTTCAAATTCTTTCCATAATATTTAGGATAAGACTCGGAGCTAGTCCCTTATTTAGTTCTCGAGCATCACTCTGGCCCCAAGTCTCCATATTAAGACCCTTGTAGTTCCCTGAATCTGTTACCCTCTCACTTGTATCCCTGCCTGATCACACTATGACTTTGGTCTGGAATGCATATCCACAACATTCTGTCTGAATTTCGTCCTTTTATCTCAAGATCCAGCTCAAGCATCCTCAGTTAAAATAACTGCTTAAGTTAAGACTCTTTAATCAAGATTATCTTACACCTGAACTATCTTAGCTTTCCAGGTGTCCTTATTTATACTTTGTCATTTCTCTAGTTCATGATCTAGTATAAATCACAGGTCCCATCACATCACCATGGTGCTGAAAAATACAACTCTCCTTTGACTACAGTGTAAGACTTAAAGTCCTTAGCATGGAATTGAAGACTCTTCAATATTACGTCCAAGACTATCTCATAAGGTACAAGAGAAAAGATATGATGGAAATGAGGGGAAAAACATTTTGTAAACCTACCATTTTCTTTTAAGGGTACTTGGGATGAAGAATTTCCAGAACTATGCAAAGTCATTCCTGTGGTATAAATTAAATTATTAGACAGTTTATAAAATGGCAGATACTATATTAGTAATCTCTGTTAAATTCATAAAAATCAAAACATTAAGGCGGCAACATTTTTTTTTTAATTTACACCCAGAAAAATGTCTTCCCACAATGGGCTTATTTACTATTTCTAATGTCCAAGTTAAGCATATCAGCTTGTTTTACAGAATAACTTTAAACACAAATGTATTGTTTCTGGCAATGACATTTTGATATGTCAAATATGAAATGATGAAACTGAAATGAGTTTTAAAAGCATTTGTTTAAATGTTAAAAGAAAATTTAATATTCAGTAAGAATGAATAATCTTAATCAAAAAACATGTGGAAAATAAATTTTCTTTCATGAGTGAGTTTTATTCTATCTGTGTTTTTCAATGAAATATTTACTCTTCTACATCGGGTATGTGATGGATTTTTATGTAGACGAAAGCATTTCTAATGAAAATAGCTTAGAATCTATATGGGATCCCATTATATATGAATACTCTTTGAAAAGTATTTTCCAAAAGATTGAACTAGCGTCTTCTTAGGCTATTTTCAACACATAAGGTAGTGACCTATAGGGTGAAATCTTGCCTTTTATCTCTTGAAAGTTTTTCACCAATTCAATTTAAATTGATGCTAGTATCATCCCTGAAAGCTGTGGAAGCCTACATTAATAAAGTAATGATGCTTTCTGTAAATATCTACCAACAATAGAGTTCTCTTTTCATTTACTCCACAGATCTTCAATCCAACTACAGGTAAAAAAATATTTTTTAACTTTGTGTAATTAGGATTAAACAATCGTTGGTCTAAGTGAGAGTTAACTAGTATTATGGTAAAACAGCAGCAGAAGAGGGTGTCCTTGTTTCTCTTTTGTCTCCCCAGCTGTCTCCTATTCTGAGTTCACACCTCTCTGCTTAAATATCTACTCTTCTGTAAGATTCCAGTGCATTTCCCTTTTAAGATGCATAAAGCAACAGGATATTGAACTATTTACTCATAAGATAGTATGTGTTTATAAACTTCTTTACTTACATACTTAATATGCCTCAGCTAGCTGGGAGAATTGGAAAAAAACCCCTCAAATCAACTAAGAATTTCCACCTACTGACCACAGCACATTTCATAAAAATTATCTGGTTTGGGAGATAACTGCATTCATGCTAAGCTGAAAGTACCCTAAATAAACCTTTCTTTAAAAAATACAGTATAGTGGAGCCCACTGCCACAGGCTTGTATGGAAAATCCAAAGGAAGACTGTCCAAAGCCATGGTACCAGACTGTCTGGGTTCTCTCAGTATGACTGTCACAGTTTTTAACTGTGACCAAGAGAAAGTGAAGTAACAGTCTGTGCCTTGAAGTAATCACCTGTTAAATCAGTTTTTGATTTGACTTGGTGCATTTTAAGTAGCCTAAAATTTCATATTCAAAAGCAGCTTTGGCAATTAGAACATAGAAGCAAAAATAATATATTGGTCACTAACATTATTTCATTCATTTCACCATGAGCATGAGGTATGGGAGAAAGAAGGTAAGCTTGTTTATGCTGACCTATAACATATGCTTGACCAGGGTCTTCAAAGGATGAGGAGTCTGATTCCTGTTTCCTCCTTTCAGGACTTCTATTTAAACTTGCAACAGACTTTGAACTAAAGAGGGAAAAGGAAGGTAGGAGGGGGATGTGTCAATGTAAAAAAATATGGTAAAAATAATAAAACGTCAAAACAAAAACAAATGTATGAAATGTAGAATTTACAAATATGTAGTTGGGTAATTATGTTCTTACTTATTAAGTTTTGTGAATCCTGCCAAAGATTCTGTATCAGATCTTGCCATCTGGTGTAATGGTTTTCCTACCAACTCCGCAATGCTTTGTGGTGGGGATTCCATGTTAACAATGACATTTTTCCGATGAGGGTAGAGAGAGGCCTGACTGAGATCATGGTATGATTTACTCATCCCTCTAGGCTTTTCCTCCCATGAAGCTTTGTCACTCTTCTCTTTTGCACTGTTTTGCAATGGCTGGTAAAGCGACAGCTCTGAGCAGGAGAGCCTCTTCAGAATCTCAGCTTGAACTGACAGAGGTCGAACGGCAAGTTTGTTCAGGGTGCTGCTGGCCAGACTGCCAGTGCTGATTGCTCGTCCCATATTAAATCCTCTAACGGACTCTGCTTGGAGATTCAGGCTCCTAAACGAAGCTCTCTCTACAAGGAAATAGGATGGCTTTACATGATGGAAACACCGCAGTACCTTTATGAGAAGAGTTATTTCGATAAATAAGACAGCATGCAGTTTTTAATTGTTTTGATTGCCAACGTTAAGTAGCAGCTTTCCAAGTGTGGCAAGCAAGGATCTGAAAAGGGAGTTTGGTTTTCAAACCATCTCTCCATCCTTGTAGCTTTCTCACAGCCACGGCCTGGTCAGCATCTCCTACCTCATCTAATGAGTCCTGAGCATCTAATAATATTTGGGCTTCAAGCTTGCTGACTCTGAATTCCCAATTACGGGTCTCAGTTAAAAATGAAAATAACATCTGACACAGGAATTTCAATCCCAGTGGTGTCTCTGCTAAAATCCCTGCAAGCCAGGGATGGGGAGAGGGAGAGATGGAGCCTAGACAGGCTGACATGAAAAAGAAGCTATGCAGAGGAGAATTTTGCCCAGAGAAAAAGTTGAGAATTATTATATTTTTTAAAGCTCATGGTAGATTATGATGATTGTACAACTCTGTGAATATACTAAAAACCACTGAATTGTATACTTTCAGTGGCTGAACTGTAGAGCGTGGGAATTATGTCTCAATTAAACTGTTACCAAAGAGGAGGAAAAAAAAAAAAAAGCTTTTACAGAAAATTATTTCTTTTGTTATTTCATTACTATGCCAATCTCACTTTCCCACTCGGTTGACTTTTCATGATTGGACTGAGGCACAGGAGCCATGGGAGAATCAAGTATTACTTGCCTTCTTTCATTTTTTTGGTTTCTGTTAATAAACATGATCAAGGAGCTGGGGTTCTCATTATGCTTAAATTCCTTTCACTCCTAAACACACATTCAAAGTCTTTTAGAGGCTAAATTTAGAGATACTCTATGACAAGTGCTTGGCTTATTCTATTTTGTGAGAGCCAATGTCATGGCAGTATTTGAGCATTTGAGCCTATTAACAAAAGCACTGTATCACAGAATTTTAGCATCAAAATCCTTTCATGTAAATAAAGGGCCAGGAGCACAAAATTTTAAATGATTTAGTTTATGCACTGGTAATCCACATTACAAGGCATTCCCCGTTTGGTGCCTCCAATGGAAAGTATCAACCCTTTGTTGCACACTATAAGGAAATACAGCTTGACCACCATGGCTGCAAAAACTTCCTTTTAAAAAGAAAAGATCAAATGCTGCTGACTCAGATCTTTAGATTTTGTTTCATTTACCTTCTAATTCCTAGGAAGATTAATAATTAATAGTTCACCTCAGGCATAAAGAGATAGGAAAACACAGGAGATTTTTAAAATGCATCAGAATGAAGTTTAAATAAACATGTTTCATTGTCAACAGGAAAATTCAATGTCCTTTCACTGAACTGGAAGTGGACACCAAATTAAAACATGAGAATAAAAATAAAATATTGGTTTAAATATTCCCAGAATGATCTTTAGCTTAAAATACAGTTTTATTAGAGCAGATAACATGATTTCCATTTTCTTTTGCTTTGAGAGCAGACTGTAATTAAAGATGCAAAACTTAGTCTTACACAGATTCAACTACCAGGATATACCTTTATACCCAACAGGTTTCTTCACCCTTAAGGAAATGTAGACCACACCTTGACAGACTTAAAATGGTGCATATATTCACTGGATGGGAGCATAAACTACCAATTTATCTGATCTGTCCTTTATCCCTTTCACCTGGAAAGGACTCCAATATGGACTGCCAGGATGGGAAAGGACATTAGAATGAGCCTACATCCTAATACTAGTGTTTCAGATTTGAACTCAAAGGTTGGCTAGTTCCACACAGAATCTGCCATCCACACTACTTAACCTTTGCTTGTGCGACTGTTCAGTCCTTTGTACTGTTTGATATTTCCTTATATCATCAACTTAACTGTATGCTCTTTTGAGGAGAGCGACTTCATTGATTTCTATTATTCCACAGCACCCAGCATCATCTCTTACAAGGAGTAAGTGCTCAATAAATGATTATTAATCTTAAGTTCATTCTATGCAAATTAGTTTTTTCATCAAATAGAAATGAAAAGATCACGGTTCCAGCCTCATTTGACCTCTATGAGTTTAGGTGAGACACTATGCTCTGAACCTGTTTCCTCATCAGTAAAATTTGGGACTAAAAGGCCTCTAGGGTTCTAGCACCAACATTCTATGATGCAAAGAAGTAACATACATTTGTCAGCCCATCAACCTCCTACAGACAACACCAGTTATTTTCACTTGTCTAATACAGATAGTTAAGTAGGCAGGCAGTTACTTCTAAGCCATTTTAAGCAAAAAAATAATTCCTTTGAAGGTTTAACAAAATCTGGGAAAAGCTGTAGATAATACCATCTTGAAGGGCTTTCACATATGAGTTCAAGGATACACAGCTGTGTGTTCCTTGGTGGAAACCTGTGAGATACATAGGGTATTCCCACTCCATGGATGAGGAAAATGAGACTCCTAGAAGTCAGTTACTTTCCTATGGGGTCACTATACTACTATTAGTAGTGGTAGTAGTGGTAAGACAATATTGATGATGGTGATGATAATAATAATGAGTATTTATTCAATACTTACTCTGTGCCAGACACCTTTAAGGTGCTTACATGTATGAATTCATTTCATCTTCACAACAACCTCACAGTGTAGGTATTATCATTATGATAATCATTTTACAGATGGGGAACTAAGGCAGAGTTTAAGTGCCTACCTAAGGTTTCAGAGCTTATAAGCAATAGAGCAAGGTTTGGATCCTGGCCATCTGGTTCCAGAGTTCATGTTGTTAATTTACTACTACACTATTTTGCTCTTCAGTGTAAGAAATGCTGAGGATGAAAGGCTGGCTTCATAGTTTTGTCTTCTGATATTTTTCATAATAGCACATTATACTATGTCTGTAATGATGCAACCTTCAATTGTTCAATTTTGGTTTGTTATTGACTAGAGTATTAGTCCAAGTATGAATACTGATAGCTCTAATAAGTTTGATATTTCACTGCACTTTTAAAATATGTAAGAGCATACAATTTTTTAGCAGAGCAAAGTAGGTAAAGAAAAGGAATAATGAGATTACTTTACAGCAGTAGTTACCATATTTTAGCATGCATAAAAACCATTACTGAAGAAAGCCTGTTAAAATGCAGATTCCAGGGACCCAATACCCGAAGATGGTGATTCACCAAGTTTCAGGTAGGTTTCTGGAATCTTCATTTTTAATAAGCATACACCCCTACCGTCTTGACTCTGAAAGGCTGAGAAACATCTACTCATAGGCTGCCATCACCCCAGTCTGATCCTACGGGGAATACATTTTTTTGTAATATTTCAGGATGTGAGAAAGTTTGGATACAGAATTCACAGGATTCTGCTACACAAGGTCATCAGTGCTATTCCATTAAATTGAAAAATCTAATTCTTCTGAGTATTTCACAGAAGTCTGTAAGAATTTACTATGCAGAACCAGATTTTGTATAACTTTAATCTCTTCATGTGGTCTTGCAGAGTCAGTTTTAAATATTTCCGTTCTGATGAAGATATATTTTTTCAGAGCTGAATTAGTTTCTTCTGCTCGTTCCTTTTCAAAAGGAACTAAAATCACTCTTCTGACCATTTATACTGGGTATGGGGGTTACTGATCTCAGTCGCTGAAGAGGGACACACTCCAGTAAAACTAACAGGTGGGAAATCTGCCACCCCCAAACTGTTATACTATGTAACACATCACTGGGTGCATACGCCCCTTGCCCCCTGCCTTGTTTCTTTTTTTTACCCTCACCTGGAAACCCCTCCCATCTTCAACCTATTTAGTTACTTTTGTCCTTCAAATTCCAGTTCAAGTGTCACCACTGGAGTATTCTGGCCTCTGATCTCCCTCTCTTCTTACTGTAGATCATGTAGTCTGTATGATATAATCTGTTATTAAAAGCTGGACCCTCCGACGTGTATTATTATTTCATGTATGTTGGTCTTACCTTCCCAAAGAGTATGTAACTTTACTATGGGTAGACACTTGGACCCAAACATCATATTTACATCAGTTAGCCTCATGATTAGCACAAAACAGACATTTCAACAGGTGCTCCCTAACTGATCTGGGGCGCAGTTTCCAAAATGAAGTTGAAATCTTGGCTTCATTTGTGGCACTTTATATAAAGCTGACTTAGTCATTTAACATCTATACACATTGTAACTTTCATTCTAGACATGGAAGTTCTTTTAAAATTTGTGGCAAAAACCACGCTCGTACCCTGAGCATCTGACACACTTTGTTTCTCCTTACCAATATCCTGGGCGTCCTGGTTGCTCTGTCTTGCTCGCATCTGCAGCTGGAACTTATGCTGGGAAGAGCAGAGGTGCAGCAGGTACTGGCACACCTTACTGCTGTCTGTCTGGAAGGCATGTTTTATGCCATCTGATGTGTTTTGCAATGTGATTTTCTTTTTCTACAATATTAATCAGGGGTGTTATAATTAGGACGTTTTCCCGACACATAACTAAATTCTCTAAACAATAGTTAGTAAGTACAGATATTATTTTTATTTCTCATTTAACACTCATTCGGCATGAGCGTTCCTTGACCTGCATCTAATATAAATATAGAAAAATAGAACCCTGTTATTATAACGGATTCAGCAAATAAATCAAATTAATATCATTTGTCACTTTCAGAGATTGTAGCCTAAATCAGACAGTATACTATACCAGCAAGGGAAAAGGTTCTTTTAATGAGATTATTGATATTTTGAGTTTACTGCATGCAGTGTTTACAAATACCATAACTGTTTGAAAAAGACATTACAAAAATATGTTCTTCTTGGGTAAGAAAATGAAATTCAACAAAAATTGATTTATTAATATATAAGAGCTGTGATTCTGTCAAGAAGAATTCTGGTGGCCTGAGGGCTGAGATGGAAATTGTGAAAAGTTAAAAGAAAATGTGGGAATAGAGAGGCACTGGGTAACATGGCTGCTGGGATGAGAGATAAAACACATCAAGATTTAGAGACAGAGTGATTCTTGCATTCAAATTCAGGGGAAACAGGAGAACCATCAGTTAGTGTTATCTCTTCCATGTTTCTTGAAAAATAAACGTCTCTTGTGTAAGAGGGCATCCCAAAATGTTGCAACCTCTGTGGTGAGGCTTGCAGATGATTCGTACGTCTTAAAAGACTAGCATTCAGCATGCCAGGAATCTAAGACTAATGTCTCTGGAGAACTGCTTAAGTCCAATTAGATTTTACTCCAGCTCTCGGCTGCTTCTACTGTGTAAATTATTCCCTCTATCTACTCATGTCCCTTGTTTTCAAATGCAGGAATAGTCACAGAGAAGTCAAATTTGGTGAGGCTCATAAATGACACAATAACAGAATATTACTCAAACTTCAATCATGCAGGTGCCTTCTTCATAATTTCTGGTCTTGTTAATTTATAAATTTTTAAATTGACTTTGCTTATATAAATTCACTTAAACTTTATATCACAGCTATAAATAGAAAACCAGTACCACTTGCCATAAATAGAATCCAGCTATTAAAAATATGTAATCAGGGGCACCTAGGTGGCTCAGTTGATTAAGCATCTGCCTTTAGGTGAGGTCATGATCTCAGGATCCTGGGATAGAGCCCTGCACGGGGCTCCCTGCTCAGTAGGGTATCTGCTTCTCTCTCTCCCTCTGCACCTGGCCCTTGCTCATGCTCTCTCTCTATCTCAAATAAATAAACAAAATATTTAAAAAAGTATATGCAATCAATGCAATAAAAACAAAATAAGGTTATTATATTCTAGCTGGATATGTTACCAATGAAATCTCAGGGACCCTGTTCTCTCTTTCTTAAAAAAGGAAATCAGCAAGTATTAAAGAGGAGTTAAAAGAAACAGTATAATCAAACTAGTCTCTTTACTATCAGTAGTATATCGTACTGTGACGATTCACAGTGACGATTCAAATAGTTGGGAATTTTTTTTTTCCAAACAAACATAACCACTGTCAAGTAATTCCCTAGGATATTTTTCTCCAAAGCTGTAAAGCTGTACAGGTTTGAAACAAATTATAAGAATAATTGATTCTAAGTATTTACTGATAAAATGGACAAGAAATGTGTCCAAGGGAATTCAATTGTGAAAGATGAGAAAGGCGAAGGAGGGTGACATTTCTTTTTTTTTTGACAGAGACACAGCTAGAGAGGGAACACAAGCAGGGGGAGTGGGAGAGGGAGAAACAGGCTTCCTGTGGAGCAGGGAGCCCGATGCGGGGCTCGATCCCAGGATCCTGGGATCATAACCTGAGCCGAAGGCAGACGCTTAACGACTGAGCCACCCAGGCGCCCCAGGAGGGTGACATTTCTATCTCCCCAGAGGCTAGTGGGGGGTGGGGGGAATGAGGGTTAAAAAGAGCTCTGTGTTGGAGAAGGGACTTCGGGATAAACAAGTTTTGTTAAACACAAGAACAGTCTGCATGGGAATGTGGTCTATTCTCTATTACTGGAGATCTTTAAAAATGAGCTAATCAAAGCTAGTTCTATATATGGCAGGGCTGGTGTGATGGTTTGGCTAACAACAGAGAGCTGAATGCTAGACAATTTTTTTTTTTTTAAAGATTTTATTTATTTATTTGAGACAGAGAGAATGAGAGAGAGAGAGCACATGAGAGGGGGGAGGGTCAGAGGCAGAAGCAGGCTCCCTGCCGAGCAGGGAGCCCGACGCGGGACTCGATCCCGGGACTCCAGGATCATGACCTGAGCCGAAGGCAGTCGCTTAACCAACTGAGCCACCCAGGCGCCCGAATGCTAGACAATTTATTTGATTTGTTGCCTTTTCTAAATTGGTCCAAATTAGATTTGTATTTAATTAATCTAAGGTTTCCTACCGATATTTGCTGTGCTAGCATTTCCATTGGGGAAGGTAAATTATACCAGGGCAATTTCCTGGTCTTGACAATCTTGGGAAGATTAGGCTGTCTGGGCTTTCCTGAGAGAACACATTATCATCTGGTAATCTTAGTGGTACCTCTGGGTTTCACAGGAAATCAACCAACTAACCATCAAGTCTAGAACTGATTTCAAAGGTCTCTAGGTTGAAAATTAACCAGGGTAAGTTGGGACCTTGAGATTGATATCCTTATAAACAGTGTTCTAGTGAGACCATATTTCAGCCCAAATATGAATTAGAGATGCCAGTAGTCTCTTAATACCATAAGGAAAACAAATAAATATCTTAACATATTTTTTTATTCACCTCTGGGGCTTCTCAATTGCATTTCAATGTTCAGACACTCCAACCACTTCCAAAATCAAAATATGCCTTAACGGCTTACTATCTTTCATAAACATGATATTCTAAAACTTTACCTCCATATGGAATATACACTAAAACTTAAAACTGCAGAAAAGTTCTGGGACATTAAAAACATTCCTAGGGGTGCCTGGGTGGCTGAGTCGTTAAGCGTCTGTCTTTGGCTCAGGTCATGATCTAGGGTCCTGGGATCGAGCCCTGCATCGGCTCCCTGCTCAGTGGGAAGCCTGCTTCTCCCTCTCCCACTCCCCCTGCTTGTGTTCCCTCCCTCACTGTCTCTCTGTCAAGTAAATAAATTAAAATCTTTAAATAAAAAAAGTTTTTAGTTCATAAAATCCAATAAATCTCTGGACTGCTAAAATTCAAACATAGTTGCTGTGAGGAGCCCATTATTGAGCTAGACAAAATTTACGAGGATTAAAATAATTATTTTTTAAAATACATTAGAGGGGTTTCTCCATGTGAGAAGTAAGTATCCCAGAATAAGTTCTGAATTAATAGAAAGTCAACTTGGTTGTAATTCAACTAAGTCAATTGAGCATGTAACCAGCTGGGAATGTACATTATTCTTTTAAAAATCACTTCCTGAGAAAACTAAAACCAAATAAAGATCTCAATAATACTTCCTACAACTAAGAAGAGTTAAATAGTATTAAAATGAAAAAAAAAAAGTATTAAAATGTATTAGCCCTACTGAATAGATGCGTCTAAAGTTTACTTAAGGATAATCAATTAATATGTTACATTTGAAATTGACAACACATATCTTAAAATATAACGAAAAGGAGTTTAAATGGACATACGGAAAAAGAAATCTTCTTGGTTTCCCTCCATGGAAAGCGAAGGACCAGTGTGCGAACTCCATTGTGAACCTCAAACACAAGGACACCTTTAGAACAGACTCCAAGCAATATTCCAGTTTGTGACTTTTTCTCAGGGTGCACTCGATGAAAATGAACTCCATATTCTGTCAGTCTTTGGCAGACCTGTTGAACATCAATAGGAATGCACCTTGGTAAAGGGTGACAAAGATATAGAAGGTGTACCACTGTAGCTTGATATGGAAAGGATAGTCTTTTCAACAAATTGTGCTGAAACAAATGGATATTCACAGGCAAGGAAATGAATCTTGACCCTCAATTACACCCAGTATATGAAAATTAACCCCAAATGGGTCATAGACCTAAATATAGGAATTAAAACCATAAAGCTTAGAAAATCTTTATGGGTACGGGTTTGACAAAGATTTCTTTGTGGGACATAAAAAACATGAACTATAGAATAAAAAATTGGTAAACTGAAACTTTAGCTCTTCAAAAGTCAGTGATAAGAAAATATAAATGCAATGGGGTGCCTGGGTGGCTCAGTCAGTTAAGTGTCTGACTCTTGATTTCAGCTCAGGTTATGATCTCAGGGTTGCGAGATCGAGCCTTGTTTTGGGCTCTGCACTCATTGGGGAGTCTGCTTAAGATTCTCTCTCTCCCCCCCCCCCCCATCTCCCTCTCTAAAAAAAAAAAAAAAAGGAAAAGAAAAGAAAATATAAAGGCAGGCTACAGACTGGGAGGTAAATATATTATATATGTGATAAAGGAACTGTATCCAGCATATATAAAAAGCATGTATTTCTCAGCAATAAGGAGACATATAACCAGATACAAAGACGGGAAAAAGATTTTATTAGGCACTTCAATGAAGAAGATACACAAATGGCAAATAAACACATAAAAAGATGCTCACCATAAATAGTAATTAAGGAAATGCAAATTAACCTCACCACAATGATAGAACACCACTTAACCTATTTCAATAGTTGAAGTGAAAAAGTCTGAGCATACCAAGTATTTTGAGGATGTGGAACAACTAGAAATCTCACATATTACTGGTAGTACTGTAAAATTGGACAGCCACTTTAGAACAATTTGGCATTTTCTTATAAACATACACTTCCCATAGATCCCAGCAACCCTACTGTTAGGTAATTACTCAAAAGAAATAAAAACCATATGCTCACATCAAAATGTGTATTTGAAAGTTTATAAAGCCTTTATATCCATCAACTAATGAAGAAATAAACAGGTTGTTTATCTGTACAGAGGGAAACTACCCAGCAAAAGAATGACAAAAAAAAAACCCACAAAAAAGAAAAACAAACCAACGACAATCAAAAAAATCCCCCAACAACAAAAAAACCACCACCACCAAAAAAACTGATACACATCATACCATGGATGAATCTCAAAAGTATTACTTCTAAGTGAAAAGAGCAAGATACAGGAGACTACTACATAATGCATAATTCTTTTAATGAAATTCTAGACAAGAAAAAACTATGGTGATAGAAAGGAGATCAGTAGTTGCCAAGGGCTGGGGTGGTGGTGGTGGGGGGATTAACTGCAAAGGGACACAAGGAAACTTTTTTGGTTTTGGAAATGTGGGTTAGCAAGTCTTTGTCTTCATAGATACTTGTAGGGCTGGGAACCTTGGCTCTCTTCAATATGGAGCAAATGGAAGGCATACTGTTACATACTAGGGAGCTGAACCAGGAGAATGTTCTGAAAGTTTCTCTTCTCAACAGAATACTATACTTTCTATTCTTATTGGAAGTAACACAATACTATCTTTCCTGATCATAAATGGACTATTTATCTGAGGTCTCAAAGAAAGCTGATGGCAGAACTGGAACCATAAAGCCATTTTTTTCTGACCCCCTTCCATTATGTGAATTAGTCAGCATTTATGAAATACCGTCTTTAAAGGATGTAATTGAATTTTAAGCCTTTTAAAAAACAAAGCAAAATAATTCCATCAAAAAATTCCGTTGTTACTTCTTTACAATGTATCTTGATACATTTATAATGTATCTTGAGTATAGAACAGAATAAAAGCAGAAAATCCATAGCCATGCAGATACAGGGTTCAAATTAGTTTTGCCCCACCTACCAGCCATTGACTTTGGGAATATTACATTTCCTCTTTGAGCTTTAGTCCTCTCTTTCACAGGATAATTAAAATACCATGGTTTTAGTCAGGAATAAGTGAGATGAGATAATGCATAGTATCAGTTATTGGCACTTGAGCTTTTAGATACCTATGTCCTCCAATATTTCTTGCTTACTTTGAAAAACATATAAACTTTATCATTTGTAATCCTGCATGCTTACCTTTAAAAATTCTAACTCTGTCTCTTTTTCAGAAGCTCCCACGTAGGTATTATGCAATTTTGGTAACTCTTCTTTAACATAGGATAAATCAAGTTTCTCCATCACTCTGGGAGGCAAATAATGCTCCAGTCTAAAATAAGACACACCATGAACCTAGAAAAGAGAATGTTTTTATAAGCAATTATGTTTGCCCTCTTCCTTTTATCTTAAAGTTCTTGCCTCAACCAAGAGGTAAGACACTTTTATTTAGACTTCTCCCTGAGGAGTGAGTTTTAGAGGAAATGCGTCATTCTTTCTCTTTCATTTGGTGAGGTAAAATGGCTGAACTGATTAGCAAGCTTAAAGAGACAGACAACAAGGGCCAAATGTCACTACAGTTAGGGTTAATGTTGTGAAGGATGCTACTCAAGTGGCACTGACTCTTGCCCCTTGCTTCCTCTTAGATCCACTTTTTTCAGGAACAATTGGCCTCAAACATCTGCTTTCTGTAGAGTGAACTCTGCTGGGTTCCCAGCCCATTACTGCATGGATCCATGTGGAAGGCAGAAGATCCCTTTGACCCAGATTTGGCTGGTAACCCTTGTGCCTAGTATCTATTAATTAGAAATTGGGAGAAAGAAGGGTAAATGCTAGATATCCTGAAATTGTGAAACAGGAAATTTTACACAGAAAAAAGAAAAAGAGAGAGAGAGAAAGCTACACTGTATGATTTTTACATACCAATGTACATGGGGAATCTGGTCACTCTAAGGTACCAAACTAGCCTCAAAAATCTCCAGATATTGGGGCGCCTGCGTGGTGCAATTGGTTGAGCATCTGACTCATGGTTTCAGCTCAGGTCATGATCGCAGGGTTGTGGGACTGGAACCCTGTGTCAGGCTCCAGGCTCAGCGTGGAGTCTGCTTGAGATTCTCTCTTGCTCTCCCTCTGCCCCTCCTGCCAATTCTCTCTCTCTCTCTCTCTCAAATACATCTTAAAAACAACAACTCCAGATCTAAATAGCAAACACATCATCCAGGTTCAGTTTTTAATTATGCCGAGGATAAAAATATCAATATGAAAGTGGCCCTGGAGAAAAAAAAAACAAATCCTACCTCTGGTTGATAATCTCCATATTCAGCCTGGAGAGCCAAGGATGCCAGTAATAAAGAAGTCTCATCATCACAATGCATCCTCTCCTCCAAGATATCCTTTCGCAGCTGAAGATAATACTGATGACAGGTCAGGGTATGTCTGGAGAAATAAACGCACACTAAACATCTAGGCTTCATCTTGAATCTGGAGAGATTTTTATTATTGGCATATAAGTTGAGTTCCCAAGATGGTTTATTATTAATCTTGGGATTAATACAGGGTTCAAATTAGTTTTGCCCCACCTACCAGCCATTGACTTTGGGAAATTTAGAATTTAATAAACTATGTTGAAGGAAATATTTCTTTTATGATAGAGAAGACATTTACTGAATCAAATAATTCAGTATCAGTAAACTAAAGGGTCCAAAGACCAGAAGCCAAAAAGACAAAAATAGAAACTTGTGTACTCACTGTATTAGACTAACATCATCCATGAAAAATTTAATTCGGAAAAACAAAGTAAAATTAATAGCGGCTTTGCTCTTTTTCTTTGGTTCTTCTTTCCATCCCTCTGGGGCCACTTTGGTTAATTTTAAATCAGGATCAACAAAGAAATATTCATTATCTAAAACAGAACCAGGAAACACTCAGATAAAAATACTTCAATGTTTTCTTCTGATTCCTTCATAGTTTGTTTTTTTTTTTTTTTTTTTTTTTGCGGTGGGGGGTGGTCAGACTTGCACAAAGTAGTTTCACACAAGAATAAAATAAGATTGTTAAGAAGTATGGCAGGGAATGCTGAAGGTAACTGCCTACAGACTGGGGGCAATTGGGTATGTCTGAGTCTTTTAAGACAGGGTTCTAAGGGCAGATAGAACTAGATTCAAATCCACCACATCATTTACTGTCCATGTGACACTGACTAAATTATTTAACCTTTCTAGACATCAATTTTCTTGTCTGTAAAATCAGGATAGTGCTAATTCCTGCCTTATTGTATTATTGTAGGGATCAAATGACCTAAGCCATATAAAACACTTGGTAAAGCATGTGGCATATGGTAAGCATTCAATAAATATTATTTATTATTTATTATTATTGAGCTTCCAACTGAAACCTAGGAAAAAAATACTCATCATTTTGTAATTCCATCTAAATATTATTGACTCTTTCCAAATAAAAGGTTTTCAATAAAATCTGACTTATCCAGGAGGTTCAAGAAACTAGGTGTACTATAAACAGAAATTCTGATTAATTATTCATGTGAATGGTATTACCTGATTAGTCTAAACTTGTAAGTAGTAAAGTGACAGAACATTAGTAGGCACTAATTGAATGTTTACTGGATGACTCTATAAAGTGAACTATTAGTTTTTAAGAAACAAGAATTCAATAAACTAAATTGAAGAAAACATTTCTTTTTTGACAAAAAGGACATTATCCTAATCTTGTAGGGTTTTAAGATAATTTGATCCTCAACTGCAATTTATGGTACTCTGTTGCCTAAGGTAAGTTAAATTTTGAGGTAAACAGGAATTTGAAATATTGAAGAGTAATTTATAAATACAATGATTTATTAAAGCCCAACTCCAAAGCAATAAGGAGCTATGGAAATTCTAACTGATAAATAAATAGGAGTGATTTCACTGAAGCTCTGCTCTGAGGCCACTGGGAATGCCACAAAGTTCAGTGCATGTAAAGCTTAAAAAATGTGTAAAATGATGTATTTGCAGTCACGAAGTGAAAACATTTAAAAGAGACACTGTATGTTTTTAGGATAGTAGGCTAAAGAAGCTGATGTGGAGATTCAGAAATAGGATCCTGCTATATATTTAAATTCAGATTAGCAGGATACTAATTTCTAGAGTACATATGTAGGTAATTGACATATATAATGGTCCCCAAAATATAATAATTAAAATCCACTTCAGTATACTGAGCTAAAGAAAAATGTTCATGGTCAGGTATAGAAGATGCTAAAAGACACAGCTATTAAAACAATGAAACTAGGGGTGCCTGGGCGGCTCAGTCATTAAGCATCTGCCTTCGGCTCAGGTCATGATCTCAGGCTCCTGGGATCGAGCCCCGCATCGGGCTCCCTGCTCAGCAGGAAGCCTGCTTCCTCCTCTCCCACTCCCCCTGTTTGTGTTCCTTCTCTCGCTATGTCTCTGTCAAATAAATAAATAAAATCTTAAAAAAAAAAACAAAAACACAATGAACCTAATTAGGAGAAGGGAGTTCCTAACTCCTACTTCTCAATGCTGACATGTTCATGTAGTTAACATTTCCCAAAACAAGTTGGGCAATAACAGGTATGAAAGCTTGTTGCCAAGTTTCCATACTACACCCTGAACTTAAAATATCTTGGTACCTTTGAGGGTAGCTAAAGCAAACAAATGATGTTCCACTAAGCCGATGTGGGCCACAATCATATCAAACACATCTTTACATATAGTTTTGGTATCACAAATCAGTTCCAGTCTCTGCCCACTCAGAAGCATTATGTTTACTTTTCTTCGGTTATCTTCATTCTTCCCTTTCTTGGCCTACGATTGAAAAAAAGAAAATGAATGATATCCATTAAAGTAAACATTATAAGAATTTTAACAGTTTTTTTAAAAAAAGTCATTACTGAAATTATTTTCTAAGAGTGACACAAGTTGGTTTTATTACTTACAAGGATAGACCGTGGCAAATCCAAAGATATAAATGGCTCAATCGTCATCTTCACAAACTCAGGGCCAAAGAAATTCTGCGAATTACATAAGTAGAATCAACAGTTTTTACCTCTTAGGCTAGGTCTTTCCTTAAAAGGCAAATATAATAATAATAATAATAATAATAATAATAATAATAATAATAATAATAATAATAAATTACATGTAAAGCCACCACAATAGAACTAGGTGATCTGAAACAAATGTAGCAATGTTTAATAAAGAAGTATGGTGGCTTTTACGAAGGACAGGAATGGAATATGCCTTACACCAAATGTAAACAGAAGTTCTTCCTCAGTTTCATTTTTTACCAGTGATGTCAAATATAAAGCCTTGCTTCATACTGTTTTACAAATTTTTCATTTTTTGGCCTTCAGATAAACTCAGACTGTCAAAAAAAATAGTAGCCTTAACTACTGAAGTAATACAGAGTTATCAAGCTCATGATAAGGATTTGGTTTAGTACTGCTAAGGTGTGAAGTGACTGAACACAATCTCATTTTGTTTTAGAGAGTGATATTTCATGTATCCTAAAATAAATCATAGTTAAAGGACATCTACTTTGTAATTACAAAATACACATACCCATTCATAATCATGTGCTTGGAACCCTGTGACATTCACTGTCTTTTTTTTTCTAAATAGTTGACAGGGATATTACAAATATCAGCCTTTGGCCCCCCGTGCTACCCCCAGTGAGAAAACATTATCTCAGGAGAGAGGGGAGACTCAGGAGCTGGGGAAAGTGGAGTCCACACACTTCATTTACTGCTTCTCAATCTACTTTTTGCCTGTACCTCTTGCATATCCAGAAGCTTCTCCCAAAAGTGGTACCTGGTTGAGGAAATAACTTAAAAAAGGTTAAGATTCCAGGTGGGAGCAGAATTCAGAACAGACTGAAAGATAATGTGCAAATGGGCAAAAAGTACAATGAAAGGGCTAATCTTGAGGCCAAAGGCAGGTGGTGTGTTTGTGTGCGCGTGTGCACATATGAGCGCATGTGCAGTAATGCGCATGCATGAGTTTGCACTCAGGAAGTTTACTGGGGTTTTATTTTTGTTGGTTTCTTCTTTTGTTGCTTGATGTGGGAATTCTATCCAATTAACCAAGTGTGGAACATGTGACAGATACTATTTAAGTAAAACATTAACTTTAAGGGTTTGTTAATACTCAACCAGCCAGTAGGACACATTTTAAATGAGAACAGAAATAGAGCAGAAAAAAAGAAAATGGTCTGCCTCGGGGAATACAGAATCTAATACAGATCAACTAAAGCTACAGTGTATAAACAAGTTAAAATGTCTCTGCACCAAAAGTAACCTACAAAAAATCAAATATTTATGTTTTGGGAAAGAACATTAATTAAATGGTGTAATTGTTCCTTCAAATACTAGCACTGTTTCTCAGCACTAAAAACATGCCCTTCCTGCTCTTTTCAGAAAAAATATGCGGTCCTTTAATGACCACCAGTTCACATTCTGTAGTCACTGATACAGTATGTCTTTGATGAAGAGATGTTTGTTTTGAAATAGCCAGAAACTGACTGCCTAAAAGGAAACACAGGTTTTTAGTGAGATGGTGCATAACAGTGGCATACTGTAAAGATACAGGATACCATTTATGAATCTCTAATAAGCTATGTTCTACATTAGCTCTCTAAAATTATGATTTAGGAAAAAGGTGTATATATACGTGCTCGTTATAGTTTATGCGTGTGTTTAATTACTGGAAGCCCACACTATTTTGTATGATATCTTGCCTAGTTCTTAATTTTGACAAAGATATTGGTGATAATGATAAATTGATGAGGCTTATTGAGTTTCTTCCTTTCAGCTTAATCATATTTTATGGGAATCTAACAATTTTAAAAGTAGACAGTATCTTATAAATTTCAACCCAATTCCACATTTAAAAAATTAGCACAATAAAGAACAAAGTGGTTTAAAAATTTGCCTAAAATCATATAACAGCATTATTAACAATAGAAACCAAGTCTTTGAATTTGTGGTTCAAACAATTTTCACCACCCAGTACTGTTTCTTCTCCTTAGAAAACTTTGAGGGAAATTTGAATTCTATCAACTCTAGGGCATACAAATATGCTTTTGAGACAATTCTTTAAAAAAAAAAAAAAAAAGACAATTATTTGAAACAAGCAACAAAAAAACCAAAACAGAATGTGGGTAATACACAAGTGCAGAACTAAAAAGAAAAAATTCATCCTAGGTTTTATCACTTTTACTACTATTTATTTCATGTTTGAAGAATTATTTGTATAGGAACAATACAAACAAGATACTGCCTCACCTATCAAATTGGTGATGATAAAAAAAGAATGACAATATCCAGAGAAGGTAAGAATATGGTGAAACAGGCATGAACACAGGAAGCATAAATTTGTACAAACATTGTGAAGGACAATTTGACAATATGTATCAAATGTTTTAAAATGTGCATGCCTTTGACTTGGCTATTCTACTTGGAGGAAGCTACCCGCAAAGATTTAGCTAAAGGGATGTTCATCAGAGCATTGCTTGCAATAGCAACAACAACAAATTAGAAATATTTTCAATGTCCAGCGGCACCTGGGTGGTTCAGTTGGTTATGCATCTGCCTTCAGCTCAGGTCCTGATCTTGGGGTCCTGGGATTCAGCCCATATTGGAGTCCGGCATCAGGCTCCCTGCTCAGTGGGGAGTCTGCTTCTTTCTCTCCCTCTCTCCTCCCATCCCCCACTCGTGCTCTCTCTCAAATAAATAAAAACTTTAAAAGAAAAAAAAATATTTTCAATGTCCAATAACTGGAAACTGATGGAAGAAATCATGGTACATGATAAATTCACATAATGAAGTACTTTCTAGCCCTTAACAATAATATTATAGAAGTTGTAAAATGTTCAAGATATTTCACATGAGAAGACTGTTCATTTTGAGCTTATGTTTATAAAAATATATAGGACATATGTTGAAAGAAAAGTAAACTAACTAAACACATTAAAAAAAATCCCCCCGATACAGGATGCAGATTTGTTCCTTTTGTCTTTCAATATTGTAATACAAAGATACAATGCTTGAAGCTCATGTGATCATCTTCTGATTTCAAAGTAAATCACTATCAAAATTCTGAGAATGGCAGAGCAGAAAGATGGAACGTACTTGATAATTCTTGAGCTTCTGAATCAATCCTGAACTCTATTCCTGATCTTCTTGGTTTCAGAGATAATAAATTTCTTAATATTAAAAGATAATCCCCTACAATACTAAATAAATAAATTGACTTTAAGGATCATAAATATACTTTAAAAATATACAGTGTATTTAGAATATCTTATTCTAAATCCATCTAATGTTATTTTAAAAATGAAATAATGAAACAGCTAAATATTTATTTTAATATCAACCAACATAATATCAACCAACATTTAACACCAGTAGAATTAATATGGGATTTCTATTTCATCTGTAGGGAATTTCAGGACACCTACAGAACTTAAAAGTATTTTGCGTAACATGTTCCTGTGAGTATGTTAACTAACCAGAATTTTTTTTTAAAGATTTTATTTATTTATTCGAGAGATTTATTTGAGAGACAGCACGAGCAGTGGGGAGGGGCAGAGGGAGAGGGAGAAGCAGACTCCCAGCTGAGGAGGGAGCCCGATGCGGAACTCGATCCCAGGACCCCAAGATCGTGACCTGAGCTGAAGGCAGATGCTTAACTGACTGAGCCACCCAGGCGCCCAACTAACTGGAATTTAAGTAAAAACTTAAAAAAAAGATAAATTTCCCTGTGAGACCAAGTGTAAATGCAGTAATCTGAGAATTAACGTACCCTCAGTTTTCTTTGGGTCATGGCTGTTTCAAGGGCCATTTCTCTTAAGGGATCCCTGCTGATGTCAAGCATAGAGGCTTTGATTGTGTCTCCCGGATACAGGCTCAGCCGAGACTGTCTAAGGGCCATTCTGGCTTGCAGCTGCATCATTTCTTCTTCTTGCCGTTTTAGCATAATCTCTTGATTAACTACATTGCCTTCAAGGGGTGTTTCATATTGTCTACTGTATAGAAATGAGACGAAAACAATTATTTTAACCTAATCAGGAAAGAAAAACAGGTTAAGTAAGGTATCAAGAATTTCAACAATTTTTATTTTGTCTTCTGAGAAGAACCGTTGCAGTAACATTTCAATCCTACTTTTAAACTGATAATAGTACGTTTCCCCATTTCCACTGGATAGATCTACATGCTCCACCTCTTCTCTAAACATTCTAGCATCCTCTGAAAACTGCTTCTGCTGCAGTTCTCTTCAGATGGGGCTGTTTATTCTTATAGTCCTGTACCACTGGGCCTGGAGATAGGATAGAGATTGCCCTTTTTTTTCTTTTTTCTTTTTAAGATTTATTTATTTATTTGAGAGAGAGAGAAAGAGCAAGCACAAGCAGGAGCGCAGAGACAGAGGGAGAGAGAATCTGAAGCAGACTCCGTGCTGAGCATGGAGCTTGACGTGGGGCTAGATCTCACGATCCCGAGACCACAACCCTAGCCGAAACCAAGAGTTGGATGCTCAACTGACTTCGCCATCCAGGTGCCCCTAGATTTCTCTTAATTCTTATTTCAGCTTCCAGACGATTGCTGACCTAGAATAGCTCCCAACTTCCCTGAAGTACATGCTATGAAATCACTTAATCCACTGCTCTGCTTTTGCTCTAGACATTTAATTATCCTATTGGTCAAGTCTCCCTTATTCATTAAAGATTTAAGTACCTGACTCAGTCCTTTCCTCTGTCAGTAATCCTGTCATCATTCAAGATGGTGTTATACAGACTGAGGAGTTCTCCAACACTCTGCCCCCCTCCCCCCGCCCCCAGCCAGCCAGCCATCTACTCCCATGGTTATGCTGTCTATAAACAATAATTGCACTACCTCGAAAATGTCCTATTTCTACCCTCCAATGGCTTCTCTATCTAATCTTATTTTTTTTAGCTCACTACCTCTAATATCCTTCTTGAAATAATTCATTGACTCCAGCACTTTCTCTATTACCCTTCTCTTGCCCTTACACTGCTTGAATTCCAAGGCCCATCATTAAAATCACTCCTTTGCAGACAATCTCAACTCTCATGAAACTGCAGAACCATGCTGATTGATCTCACTGGGCTCTCAGCACTATCTGGCAACTCATTTTCTTAGAGAACTATTTTATACCTTCTTCCTTCCCTTTTCTTTTCAAAGCTCAAATACTCTCTCCCTTGTTCTCTCTACTGACGATCTTTCCTCAGTTTTCTTGGTGAACTAAGAAGCAATCAGGAAATAACTTCCTCATCCTTCTACCACCAAATTTTCCAGATCTACATCCATATGTTTTTGTCTTCTTTTCGGTAACCACGATGGATCTCCTGCACCCTTACAGAGGCCTGATACCTCTCCTGGGCATGGAATTCCATCCCCTCTCCTACTACTCAGAGACTTTGCCCTGCAGTTATCCCCTCACGTGCATCCATAATATCATACATTACGTTATTCTCACTAGTCTACAAACATGATATACTATTTCTTACTCAGAACAAAAAAAAATCCTCCTTTGGTTGTACATCCCCTTTTGGACTCATCCCATTCTTTCCTTCTGTCTTTTAGAGCAAATCTCTTCAAACTGTCATTTAAGTTTTATCTCTACTTCATCTCCCACTCTCTTGGACTCAGACCAGTAGTTTTAGTCCCTACTATTCCACCAAAGCTGTTCACAAAAATGAGTGAACTCGTTGTTGTCAAAGCCAAAGGATAATTCTCGATTTTCACTTTATTTGACCTCTAAGCACCAAAAGACATAGTTGCTCAGTCCTTCCTATTCTTTTTGTTTTGTTTTGTTTCAGAGGTGGAGAGGGAGAGAGAGAATCCTAAGCAGGCTCCACATGCAGCATGGCGCCTGAAATGGGGCTCGGTCTCATGACTCTGAGATCATGACTTGAGCCGAAATCAAGAGCCAGACGCTTAAATGACTGAGCTACCCAGGTGTAGTCCTTCCATAGTCTTAAAACATTTCCCTTCTGGAAAACCCATGCTCTTTTTATTTTCCTTCTACTTTACTGGCTTTTCCTTCTTGGTCTCTTTTGTTGGCACCTCCTTCATTTCTAATCTCCTAGTTTTAGACTACAATAGTGCTCAGACCTCCAGATTTTCCTAGTCTCCATATATACTCCATACCTACATGATCTTATCTAGTTACATGGCCTTAATTACTTTATATATGCCTATAATTCAGTCTCTCCTCTGAATTCTAATTTTATTTGCCTAGGTGAGTGTTCTACTTGGATGTTAATATGCATCTTTAGGCTGATATGTCTCAAATCAGATTCTTGATATTTTTTCCCCTTGTCCAACCTTTTCTCAATCATTCACCAGTTGCTTACAACCAACTGGGAATCATTCTTGATTCCTCTCTCTATCCTACAAATCCCCTATCTGATTGGGCAGCAAATCCTGAAAGCACAACCTTGAAAATATCTATATCTGACTCTTCTCTATCACTAGCAATCTAATCTGGGCTATATCTATCCAAATGGATGTGGGGCTAGATCTCACTATGATTACTTCCAACAGGGCTTTTACTCTTGTAAACTGTTCTTCAAACAGAACAGAGTAATCCCATTAAATGTAAATTAGACCTATGTTTTCAAGCCACTCAATGGCTTCCCATCATACATCCAAATTGTTCACGTAAGCTTCTGAGGTGTGACATGATTTGGATTCTGGTTACTACCCACTCTGCCTTTCTCTCATCCTGCTGCACCCACACTGTCCTTCCTGTATTGCTCTGACATGCAACACATCTCCCATAACTCAAGGCCTTTGCTCTTGTCATTCCTTTTGTTTGGAAGGAACCCTGTCTCCTGCTATATGCACAGTTCACCCCATCACTTAAAATAGTTTTCTATCCAAATATAATCCTTGGGAGAGGCCTCCTCTAATCACCCTACCTATGTATAAAAGAACCTGGACATCACAACCCTGCACTCTCTATCCCTTAAGCCTACTTTTTTTTTCTTCTTTTTTTTTTTTTACTCTTTTCCAATTAAAATTTTTATTATTGAAGTGTAGTTGATATACAATGGTATATTAGTTTCAGGTGAACAACATGGTGATATGACAATTCTGTATTACTCAATGCTTACCATGTTAAGTGTAGTCACCATACAAAGTTATTACAGTATTATTGACTATCTTCCCAATGCTGTACTTTCTATTTCCGTGACTTACTTATTTTATAACTGGAAGACTGTACCTCTTAATCCCCTTCAGTTATTTCACTCCCTCCCCACTTTCACAATCAATAGTTTGTTCTCTGTATTCATAAGTCTGTTTCTGTTTTGTTTGTTCATTTGTTTTGTTTTTTAGATTCCACATATAAATGAAATCATATGGTATTTGTCTTTGACTTTTTTCACTTAGCATAATACCCTCTGGGTCCATCCATGTTGTTGCAAATGGCAAGATCTCATTCTTTTTTATGGCTGAGTAATATTCCAGGGTGTGTGTGTTTGTGTGTGTGTGTGTCTTTATCCATTCATCTACTGATGGGCACTTGGGTTGCTTCCATATCTTGGCTACTGTAAATAGTGTTGTAGTAAACACAGAGGTGCAAATATGTTTTTAAATTGGTGTTTTCATTTCCTTTGGGTAAATATCCACTAGTGGAATTATTGGATAATATTGTATTTCTATTTTTAATTTTTTGAGGAACCTCCATACTGTTTTCCACAGTGGTTGCACCACTTTACATTCCCACCAACTGTGCATGGGGATTCCTTTTTCTCCACATCCTCGTCAACACTTGTTTCTTGTCTTCTTGATTTTAGGCATTCTGGCGGGTGTAAGGTGATACTGCATTGTGGTTTTGATTTGCATTTCCCTGATGATTAATGATGTTGAGCATCTTTTCATGTGCCTACTGGCCATGTGTATGTGTTCTTTGGAAAAATGTCTGTTCTGGTCCTCTGCCCATTTTTAAATTGGATCATCTGACTTTTTTTGGTGTTGATATATATATATATTATATTATATAATATATATATACTATATATATTATATATAATTTCTTTATATATCTTGGATATGATCCCTTATCAGAAATATCACTTATATATATCTTCTCCCCATCAGTAGGTTGACTTTTCATTTTGTTGATCACTGTTTGCCTCTATGTGCACTCTCTATCCCCTTAGCCTGCTTTATTTTTCTTTAAAGCACCATCATTATCTGATAATGATGGTGCATTTACTTACTTGTTTTTTAATGGTTTACTGGCTATCTCTCAGCCCTAGAAATTCCTTTGAGGGACACTTTTTCTTGTTTTTTTGCATGACTCTATCTCCAGTACCTAAAAGTTCCCAGTACACGGTAGGTGCACAGCAATAATTTCTTGAGCAAATGACAGAATGTAATTTTATGGCTCTCTCACTTAATATGGGGGGAGGGGTCAAGGATAATAATAAGAACCTGAATCTATACATTTTAACTTGCATCTGTTGGTTTCATTAAATATATTAGCCTTCTTGTTCAAAGTTAAGTCGGAAAAATAGGCTACCTCCTCAAGCAGATAGGCACAGAAACAGTGGGAATTGTACTATGTATAAACTGTACTTCAAAAGTTAACACAGAAAAAACTTAGAGATGTTCTTTGGAAAACAGCTTTGAATATCCTTTTTGGTCACTGAAAGACACTTTTGATAACTCAGAATCAAAAAATTACTCATTCTGCTGTATCTGACTCATAATTTCCTGTTAATTTCCCCCCACCCCCTATGATACAAATCAACAGCACTGCCTGGATCTGTTTTTCCATTTCATTCTAGCTAAAGGGAATGGAAATTTTTATAAAGAAGCATGCAACATGTCTAAATATAGCACTATTTATAGATCTCACAAATATATGACCTAAAGAACAAAACAGGACCTCCTAATTGTGTGCCAGCATGCTAAGGATGTTATTAGAAACCTTTGTTCACATTCAGAAAATTCTGCACTTGAATAAGGAATTTAGAGTATTTTACTTAATGTGTTTGTCGGTGGGCAGAAAAAGGGGATGGGACTTGTCTAAAAGAAGTAGAGCTTAGCATCTTACATTAAATATAACATATACACAGATTTAACAACCTACTTTTCCTTGAAATATTTTTTTGTGTATGTCTTTATCTAATGGAGATGCTATGAATGCCACATTGAGTTTTTTTTTCCACTTAAAGTGTGAAATAAAAGACAGTTTATCATTAGAACACGATTTAATGAACTAAAGTGACCTTAAAGTTAATGTCTCCTAGGGGCAGTCATTAAGCGTCTGCCTTCGGCTCAGGTCGTGATCCCAGAGTCCTGAGATCAAGCCCCGCATCCGGCCCCCTGCTCCGCAGGAAGCCTGCTTCTTCCTCTCCCACTCCCCCTGCTTGTGTTCCCTCTCTTGCTGTGTCTCTCTCTGTCAAATAAATAAATAAAATCTTTAAAAAATAAATAAATAAAGTTAATGTCTCCTAAAAATAAAACTTGGAAACAGTTGAAACAAATATTCTCTTATAATCTTTTGAGGTAACTTATCAAGAAAATTGAAATAAGACTCACAAAATGATTTAATTTTATTTGGAGGAATATGTTCTTAACCAACTGAGCCACGCAGGCGTCCCTTGGAGGAATATGTTCTTAAACAACTAACAAATGAACGATAAAATCAATTTTTAATACATAAGCCCAATAATTCTCCAGTTGTCTTTACTCATGTTTTCATCAAGCTAAAGAGCATCATACTATTTATATAAAATTTCTCCAAATTAAATACGTAGTGAGGAATGACTCCCGCAATTCACCACAGTGCTGACTGCATTTCAATATTTGCTTCTTATTGCTGTTCATCACAAAATGCTTTTGTGTCTTTAAGAAAACTGTATAACATCAAACATAAACCTATCTTTGTCTCTTACCTCTTTGTTCAAAATTACCAAATCAGGGTTATCACCACAATGGGGTCCTAGTAATATAAAATCCTACTATGCAAATAAAATACTGCTTTAGGTAAATGAATACTTATTAGAGCTTTCCTCAGAGGAAATAAAGTATCATGGACTATTTTATTTTATTTTTAATTTTTATTGTTATGTTAATCACCATACATTACATCATTAGTTTTTGATGTTCATGGACTATTTTAAAAGGCATAAGAGGAGAGAAAAAGACATAAATTTAATAAAAACTGCAATATTAAAAGGAATAACTTTAGTGCAATGTATTTAATTACTTGGAGTCTAAAACCTAGATAAATTGTCTGTTTTAATCACATGGCTACTGTTACCTGGTCTATTAATAGTTTACAGGTGTGAAACAGTGTCTGCCAGAATTAATTAGCTAAGGGGCAAGTTTTTGTTAATCTCCAAATGATTCTTTTGTATATGGTGACACTTGAATTAAACAAATTAAGATATCAAATTTAAAAGGATTTCCATAGTTTGGGAGTAAATTCTGAAGCAACCTCTAGTTCTGTAATAACACATTACAAATTTCAAATAAATGTTTAACATTAACAATATGCTTTTATTCATGTAAGGGACTTGTGCACATAGGAAAAGGATACACATCAAAATATTCAGTATTGGCTTGACAGTTTTCAGTTTAAACAAAGTAAATCAATATATAGCTATAATACCACCATCCTAAGCACAGCACAAGAATAATACCTAACACCTTATAAGAAAGCTGAATCTTTCAGTATGAAAATGAACTTGAAATAGCCCAAATTGGACTTTAAAAAAAAAAAAACAAGATAATCTCTTTTAAGCCAGTAAATATGTAGTGAATAATTAACTTTTTACATAACAGGTTACTTAGTAGTAACCTACTCATTATCCATTCAAAAAAAATAATCCCTGAAAACCTGCTTGTTGAGCCTGTTCAACTTTTCAAGAGAAATTACTCTCTTAGAAATTAAGGCTTATTATCTTCTCACAGATGTTTGATGCCATCCCCTCAGAACTTCCTGTTAATACGTTATTTTATATACATATTGACAATTTTAATTTCAAGCACAAACTATAAATAATCAGAGCCAATTCTAATTTTATTTATTTATTTATTTTTTAAAGATCTTATTTATTTATTTGACACACAGAGAGAGACACAGTGAGAGAGGGAACACAATCACGGGGAGTCCAAGAGGGAGAAGCAGGCTTCCCGCTGAGCAGGGAGCCCGATGCAGGGCTCGATCCCAGGACCCTGGGACCATGACCTGAGCCAAAGGCAGACGCTCAACGACTGAGCCGCCCAGGGCGCCCCGCCAGTTCTAATTTTAAAAGATTCCAATAACTCAAACTCAAACTACTACAATGTCTTTCACATAATTAAATGAATTTCCAAGAATTTAAAGAAGAGGTAAAGAAAAAAGGAAAATGGAGAAAAGAGAAAAGAGGATAATTTTGAAAACTTCTCCTTGATTCTAATAAAGAAAAACAAAACACCTGTCACTGGCAATATATTATTACTATTTTTTCATGTCACATACCTTGGTCTCTGTGACTGGCCTTGACTTGGGTTTTCACCTACCCCTGGGAGACCATTGTTAGATTCAAACCTCTTGGAAGCTTCACTTTTTCGTACTAATTAAAGAATGAAAAAAGGAATGAAAAAAGAAATAACAGCACAGGTGATAAAAATATGAAGTAGCCTTATTTAAAACTCAAACACTTAGCAGATACACTAAGGTAATTTTTATAAATCACATTTATACCATCAAATTAATGACATAATGTCATTAAACTCCGGATAAGTCATATTATTTTTAAAGACAATGAATTAATTCCTATTATGAAAATGACTACATTATTCTTTGATGAAACTATTAAGCTCCTATAATACTCTTAAAATGAGTAACCAGCAGCTTTTTATAATTTTTAAATTTTATATAGAATTATTCTTTTAACACCTTATATCTTAACACTACTGAAAAAGAAGGACATTCATGGTTTCTTAAAGACATTTTGGTTATCCAGATGCCTCTCACCTTGTCGGAAATCTGATTCAGAGGAAATGATTGATGGACTTTCACTGGAGGTACTAAAGATATCACTGTGGTAAGTTTTATATCTTCGAATTGGTTCTAAAAGGATTAAACAAAAACATTAGAAAGCAAATGCATTAACTGTTCCACACAAATCAAATACTACATTTACTCTTATGAGACTAGAACATTTTATATATTGCTTTAAATTTACCAATTGCTGGATGATATTCAAACAACGTGATTCCAATTTTGAGGCAGTTTGACATACTGGTTAAGAACCTGGACTCTGACACCAGATTATCTGGGCTTAAATCTCAGCTCACTACTTGCCAGCTGTGTGACACATTAGGAACTTTCCAGAAATGAAAATCTGAGCATAAAGTCTTCAGGATAAAATTTAAAACCTCCTTAGCTTGGTATTCAAAGCCTTTAATAACCTGGTCTCCGACTACATTTATAGCAGTGGCTCTTAATATTGTGGAGTCACAGATTCATTTGTTAGAATTTGATGAAAACTACAGACCTCTCTCCACCCACTCCCCAAAACATACAAAACGACAAACTTTTTAATGTAAAAAAAAAAAAAAAGATTGAATGAGTTATCTGAATCCTTGTGGCAGGGTGGAAGTCTTAGTATGATGTTAGTGGATAATAAGCCTGCAGAATGAGAGAGACTGATGTTGCAAATGATGGTGGGGAAAACTGATGAAAAAATGTGAAGGAAACAGGAGATGGGAAAAAAAACCCCCAACATACATGCATAGTAATTTCAGCAAGGAGGAAGAACTTTTTCTTCTTAAGAAATGATGGACAAGGGAAAGAGTGAAGATACAGAAGGAATCCCAAGATACTCATATCAGAAGTTGCCTTATTCCTGGTAATAAAAAGTGCTTCACTTCCTGAGAGCCAGGGGCCAGGAGCTTGAGAAGAGTAAAGAAATTCTGCTAAGAAGAGTGTGATAAGTCAGTAAAAACCACATGAAAGCTTTTATATATCCATGAGAGCTTAGATTAGGCTAGAATGTATGAATTTTATTGGAACCAGTCAGAATGGTTTGGTGGTTTTTTCTTGGCACTAGAGAAACAAAACCATGGGAAACATTAGAACTGAGGTGGGGGAGACATGGGATGTATGATGGCACACAATGGATATATGTGAGGGATTCTTTTTTACTAGTTTGCAAACTGGAGAACAGGAACTTTACAAAATGAATTATTCCTTGTGCTGCAAGGTGTTCAGTAGAGATTGTTAAAAGAAAAAGGGATGAATAAACGAATGAGAGAGTCAAATGGCAACACAGGAACCAGGCTTGTAGAACCAAGATGAACATGATGGGCTGGAAGAATGGGAAGGTCATGCTGAGACAAAGAAGGAAAAATGGCCACTTGATGGAGAGGAAGTTGCACATTGTTCTTGTGGCAATGTTTACCTGGAGAAGTAGGCATGATACAGAAGACCTCTACTTTGTTCACCTTTGTACACATTGAACATGAGTATGAAATAATATCATAATTAATGGAAAGAGTTTTGGGATTGAAAATCCAAATATTTACTAGTACTTTAAAAAAATGATTCCATTCTACCACAAGCAAGTCTCATGGTAAATAAGATAATTAAAAAAAAAAAATTCTTCTGGTTTAAAATAAATGTGATTTGAAAAGATTTTAGAAGATATCAAACAATGGTTTTGTCTAGTTCTATTTAAATTTAATGAACAATTAAATGGTTACTTAAGAAGAATTGCTATTTTCCAAGGGCACTGAAGAACTTTTTGTTTAATTGTTATGGAACCGCCACGTTAAATTTTTGAGGGATTTCCCCAAAGTTAACTTGAACAAATTACAAACCTGGCATTGCAATGTACAGGACACGAAATAAAACCAACAAGGGCAAGGAGAGGACTCAAATGTATAGAGGCAATATGGTTTTTACCATACAAAGAAAAGTACAGAGTTGCAATAAGACTATTTAGTAGACAGAGTAGAGAATTCAGTCACTTGGATGTTATGCCATGCAATAACAATTTCACACCCCACATTGAATGAATTTACTGTTTCTTCTTCTTTTTTTTTTTTTTCAGATTATTTATTTATTTATTTGTCAGAGAGAGAGAGAGAGAGAGAGAATGCACAAGCAGGGGGGAGCGGCAGGCAGAGGGAGAAACAGGTTCCTCTCTGAGCAAGGAGCCCGATACAGAACTCGATCCCAAGACTCTTGAGCCAAAGGCAGATGCTTAACCAACTGAATGACCCATGTGTCCCATGAATTTACTGTTTCATAACTATTTCTGCCAGTGGCTGTAAGATAGTAAATAAATTTCAAGTTGAATTTCCATTCTTTGGTGGTGCTTCATAATTGTTCTTGTATTATTTCATGAGTCCATGTTCCCTTTCCTTTTTTCAACTCTTGGGTTCCTTCTATGAGACAATTAATGTAATATTGATTATCCCCTCTTAAAAGCATAACAATAAATCATTTTCCCTTAATGAACTGTTGGTCTATAAATGTTCTTAGTATCACACCTGCGGGGAGGGAGGGCACTGACTTATGATGCCTTATTGCTTTAGAGTCATGGGGCACTGGCACTCCAGAAACATGGACTGGATGACTAGCTTTGCAGCACTACTAGGGGATAGGCAGACTTCGAAGACCGGGGTAGGCGTAGGGAGTCTATGTTAACTAAACTGTGGGAATCTCTTTTCTAAGCTTCTTGTATTCTGAAATGTATCTTTTAAAATGCTGTTAGCCATGTTCCTTTCATGTAGTGGCATGGCCAGATTAAAGTTCCCAGGCATTATTTACTACTCAGTCATGCTTACAAGAAAAGCTAGCCTTTGTAATATGGGCTTTCCATTTCTGAATTAAGTAATAAATTTAACCATTTCAGGAATTATTATAAAATTCATTACCAACATAAAATTACTACAAACATGTCCTTCACCAAGAATGTATCTTGCATTAGTGTATATGGAGAGCCGTATTTTGCAGGCTTACAGATCAAGTGATCTGATGGGAACATTGCTTGGCTTTCTGACATGACCTACTTAAAGGCATCCAGTAGACACTAACTAGTGCCAGAGCAGATTTCGTCCACTCTTCTGGTCTGCCAGAAGAAGGGTAGTCCCTAATTATCCATGAGGGGTCCTAACATTATAGATAACTTTTTTTTTTTGAAGGATCCAGATACCACAGATATGTTTTCTATATATATTTAAATGTATACTATAAGCACCTTACATTTGGCCCAGATCCCAGGAATGTGGTGTAACTGAGTGATTAAAAGAGAGAGGAAAAAAACATTTTTATTATGAAACCTTCTACACAGAGACAAAAACAGAGAGCACAATATGTCCTCACATGCCCATCTTCCAGATCAATAAAACCTAGTGATTGTTATTTTAATTACCAAGTGTCAGACTGGGGCGCCTGGGTGGCTCAGTCATTAAGCATCTGCCTTTGGCTCAGGTCATGATCCCAGGGTCCTGGGATAGAGTCCTGCATCAGGCTTCCTGCTCTGCTGGAAGCCTGCTTCTCCCTCTCCCACTCCCCCTGCTTGTGTTCCCTCTCTCGCTATGTATCTCTCTGTCAAATAAATAAATAAAATCTTTAAAAATAAAAAAAAGTGTCAGACTATTTTTTAAACAAAGAAATGCTCCTAAGTATTTATAATATACTACAAAGTTTTATAAAAACCAAAATTCTTGAATCATGTGAAATGGACCTATTAAGAATATTCAGATATGCACTTTATAAAATGCATATATGGCCATTTTCATTGCAATGTTAAAACTCTAAGAGCAAAATTTTAAGCTTTCACCATTATAATTGCAGAACTGTATTTGGCTTTTGTGGGATAAAATTAGATTCAATATCTAATTTATTGAGATGCAAATTTCGCAGTTAGTAAATATTTAAATGAAGCCTACCTTGTACAAATGAGTGTACCAGGGTCCATTTAGGGGCCATGATTATTCCTCATTTCACTAAACAATTTCCTTCTCTTTGATTTCCTACGAGTACTTAGTTTTTAGATGTGGAAAATGAAGTTGTAGGAAAGAATCTTAGTGTAGAAATAATGAATGCAAAAGAATAAATGAGAGAGTAAAATCAGCCTTGATACATGTCACCAGAAAAAGCAGCACCAAATTGGGTATATGTGAATATATGTATATGAACACAGAAAACACATAGGAATATATTCTCTCTTAAAAACATTTTGTAGAATAGCAGTGAGAGAATGAGAAGAATAGGATCTACAGAAGGATGGCTTAAAGAATTAACATTTGGAGGGGCGCCTGGGTGGCTCAGTTGGTTGAGCGGCTGCTTTCGGCTCAGGTCATGATCCTGGAGTCCCTGGATCGAGTCCCGCATCGGGCTCCCTGCTCAGCGGGGAGCCTGCTTCTCCCTCTGACCCTCCCCCCTCTTATGTGCTCTCTCTCTCTCATTCTCTCTGTCCCAAATAAATAAATAAAATCTTTAAAAAAAAAAAAAAAAGAAAAGAAAAAAAGAAAAAAAAGAATTAACATTTGGAGTCTAGTTATAGAGATTCTGTAATCATACATACTCTGACAATTGGAGACATCTTTTCATTTCTAATTATATTACCATAATTAAGAGTATACTATTTTTGGTCAGAGTACAAGATATAAAAATCTGACAGATGTTTTGTTATTCTTTAACCTCAATCTGGTCCTTTAAATAAAAATCACTCCAACCCTAATATCCTATCGACTCTACTTATATAGTAACAATAAGAAGCAGGCTAGAGCATTTAGACATAAGTTCTTGACAGTCACAATTTCTACCGCCACTTAACACACTTAACACTTTAAAATTTTTTGTTCACACTTAACACTTTAAACATATAAAGCTGTAGTATGTGATCATGAACACTATGCTTTTAATATTTAGGATATTATGAAGATTTACATGATATTCTGAACTTACGTAAAGCTATTTCAGATGAAACATTCAAATCTACAACCTTCCCATTAAAATGAAACTAAGCAAGCACAAACTGTAATCTAAAAACTAAAAACATCATTTACAAGTGACACATATTCAAGCTCCGACAAGTGACAGGCAGAAAGTGAGAC